ATTGTCATTTCCGTTTTGCAGTAAATGAGTACCCAGTGTGAATACAGTATTTTCCATCATCTTATCCATATTTAGTGCTTGTTTTTCATGCTCGATCGTTATTGCTTGTGTTGACGTTACGCTAGAGCTTAACTTAGCACATCTTCCTAAATTGACCTTCACTTTGTTTATTGCGAGTGCGATAAAATTAGAGTGCGGAAATCCCGCTATCACATCCAAATGCAAATGCAAAAGCAGCAGTTGCGGGCATTTTTGTGACGAATATGTGTTGATACACGATTCGGTTCTCTCCATATATGTATGTATATTGGGATATTTGATAACAAAATATTGAATAACAAATGATATCGCGTTTTCAAAGGGCATTGACAAACAACGTGTACGAGAGTAAACGTGCATGTACACAAAAATATTTATAACACAGTGATGTGTGGATACAAATGATGTTAGTTCATTAAATAATTGTGTAAAGTTGTGATGGTTTGTGATCGATAGGACAAACAATTTTTTGTCAAAAAAGAAGAGATAGAGGGGAGCATGAGGAATAAATACGCATCAGCATGGTTCAAATTAAATCTTCTACTATCAAATTTGAAAATAAGTGGTCTCCAAAAAATTGTCTGCTTAATCGTCTAATACCAATTCACTCATTTACTTACATAGACACCTCTCAATATCTGCCCTCCCCCCCCCCTACTTTTCTATCTCCATTACATTTTTTCATTATTCAAAACAAGGATGTGAATTAATTCTTCTTGATTATCCCCTTCATATTCTGCTATTTTAATGAAAGAAAATAGAATTTTTACAATCTCATACACTATCCATTATCATTTTTCATTCTTTAATTCAGCTGGCTTGGCAGCTTGAAGGAGGGGCTTCCTGACCTAATTAAGGCTAGATAATGGTTGGAGAGCACGCGCGCGGGAGAGACGCAGACTGCGTCGCTGCGCGAGCGACCTTAACTGGGTCACAAAGCTCCTCCTTCCAGCCGCCAAGCCAGGTGAATCGAAGGTTACATTTGGAAGACATAAGCTATATGTGCAGTAGGAAACGTACAGTAACAGTCTCTTGCCTCCCTACTGAAAATTTAATCGTACGCATAGAGCCACTGAACCACTTATAGTCGAGCGTACGTGCGCAGGTGTGTGCAACCGCACAATCTGCGCGGCATGTACGACCGATGGAATGGCGTGCCTCGACTATGAACGTAATTTGGCTTCCTAGCGGTTGATTTTCTGTACCTCTTTCTCGTTCTTTTGGTTTCTAATTTGGAACCACTTGGTTGTGTGCCCCTTTGTTTCATGCAATTTTGTCAGCTCAAAAGTACCGGAAAATGGAATTTGAAACTGTATCTATCTCTTAGAATTTGCTCGGAATCGCCTGTATTTCCACTTTCTAAAACCCTATCCCATCGCGAATTTTCCCGGCACTTGCAAGAGGCCAGCCAATACTGTTCACGAACGAAAGCATGTTGGAACCGAGTCGCACTCTATCCGTAAACATCGGCCCATTCACCCTGTGCATGCGAACTGGTTAAGAAGCGCAAATCACATACACAGCATGCGTTTGTATGTTGATCATGTGCATTGTTGTCACTTTAATACATTTCTATAGTACATTATATACGAGTAATTCTAGTTTGTTTTGTTGCTCCCGCGCCCTGCTCGGTACATTTTTTTTTCACAGCGAACAGTCAGTCGGATGACCTTTTTGAAAATTGTTTATTACAAATCTGAAAATCGTTCTTTGTAGGGTACTTCGTTTCATATCGCTTTTCTGAAAGATATCATTTTTCGAAAGAGGAATCCTCAATGGACGAGTTGCTTTCAGTTTGCTATTGTTGATTTGCTGATCTGTGCTCACCATCACACAAGTTTCTGGAAGTTTTTCAGCCCAAAAAGAGACGCGTAAATTCAGTCTTTTAGGAGAATTAGTTTTACTATTCGTTCCTCAAAACCTCCACAAAAAATTTAGGATTTGATAGTTTCGAAAATTTTAACGAAAACATTCAGACTTCATTCAAAAGTTTTGCGAACCATTCTTATGTGGGGAGGGGGAAGGGGCACTGGCACAGTCTGTTCCAACCCAGACCGAATTCGATGGAGCAACGCGTCCGCTTCGCTGAATGCTTGCGCTACATCTGCGAAGGCGCAGGTGACAGTTTGCCAGTCACGGAACAGAGTGAATGAGCAGACGCAGACATGGTTCTGCAACGAAATAGCAACCTCGCGATGCGAGGCGAGCGGATGCGAAGCGGACCCTCGCCGCCCATTTTCGGTACTGTTTGTAACACGCTGTAGTACCATCAGTGTGTAAATATAATTTTGATCCAAGATAATTTTTCTCCGGTTAGCAATTTGTTTCCAGGGTGTCCCAAACTTCACGGATTCTTAAGATTTCTTACATGGGTGGTGAAAAGCAGAGGAGAAAAAAGGGGAAGTATGTACTGTACTAAAAAGTACAAAGCCCTCCTGCACCCCCTTCTACCAGACTACGGGGGGAGTATTCCATTTTTCATGTCCACCCTTGGAACAGGAACAGTCGAACTCATCCTCACCTTTGAACCTCACTGACGCGACTGAACGCTTTTTATGGTTCAAAATCAGGAATCATGAGCCTCGTACAGCCGTCAGCTGATATTTATATGAGACTCATGATTCTCGAAAGTTCTATTTCCCATATAAGTCATGCTTGTTGTCCTTACAAAATCATTGCTTTTCCGACCGTATCCTCCATTTTACCGTAATCACATTCGGCGAGACAGGTATTTTGCGGCTGACTTTGTCTTGGACAGAACTTTCGTATCTTTCATGTCATAATTTGCACTTGCAGCAAAAATTTGCAATTTTGTAGACGTGTCATGGATCCCTGGAAATGTTGGCAGGTACAGTATCCTTTTGATGTACATTGTTTGGCCTTGAATTTCAAAAAATCCACAAAAATCCGTCTTTGCGATCGTCCCATGTTTGAGCAAAATTTGGGATTCTGTGGCTCCTCACAAGTTTCTAAATAAGTGTAGGGTGCATAGGTCGGAGTAAACCTCTCCATCTGGAATTCGGATTGTTCCGCCCACTGGGATTATCCCGCCCACTTACTCATAGCCTGAAGCCATCATTTCAAGTTTTAGCGCCTCGGTTGTTGCTGGCACGTTTACAGTCTGGTAAACCTGAAGAGTGGGTCCCTGCGGTGCCAGCAATACTTGCGCGGGATAAATGATAGTGGCGCGCAAAAGTCAGGAATTTACGGTATATGGTCATTTTCAACGCGCAAATGTTGTCAGCACCGCAAAAACACTAATTCAGCCTCAAAAGCGAATTATACATAATATGAAATAAAATGACCCGGATTTCCCTTGATGTTGTCGTCATAAGTGGAATGTAGGCTGTTTATTATAACAAGTCAGTAGTTAACTTCACATGTTCACGTGAAGAGTACATCAGAAGCGCGCGCAGTGATGACAGAATTCTTGTCGCGGACAACTAACACACAGATTGCATCAGGCGCTCGCTCGCGATGTTGTGTACAACACACACACAACCTCTAACGCTCTTCTGAGGACTACTAGCGCACTATTTTCATACGGGCAACTGTTATTGTGATTATTTTACGTCACTGACAAAAAGTCGCCTTACGGCATTATTGTACGATTTCGCATTTGTTGACGTTGAGTATATATGACTAGAGAACTCTTTCTGACACAAGAAGCTCAAAGTTGTGGCCTTTTCCAAAAAATTGGTGAGAAGTGTTCTAGGAGTTTCTCTGCCTTGAGCTGGGAGCTTTGTAGTCTGTTTCAGAGACCTAAGACTTTTTTACTTGGATTAGACTATCCTTTTTGCCTGAGCTTACTTTTTTCCCGTTTTTTCAGGCTGAAATTTTTAGGTTCTGAATTTTTGTAAGTATAGTCAGCTTGGAGGTGGATTTTGTATATCTAACCATTTTTTTCTAGTCCTAAGAATCGCTGAAGGAAAGAATAGAGAGCGTGTTCAAAATTTTGGAAATATTGAGCGACCGCAAATTTGTTTTTTTACAAAACTCTTCGTGAAGAAAAGTCACCAGAGTTTGGGTAATTTTTTTCCTTGAAATTTTTCCTCCGAAAAACTACCTCGAATTGTTTTCCTGGCGATTCACCCAATATAAAACATGGCAATTGCTATACATTTCGATTTTAGCAAATTAAAATTGCTCCTTTTCTATTTGTCACCAGTGGACCTCCTCATCCAAATTTTCAAAAAAGCCTGCAAAAAAATTGCAAACTTTATTAACTTGCTGTCAGAATTAGTCCAAATCCCCTTAGCTTAGCTATTTCCATTGACACAAGCAACTCCTACCCGAGCAACTGTTCTACCTTTTTCAGTTTGAGACTTTCATTTTTGCAAGGACTTCTCAGCTTTATGTAGTACGAAATATTGACAGTTGTAATGCCAAGAAATGCCTGCCCCTTTCTTTGCCCAGGACATCTGTTACAATCCCCCACTTTTCAGTAACTTTCTATGCCGCGCCTGTCTGTACCCTACCCAGGTTGAGTTTCACAAATAAAACCGCGATTTTTGATGTTTTGCGGGACAGCTGTCATAAATAGAGTTTTCTCTTCAAGTTTCGCTAATCTGGTAAAATAGCAGTCCTTCTATTCGCGGGGGGGGGGTGGACAATTTGAAACAGGTTATCCTCGTGCTTTGGCATGCCCCTATATGGAAGAATTTTCATGAGTAGGCTATTTACGTGTACCGCAAAGTTTGAGAAAAAGGGGGATGGGGCAGTTTGCGAGCGATGTAGCGTGTTATTTTCGAAATGCCCAATGTGTGTGTGTTTGTGTGTGTATCAGATGAGAGTGCAGAGCGTGTGCATGAGTGGCGCGGCGGCTACCGTAATCCCTCGCCGGGGCGTCGCCGCACCGCGCGCGGCGCCCCGGCGCGGCGCGAACACGTCAAAAGTGCAGCCGAGGGGCGTGGCGTCCATCGCGGGCAGTGATGCAGAGCGTGTCTGCGCTCTCCGTCGCACACACACTCCCCGCTTGCACTTGTTTACATTTTCGGGCGCTCCGACCGGGTAAACATCGAGTAAACAGGGGCGGGCGGGGGCATTTGTCACCAGCACACCGCGCGCGCTCTCTCTCCGCTCTCTCTCTGTGTTTCCCCCGCCGGTCCCCCCGCCCGCATCCTCCCCGTCCCCGACCCCCGGCGCCGCATGGCTCAGGTCAGCGCCTTTTTTAAATTCAAGGTCTTTGATTCCTAAACGTTTTGCTCTTAATCTCGCTTTGCTATGAAGCCGTGATGGAAGTTGTTATTTATCTGCACTTGAAGGTCATATCACATGTTGTTTGGGATTTATATCGTCCATACCAATCATTTTATCCACATACATTTTTTTGCAGTCGTGCTGTCCTCTCCTACGCAAAAATGCACAAATCTATTCCACCCATCTGCCATTCTATCATCTATCCCGAGACTAAACCAGCTTAAACTTGTTTTTCCTTGTTTCCACGTCGTGAGTAATTAATCTTGGATGAGACTAATTACAAGTTTAAACTTGTTAACCACAGGATCAAGTTTGTTTAGGCGATGTGTGCAAAAGCGTACTCGATTCTCTTAATCTCATAATGAACTATAAACCCTATCTTCTGCATGTCTCCATATACGTCAAAAACTCAATACTTAGAAGTCTCAACGTGCCGTGGTGTGTTTGTATTTGTGTGTTTGTCTGAGTGTCTCTCCTTCACTCGATGGCATTAATGTCTGTCTATGCGAGAGAGTGTGTGTGTGTCTCGGCTCCGCCCCAACTAAGCACTTTTGTTGTTCTCTCCCTATAGCCCTTATTATGCCACACACACTCATTCGATATATACACGCAACCTTTCTTACATCGATGTAAAAAGGTTTAAAATCCAAACCTCATTCCAGCTTTTCCAAATCCTATGCAATCCCCGTAGTTGCACACAAAATCGCGCATTCTCACCTCTGCAGCTGGGCGTAGTAGAAAATAGCGACGATGCGGCCCCATCTAGGTTGTTTACTGTTTACTCCTACCCTCCTCGTGCGTACGCTCTCACATGCTGAGCATTGTTTTGTTTATTTGTTGTCATTGGCAGTCAGCCACTCCAGGTGTAAACATGCCATCTTTCAGTCATCAGCTGACTACAAATGTTGTTTACGCTTCTTGGCTATATGATTTTGATTGGATTTTTAGGTTTTTTTAGCTTTCCGTTTTTTCTATGTTTATTTGCTGAATTGGGTCTTTTTTGCTTTTTCTGAGAATTTCTTGTGCCTTTTGTGTTTTTTACATAACAATACCATATGTTTTCCAAATTGCGGGTCACGAAGTAGTTTTCATCGCTATTGTTGTTTGAACTTGTGGCATCCATTCATTAGCGACCTATATTCTTTGATGTTGTTTCCAGCTTGCTCAGATAATTAGGCTAATTATGGCAGCCATTTCGCCGACGTTTTTGTTATTATTATCATTTTCTCGTAATCTGTTTGTGTAAAAAGTTCATGGTAATTTTGGTTTTTGTGCTTGTTTTTTCTCAGTTGGCTCCTTTTTTACGTCAGAATTGAATAATGATATCAATCATCTCTTTGTTGATTGTCATTATCCTCCCACGTGATGTCCACCATGAAAGATTCTTAGTACTTTGAGAAAGGGTTGAAGCTCTGGCTTTTTTTTCTTGTTGATATCGGAAGCGCCGATAGATGAAACATGCTTTATTTGCGCAAAAGTTCATCTCGCCGATTGCAGAGCTTATAGCGATCGCTCAGCGGGTAATTTAAACATGCTATTTTTACAAGTCCAGTTATTTGTGCTTGAACAAGCAGAATTTCTTGGCAGTAAGTGGGTCCAAATTTGCTCGAAGAAAGTCTATCGTAAATTGTCTAAGTGAATCTTGTAAGTTACAAGAGCTCTAATGTCAAAACTGCTTAGATCTTGCAGACCTGTTTGTAGGCGTTTTTAGTTGTTGTCAAACGGAGTCAAGTTTCTGCAGTTGCACCACAATTTCAATCATTTTCTTGTTCCGTCACGGCTCCTAGCAAACACATAGTGCAACAATTTATCAAACTTGTTTATGTTTACTCCGACACACTTGTCTATTCGCCTCTGTTTACTCATGCCCTATCCAACTTTATCACTTCATACACTTTCACTTATCGCACATTGTGGCTGTCGATACCGAAATCATCATTTAGGAAGACTCGCCGCCGGTGCCGAGTATGCTTTCAGAGGCTCAAAGGCCTCCTGCTGATCCAACTGGTGCCACTGAGAATCTGCTAATGCTCGCCATTCAAGAACGTCTACAAAATCAACTACGCCCTAATGCTAACTTATTCAACCATCAACTAAATCTGAATCAGAACATCGCCCAAGATGCTAATCGTTTATTCCAACAAATGTTACCACTACTGGGCCTGCCACCACTACTTCCCGGGCTACCCAATCCATTGGATTTGGGTTGTCTACCCGGTACCTCAATGACACATCCACTATGGCAGCACAATTTGTGTGCATGGCCGGAATGTAACCAACCATGTGAGAATCTGGCTGTATTCTTAACACATTTGTCACAAGCGCACACTTTTAATGAGAGGTGAGCGGACTTTTTTTTGTTCTTTCTTTGTTCTATGTTTACTTCTTCTTAAGACTTTCATGTGACTTTTCTTAAAGTGTACATAGTTTTCACTGTGTGGGGAGAGTTTGCTTTTTTTCTTGAAGTCATGGTAAAAAAGTCCCTTTTACTTTCAAAAAATTTTCACTTTACGTATCCGTATACTTCATGTTATCACTTTTATAGTATTCTTTTTCTCTTTTCTTTCTGATTCACTTTGATGAAATCCCAAACTCTGTCACCCCACCATCTTTGTCGCGATTTTTGATGCTCTTTTGCGAATTTTGTGGACACTTTGCTCTGCATTTTTTTAATGTTGCTTTGTGTACGAGATTATTAGAGCATGTATGCTTATACTTTGTTTTTGAAAATTTCGAAGTTTGATGTGAACGAAATTGTCTACCTTCCTTCATTCTCTTGTATCAATGCTGTTTCGCAATGTTTACAACTTGTTTCATATACCTTCTCATTTCTCAATAGCATTGCATTTCCCTGGGTATATTGCTCCACCACAGGCTTGTGTTGTGTTTGTTTTCCCTTTCATTGATCTTTTTTGTGTTTATTACGGGGTGGATGGCAATAATGACACAATCGTTGCGAGAACTGCTACATTGGGTTTTTGATATAGGCAAAAAGAAGTGATAACGACCTGTATCAATCTTGATCAGCTGCAAATCACAGTAAAGTTGTCTGGCTTGGTAAAAACATCTTTGTTGCATAAAGTCGTACTGATAAGTAAGAAATTGAAGTTTTTATGGCAGGTTTTGGGTACAGTTTTGAAGAGTCTTAGAGCATTTAAATATTCTTTTCCATTTTCTCCTTTTTTGATTTCTGCAATTTTTGTTTTTAATCACCGCTTCCTTCCATCACTATCGTATCATCGAACTCTTTATTTTCTTTAGGAAATCTCTGGCTAAAGTTTTTAGCTTTGTTGTCCGAATATTCTGAGACATTTATCGTTTATTTGTCACCATCTGCACGAGTTTTTTTTCCTTACCGAAATACTACCGTATTATGTTTACTTCCGTGATATCTCTTTTTGTTAATTTTGTTCTTCCATCCTTCGCGTTCTGTGATTACGGAGCTGATGCTTCTTTACTCTCTATTGACTTGTCGTCAGAAACATCCCATTTTGAAAATCATTGGAAGAATATTCTTCTCATTAAAAGCTAATTTTTTTCGAAGCTGCTTATTGGAGAAAAGACGCATCAAACTGTGCCCTTTCATTGGTGGCTGCTCCTGCTTCGTTGCAACATTCTTATAGGATTATAATCCCTGCAATTTTTTAGTTTGTACGATGACTAATCTCTCTCAGGTCGACATCCGATATGCGAGTACAAGTCGAATTAGTTGATAGCCTCGAGCATCGTCTAACAAAAGAACGTAACCGGTTACAAGCGATGATGCAGCACCTGCATATGAAACAATCGCCCGACACCACGACGCCGTCCATCGGCAAGGTAAACACGCTTCTTAAAACACAGCTGAGGGACGCGAAGAGAACGTCGCCCCTTAGCTGGCCTGAAATTGCTTGAATTGAACAAAATGGCGGCAACATTGTTGTTTAGATCGAGACGAACACATCACCAATATTGTCACCAAAACAGGAACCAGCCGCATTTACGGCGATCCCATCGTTGTCCACACAATCCGCCGCGGTTCAGGTGTGTGTTTTCGTGATGTTTTGAGGTTAAAGGGAGACTAATTATTCTGATTTTGGGAGGACATGTATCGTGCGGTGTAAAGTTTTTTATTTTTCATATTACGATAACTTGGGACGCATTTTTCAAAGTTTTAGTTATGAATTTTATTCTTTGCTTGGAATATGATTATTTTGAAAAACTGTGCATACGCGCACGCTTTTCTGTTTCTTGCATCTCGACGCTGGTTTGAAGTCATTTGATGACCCTGTGTTTTCAAAGCTTTCTTGCAGTTTTTCTTATCGCTTTCCTCATTTTCCCTTTCAATGATATCACTGTGATATCTCTTTTCTCGTTCTGGCCGGAAATCTAGCTCAATTTGGTTGAGAAAGGGGCGGGGAAGAGAAAACGTTCTACACTTTATGGTCATAATGCAGCGCGGAATGTACTTTTCGCCTTTTTTTGGATTGAGTTGAGGAGCTTATTTTCCTCGCCTTCGCTGTATACAAGTTAGCGAAGAACTCTTTATAAGACTCTCTACTAGTTGTTGGCAATTCGGGTATCATATATTCCTCCCATTTTTTTGCCTCACTTCTCCTCCAACTTCCATTTACCATAGCTCGGCTACTATCTGTAGTGACAACAAGTAGTTGCATGTGGAACTTCTGTTGGCTGAAGTATTTTCTTCGCAGAAGCAGACGTACAAGAGAGTGTTTTGTTCAATGATCGCATCGTGGATGTAGCGCGAACGCGACGGGTTGTTGCCAGACGTGTTTTTGCATCTTAGGTGCCTGTCACGATGCGTGCAAATCATGCATATTGACGGATTGAGAGCGCGGCGGCTCGCGCTCGCTTTCTCGCCGCCCGCCCCCTGTCTCTTGTACTAGCGCTGCACTTTTTTTGCGACGGCGGACGATTCCGCGTTTGTGCCGCCGCACCACCACGACGTCGGCCCTCGATCTGTCTGTCTGTTTACACGGCCGATCGATGCCGCAGATAAACAAAACACATCGGGGCGGCGAGAAGTTGCTTGAACTTGTTATTGATCGATGTATTGGTGGGGAGGGAAGCTGAGGGTAAGGGCTGGGTTAGGGTCGGGTTAGGGGTTGTGTTGGGTAACCGGACACTACATGACTGTGTAGCTTTTGCTATGCGGTTTTGCCTGGTTGGGCAACTCCTGGGCATTCTAGTTCTCGGCAGCAGTGTATGTATACCTGTATTTTCGCGCATGGCAAGCTTTGACGCTTGTTCCTGCCTTGATAGGCAACTGTGAACATGAGTATCGAGACCTTTAGGCATCAGTCAGATTACTGGTGACCATGCTAGGTATCCCCCTACCCACTTCTCTTCTATGACACAGCGCTGCACATGGGTTACGGTAGCGCGTACATCATGACGCTGGCAGTGTTTATCAACATTCAACGATTGTCAAAAGCTGCATGCTGGCATCATAGTGTTGCCACGGACTTCGACATCGATCCGGTATAACCCCTGATGACTGTGTGTCCGTAAGAGGACGTCTCGGAGGTGAAGGCCTCTTGGGCTGTGCCGTCGCGGTGGCATGTGTACTTTGAGGTTGTGTACGTATGTATGCTTCTTGTGTGAGTGGCGTGCGCGTCTATGTATGTGAATGAGCGATGAGAGCAGCAGCAGCGGCGGTATATTGGCAAACAAGCATGACGAAGGAGGACTGGTGGCAACGAAGAGCGATTGCCATACACACAGTGGAGGTGGTAGCTTGTTGGGTGAGCTGAGCCGCTGAGCAGAGTGCATTCAGATGCTGAATGCACGTCAACATCAGCGCCCCATGAGGACACGAACACTTTGCTCGCTGCAGCGCAATCGTCGACAGCAATGATCATTTTGCGTAGTTGTGATGTGGGCAGGAAGTGAGATGACGCATTTGGACAGTTCTCGGAGTACAGTACGCCCAGCAGCAGTGAAGAAAGGCAAACGGTACAGTGGCTTCCTTCACTTCTGGTTGTGGAATTAGCAGAAGCGGATGCGATGCGTTCGGTACGGGAACGAACTTTACCAAGGGTGACTGGTCCTTTGCGAATCTGTTGTATGTGGCTTAAGGGCCAACGAAAACAGCCCAAAATGGCAGAGTTCGTTTCCCTAGTCCGATGCATCGGCGAGACCTTGCCATATTCCAAGCTTTCATCCTTTTCTTTCGGTATCTTCTCGGTAAAGGATGACTTGGAATGAACTAGTTCTCTACCCTGCTAGCTCCTCCACCCCGAGGACATTGTTGAACTAGACAAGAAGGTGTTTGACTATGCATAACCCATGCTAACAACGCGAGAGTGTTGTATGACACTTATAGCGTTTGAAGCCCATGGTGTGATTGCCCGTCATCTGAATGCGTTGTCATGCATCTGGTTGTAGGATGTGAAAATGGCGCCAGATGCGCTCTTCAGTGTTATTCATGGTTTTATTTGGCGAAGCATAAATTTTCTGCTCTATAAACACTAAGCCGTTTAAGTTGAGAAAACAATTGTCATGCACCTGCTTGATCGAGTCTAAGTTTGCATTGAATTCGATGATCACGGGATCGTAAAGGATGTATTTTATGCGTTCCATGTCCCATTTCAACAGATTCCCATGACGTTAACTTGGCGAAATGAGAGCGTGGGTGACGTCAGTGACTTGTGGACTTTTTACACTTCAGGGGCCTTTTTTGCTGAAAATAGGAGGAGTGTTGGGTAGTTTATAGTTCGGTTAAGTAACAGGACTTTTGGCGGATTAATCATTGCTGTAGGAAAAAATTCTTTGTTTTTTTTGTAACTTAGGCATTAGTTTCGCCGTCTGTTATAGCCTAACCATTGCTATGCATGTTTGTTTTTGAAAACTGAGCTATGAGCGCGGCGTTAGTGGGCTTTGTGAACGTGATAAATGCCGCATTCCTGATTGTTGTTGTTGACGACTTGAAACACAGCCATGTCTCTGTCTTTCTTTCTTTCCACAAGCTAAAACGAATTGATCGAGCGCTTTTCTCTGCAGAAAACGCGCTCATGTGTGCGTGTTTTGTAAAAGTGTGTGTGTGGTGTGTATGTGTTTGTGCACTTTATCGTGCGAAAATCGAGGGGATGGATGAAAGATTATGCAGTTATAGCTGTAAACAAGCAATTTGGTTGTTGTAGAGGGTCAGTGGAGGGGATAAATGTGTTACTAGGGGTTTGGAAGAGGTTTTAGATATTCTTGATATTTGTTTCGTGGAACTTTCCCAGGATTAAATATAACATCGGGTTGATGCGGCACAATTAGTTCATTGTAGTTGGGTATCCTTAGAGTTTTCCCAAGGAGCTCTGAACATTCTAACTATCTTATGAATTTTTTTTCATTCTTTTCTTCTTTTGCGACTGAAACATACATGCACGCCCGAATTAAAGAGTGCTCCAGGAAAGTGGGTTGGCGAAAAGGTTCTGAAAATACAATTAATTCCACCTAACATTCTATAGTAAAACTATCTGCGTTCTTCTTGCCGATGCTGTAGGATTGCTTGATTTTTAAGCCCTTTTTTCTCCATAATTTTGTTTCTGCGCGAAGTTTCAAGTAGGCTACGATCCTTTGGCTCCGGAACTCGTAACTGAGCCTAAATGATGGAGAAATATAGAAATTGAGATTCTGCGTTCATGAGCAGGTTTGTTGTGTAAGGACAGCGGTTTTTATGAGAAATTTCCAAAATTTCTTCACACAGGCAGAAATTCGTATCTTATTCCGGCAAGTTGATCTAGTGTAATATTTGCAGTTTTTGATCCTTTAAAGGACAGATGCGCTGATACAGCAACTTTCGATTTGTAGTCTTTGCGTATGTACTTTTCGGGATCAAAAAGACGAATGTGTGCCAGATACTCATAGTGCAATTCACCTACATAAACTTGAAAACCTTACACAGGATGTCAAAAAATTCAAGTCAATCGCGTCGCGTAATTTTACTACGTCAGATGACAGCATAATAAATAACAGTACAACTGTCAGCAATGTCAGACAAGTGGTTAAGTCCACTCACATGGTGTCCGATGTGTACGAGATACAAAGCATCACAACGTTACTTCACTCACATGATACATACGATTGTGTAAATAACCCTACCTACCCCTCCCCCCTTCTGGTCGCGACATAGCGCCACCTCTCACACAAAACACACGACTGTGAAGTAGTGGTGATAAAAGTGGCGTTTGGCTGATTGCCAACTCCGCACCCGCCAGAAAGTGCAAAATTGTGAGATGTGCTGGAATGATCAACGGGAGGAAGTTTGCAAGAAGTGTAATAGTGCTAGGTAAATGTGGGGACTGTTTGCTGGGAGGGGCTACCGGGTAAAGAAACGAATTGCTCCAAAGGGCGCCGCTGGCGGACTACCGTTCCCTCCGCTGCATACCCTGTGAGGAACAGTAGTCCGCGACAATGCTAATGGTGGGACCATTGCCTTATCCATATTAGGGCAAACGTATCCGAGAATCTGTGCCTGACCTTACTTATGCGCGTTTCTGAACATTGACCAAGACAAGCTTGGATATATCACGCTTGAAGGACTTAACTAGTAAGAGGACTATCATCAATAGTTTCCTTGACCAGCTCCCTAGGTTTGAGCTATACTCCGCTTTGGTTTTGCTAGCTCAGTCCGTCTTTGAGGATTCTCCAGAGGTTCAATCGCAGCAGCCATGCTACTTTTTCTTGAAGTTTCGTAAGCAGAACCGTTTTGTCTTGGTAAATCTGTCCTAAATTGACAGAAACCTACATCTCGGCCCTTGGCGACACCAATTTTGGCACTTAGCCCATGCGTAAACAACTCAAGCAACACAAAAACATCGTCTACCCCCCAACCGAAACAACAACGATGTCAGCTGAGCATTGTTTACGGCTATGCATGCGCTAAGCCGGCCAACCAACGTCCGGGTGAACCGATGCGGCGGCGGCGGGGTTCTGACCTCTTTCCCGTCGTCATTCAGAACGTGTTCTGCCTCAATGTGATGCGCGCGTGTCTGAAGCGAGCCGGGGTTCATGTTTTGGGCGAAATGGGGGGAAGTGAAATAGCGCTAAGAGGCGCAAGCTGTATTGTGATAGATCAACTGGGTCAGTGACGGACACGAACAGGTGCATGTAGGTGTAGATGTGTGGCGCGCGCACGCATGGACCATTTCTAGTTTTGCGATTCGGTTTCTAAACTGGGGAATGGAATAGGAAAAAAGTTTGCTGAGTGTTAACGGCCTCCTAAGGGCCAACCGTCTGGGCTGCAACCCTTGAGTAAGTGACTAAAAACGAACTCTGCCTTGTCTTTGTCACTCGTAGGAATGCAGCTCTGGCCTGCTTCAAGGAGGGCGTCAACGCTTGGAAAAACAGCGTGACCCTTCTTCCTGGTCTCAGAATTGAAGCTACAATCTTTGATGTTGGGATGGCATTTCTGATCACAAGACTTTGGGTGTGGTGATTGTATAGTTCTAATCTGATTGAACAAAATATGGCACTGCGTAACAGCCGATTAAAACGGTCAAAAAAAAAGAGCTTCTGATTTTTGTAACTGTCGGAGTCGCTCACCGTCTACATTTCTAAAGCCTGAAATTTAATTGCGTAGGCAAATTTTCCTAAGTTAGCTAGCCACTAGGTGTACATATCAGGTCTTAGCACCACTTTCAATTTCATATTCTATATAAAAATGGTCTTGTTCATACTAGGTAAACTTGATGATTCTGTTGCAGTCATCGCTTCCGTCGGTGTCGCTGTCAATTTCCGAAGCTGCTACCACCCCGCTTTCGATACCAGCCCCATCGGTTGTCTCATCCGAAGGTTCGCCAACCTCTGGTGGCGATCAACAATCGCAGAAACCGTTCGTGCCGAGAAGAAGTCGAATCTCCGATAAATCTGTACTACCAATCTCTGCGGACATCGCTCGAAATAGGTGAGTGTGAATTTCGCAGCGGTGATCGTTTTGTGTTTCTCAGTTTCCTTATTTTTGAAACGTTCAAGATTTGTTCTTTTCCTTCTCTATGTTTACTCGGTTACGGTAGCGCATGCGCGCATGCGCAATTTGCCTGTAGAACGTGCAATGTGTAGCATTTTTCGCTCGAAACATTTTCCTTTGCTCGACGCCCGCACTTCTCGCCAGCTATTGTATCTTTGTTGATGTTTCGTCGAGCGATGCATCGTATCAACAAAGAATGGTACGAAATTGCCCAAGGGACATCTCATCGCGCGCTCGTTTACCCGCATTTCCCGCGAAGATATTGGCGCACGTCTTGTTGTTTCACGAAAAACGCGAATAGATGGGGGGGGGATCACAAGCACAGGAAATTGATGCCTCATGAAAAGCAGCTGTTTGCGTGAACTGGATCCGTTTGTGTGGCGAAGAAGTGACGCGCGACATCAAGATGAGTTTTCTGTGACCACGTGATTCACGCATTTCATGACGGGAAAGGTCTGCAAAACGTTGCAGCGTCTTTCGAGTGATTGACTTGGCGAAGTTTGATTCATATGATGATGAAGATAGGAGAAAGAAGTGGTTTTCTAACAAGGAATAGGTTCCCTTTGGTGATGACGCAAAGTGATTTTCTGCCCTACTTTTTTCGCATTGGAGAGTGTTTGGTCATTTGTACAAGCAGATGGCTCACACAGGTTTTAGTTGTAACTTTGCTTGAAAATCAAACAAATTTCGCTAAAGTGTGTTGTTGACCAATTTATCTTAGCGTGGCTGAGTCATCAAATTTGATTATTTGCAAATGTTGCACTTTGTCCTTTTGGGTGTAGCGTTTGCAAACTCTGATTCATTTAGTAGAAGAACGTGGACTTTACGAATTGGCAAAAGTACTAGGGGGAGGGGGGACATTGCTTAGTTATCTGGGCTCTATTCAAGTAGTAAAGGGGTTTTTGTTTTTGATACTCAAGCAATTTTTGTACTGAAAATGATATTAGCAATTTTGGTACTGATTACAAAAATGTTTCGTTGACGTTTCACGCACCTCTTATGAGGTTACGGTAGGCATACGGTATAGAGACAAAGTCTCAAATTTACATCTGCAAGGGATTATTTGACACACCAGATTTTAAAGACTAAGTATGAGATCAAATCCCATACTTAGGTTTTGTAATCTGAACTTTGCATTTTGGGTTATGTTAAGTGGAACAGCGCCAAAATTTTGTCAAAGTGTAAATAATTTTCTTTTTTACCATTCCCGAAATCTGAATTTGCAGAGACTTCTACCGTACAAATGATGTTCGTCCGCCATATACGTACGCCTCGCTTATACGGCAAGCCATCATGGAATCACCAGAATGTCAATTGACCCTCAATGAGATCTACACATGGTTCACGGAGACATTCGCATACTTCAGAAGAAATGCAGCCACATGGAAGGTACGCGGCACTTCTTCTTCTTATCAGAGCGCTTCGTCATTTATTTGTCCTTTTGTTGCCTTCTCTTCTAATCCCACTTATCTGTGTTCGGTTCACTTGTTGTCCGCATCCGCGGCGGCGATGTTTCTTATCGCTATTGTCGTCACATGAATCACGAGTGGGCGCTCGTTGAGCTTCGCATTCTGTTGTTTTCATGACAACGCGCCGCGCGTCCGTTGCCGCCGCGCTTGTCTGGGACTTCTTGCAATTCCATCAGTGTAGTGCATTCGTCCTTTTTTTACGTTCGAGAGTCTAAACAACTGAGTCTCTGAGGGGTGTGTGTCGTAAGTTGAATGCTCGGGGAGTGCGAAGCATCAGCGAAACTTCACAGATCTCGTTGACAGTGCATCCTGTTGTCTTTTAATCCCCTATTTTGATTAGAAAAATTGTTATTTTGCTGGTGGGTGGTGCCAAAATGCTGAAAAAATGCCGCCCAGCTTACGCTTGTTTACGCATAGGAACGCTAGAAGTATAACGTGACTCTAAAGAACGTGCCCCATTTCCGCATTACTCAGAATTAATTCCGATTTTGCCCTTGCACTGCACTGTGCTCATTGATTACAACGGCGCTCTGTTGTTTATCCATGAAAGCGTGCTTATCCGTCCGCATCGACGACGACGTTGTTGAAGCGAGCAAAGAACGAGCAGTTGAAACTATTGACAAGCAAAGCGGGGTGGAGAATCCACGGATTATGATGTAATGGAAAGGGCAAGACTCAGTCATAAACCTGGAAATTATTTTGCTGATTAAGATGGGTGATGCAGACACGTGATATTATTTTTTTGATTTGACTTTGTTGCAAGGATGATGCAGCATGATGCAGTCATCGAGGTAATTCCTTACCGTCACTCTTCGAATGGAGTTGGCTAAATCGGTGAATCGGCATTCACAACCCTGATCGCTCAGAAAAAGTGATATTTACTAATCGAAAGGAATAAATAGCTGGAAAATGATGGGTTTGTCATGACTTTCTCCAAAGATAATTAGGAAAACTGTAAATTGATGACTGAGACCTCGGGTGGGTATCGGCGATGCACTTTTAGTTTACTAGTGCATGCTTCTTCAGCGAAGTCTGACGAACCTGCAGCCCTTTTTTGGGAGGTGGGGGAAGGGAAGAATTGACTAGAAAAATGTGGGGTAAAAAATCACCGAAGTCTATATCGGTAGTTGAAGTCAGCTGCTATTTGTGGCTATGTTCTGCTTATCATCATCAGACAAATAAAATATCGGGCAGCGGTTTTTTTTTCTGAAAAGCAGTATTTTTTTCCACATTGAGAGGTTACAAGGTGAATTTTGACGTCTTTGAAAACCTTTAACTTTTCCAGGTATTCCTTCACGCCGTAGGGTAGCGGAGAGCATCCTAACACTGACTCAAATTCAAAATTTTTTGCATAAGTTCGAGTTTAAGCCGCAATAAATTTTCATCTCAAATTCACTACTTCTACTACTTCCAACTAGGACTCCGACCATTGAAAACAATGACTGCGCTAAAAGCCGAACTGAGGTTCTTACGACTCCTTGTTGAGCTTAGCGTGTACATAGAACAAAGTCGGATGATCCATCCACGACCTGCCTGTCATCTGCTCGTCGCAACCATTTACGACAATACGTAAACTGCGTAAAAAAAGTGCATTTACGCAGTGTGACGCAGTTGTCATGGCGGATGACCTGTATGCAACAAATTACGATTTACGTGCTCTTGCATTCGTTGAGAGCGAGGAAGGGGGGGGGGGGGGGTCGTGTGTGTCTTTTGAGTTTATGTCCCTCCTCGACAACAGTTGAGTTAACGCTGTTCTCTACACTGTGCGTCGTCTCACTCTGTCAACAAACCGTCTTCGTCGCTTATACACACATGCGCTCTACGCGATCGGAGCGCCCCGTTTTTTCACGCCCTCATTTTGCAAATTGAGGCCACAGCGTTAGTGCGTTTTGATGTGTGGCGAAGATGCGGTAGAAGGAATAGAGAACATGTACATATAGTTTGTTGACGGGAGAATTATGGGAATGGCTGTGAGGGACGAGATATTCGGAATTCGATGGTTGAAAAAAGTGTTGTGGCGAGGATTTGAACTTCAGAGAAGCAGCAGCTGGTGTATTTTGTGGTTATGTCGGCTGTCAGGAGTTTCCAGAAAGTCATCATCTCGGCAATTTTGAGCATTTTTACCCCCAAGGTTTCGTAATCTGATCCAAAAATAGCCTATGTTTACGTCCATAGATGAACAATCTCTCATCAAAACCACACTCTGCAAGCAATATGTCAGATGAATCATTATGTATCGCCGTTCCGCAAGTCGTAATCGCGTGTGTTCAAAGTGAGAAAAAGTCGTCCATTGCACTTGTAAGAGTGCTAGTCGGCGCTCGCGATGTTCGCGTTGTGTTGTTTATGTTGTTCGACAACCTGTTGATGGGATTATTGATTGTTGCAAAGGTGGGGGACAAGAAGGGGTGTTCGGAATAAGGATGCTGGGGATTTGAGAGTAAAGAAGACCACGATAGCTACGAAGCTTCCGGGGCTATGTAGAAGTTCTAAATTTGAAAGTTGAAGGGAAAACATGTAGTGAAACGCTGAAAAATGGTAGTCTCAAAGGAAAGCCGAGGCGAAGATGGACTAGGTTTTTTGAATAAAATCTAGATAACATAGGAAAACCTTATTTGCGGTTGTCGAGACAGCTCATATGATTCATGGTTCACCTCTCCACCCTCAGCCAGTATCATACTCTTTACAAGAGGGCAGTCAGCGTCTTGAGTGTGGTACTGGACTAGAGTTCAGAGTCGAATTCTTCGGCCATGATCGAATCATAGAAGCGGCTGTTCGGATAATAGCTTAGTGAAGTCTTCCGGTCTCCGCTCGCACAAAAAGCCCAGAATGCTCAGAATCGTCTAGACAGCGCTTGAAAAATGGAGGAAAAAGGCCTCAGTCTGCTGTGGAAGTAGGGTTGCTACGAGCAAAATTGATTGTTCGATTCTCAGGGATTTTTGGGCGATGATTATTAGGCAGCACAAATCCAGAAAGTGAGAAGTCAATTTGCGCCACACACATCCTCATCAGTCTCACCTTGCTGTCATGCTCATTTTTTGCTCTGATCCTTTGATTTGTATTATGATTAACATATTCTACGGAAGAGAGTTTCCATTTCCAGAATGCTGTTCGGCACAACCTCTCTTTACATAAATGTTTCCAACGTGTCGAGCAGAATGTGAAAGGAGCCGTATGGACTGTGGATGACAGTGAATTTTACCGAAGACGACCGCAACGCACAGCTGCAACGAGGAGTCAGCCCAACACACCGTTGCCAGATGAGGTAAGCTATTGCTAGAAGTACCAGCTAAGTAGGTGTTCTCCATGCAAAACTGAGTTTTGTTTGATTTCTGTAGATGTTGGCTCAACGACTTATTGATCAGACCGCTCTAAGCATGATGGAGAACAGAGGTGATGGCGCCGCACATCTGGCTGACAACGCTCTGCTCATTGGTGGTCTGGAAGGAGTGCTGTCCTTTCTAGGTAGGGATTCCTGCTTCTTTCCTTCTCTTTTTTTTTTTGCGAAAATTTCTTATCTGTTCTTCAAGTTTTCACTTTTTTATTTATAGCAAGTACCGGCGACAATAACCCACTCTCTCTGCTATCAGCAGCAGCCGCAGCCTCCGAGCAAAATTCATGTGCTGTAACACCAAGTCTAATCACCCCCAAAGAGGAAGCACGTGAGAACACAATGGAAATCGATGCTGCTGCAGCACAAGCACAACAAAATCAGAATCACCTTAACGGACGAATAGGTCAGTCCTATCTTTATTTACGACTTTGATCGTTTGAACTTTAAAAGCTTTAACGGGAGTTTTTCGTGTGTTACATGCGTTATTTCTATTGTTCTGCAGTGTTTGTTTGCGTGTTGATGTGTTTGCAAAGCATTAGTCATATGTAGGATTGATTAGATGGGAATGGCAAGTGGCGAGATATGAGCGAACGAATTGACTAAATCGGGGAAATGATTATGAGAATCTTTTATAGGCATGAGTCACATGTCTTACGTAAATGTGTGGTTTGTGAAATTCTTTCTGGGGAAGTCTTAAGAGTGCATGAATCAGAAAGTCTCTGAAAAATCATTTTGATGGGGTTTTCTTAGTACAGAATCTGCAGCATTCATGTAGAATTGAAAATGACATATTATTCAACTTACTAGGCAGTGCTGTGAATCATAAATAAATTTGCATTTTTTTTTGATACCATGTGCAAATGCACCGCGTACTCCTTTCGCGGTAAAATTAAAAGGTTTTTGTAGTCATGATGCCCATGATAAAATATTTTGTTTCGTAAAAGAAAACTGATGATAAAAGTTTCTATTTTCAGAGCCGCGTGATCCAGATGCCACACCTCCAGCTGAAGAAGAGCCCAGACTTGTAGTGGACGAACAACCGCAGCCACCTACACCTACAGTAGCGTCCAGCTGTTAGAACTTCATGCCAAATATGGCAGAATTGGCAGAATGCCAAACATTTTCCGGAACGAGGGTTGCTCAAAGAAATCCTAACCGGTTGGCTTCATCGAAGCGTTCTCTCTGCTTTTTCTTCATTTTGATTTATGATTCTGACATAAGTTTGCGAATTTTTTTGCTCTTTTTTGTGATGTAATTATATTTTTTTATGATGTTCTAACATCATTTTATCTTAATCTAAATATATTCTTCGACTTTTTGTTTTTTTTTACATAGTTATCAGTTAAAATATTGATTGCGCCATTTGCTCCTAATATATTCAGAATAAATCCGCGCAAACGTATCGCCACATATATATTCCGAACAATATCACTCATTCAGGGCATCTTTCATTTGTCGTCTCCTCTCTCCCGATTTTGAATCGTCCGATTGTCTTATATGTGGAATTTCTTCCAATGTGCGCTAGTTTTAAGTTTTTTGATCGCAATTGTAAGTAAATCACAATTTATGACGATTTGTGACAGTTGTCCGTCGCGATGTCGTTGGGTCTCAGGATATTATCGTGTGTAATCTTCTCTCTTTGTCTCAATATTCCATTTGTACGTTTTTTCTCCACGTGGAGAATTTCTAATATATTGAGTAGATAAGAATAATTTGAGGCTTAATAGCCCCTTCCGTCATAAACCATACACACACCATTACCAAGAAGCACATCCCTCGATCTCAACCGGGTTACCCTTTTTTCTCTCCTGTTACCATTGTTGATGCCTTGTTAATAACCTCAGATTTTGAATAAATATATCTTAAACTAATCTCTGTTTTGACACATAGGTAGTGAGGCCATTATTATGCCTTGAGAAAATTTACGAAAGCCATATGGAATGGGGTTTCCTAATAGTCAGTGTTGTGTCCAGCTCTCGGTTACCATGGTAATCCTTGCCATCGGTCGGTGCTGCGCAGACGTCGCTGAACGAAACTTGGTCACTGAATTCATTAGAATTCCTTATTCATTATCTAAATTATTGAAAACCTGAGGCTTTTATACAAGTGATTTTGTGGGATGTCCGACGAAGATGCGGAAGCTGCAGCAGAGGAAGTTGTTCTGAAGGTAAGATAAATGTTTCCGAGGAGTGACTCAACACTCTGTATTTTTTTCATTTTTTGTAATTCTTGTAGTTTTTGAATATGCTTATTGTTAGTCCAAAGCCCTGCTTCATTTGATTTTTGAGGTCAAAAACTGTTGTTCTGCTGCGTTTTGGACGTGATTGGGTGTGACGCGAGCGGATGCTCTGTAAGGAGCCAATCAGCAGCGGAGGGCTGTCCGCTCACGGCACACTTTTTTGGCATTCGTCACGCTAGAATTGTAATAAGTGAGCCATGATAATGAAAGCTTTGTGCTTGATTTTGGATACGCAAAGATCAATGAGTTAAGCAAAATTGATATTTAATTAAAGTTCAATTATGTTTAGTTTGAAAAGCTTGTGAACTTCGTTTCAGTTCCTTTACTCATGCTGGACTGTAATATTTGGTTTCAATCCACACTGGTGCAGCTCAAGTATCCACCTTGTCATTCTAATCATGAAACATAACTGAATTCTGTGCACCATAGAAACATCATGCGAGAACTGGTCTCCTAGTCATCTTAGAAAAATGCATCTATCCCCGGCCCTTTGGAGGCGATCATACAGAATTATAGACTCTAAACGAATAATTAAAAATTTTGCATTTTGTGCTGGTCTATACGCTATGCAGAATACAGTGATTGTACCGTAGTTTTTCATGAACCCAGTCTATTTCGCTTCTTAGGCTGCGTTCATACTGATCCCGAAGTTCGGGAACAGTTCCAGCACAGCGCTCGAACTGCGCGCTGTGCTGGAATTGTTCCCGAACTTTGGGATCAGTTTGAACGCAGCCTTAAGGATCTGATCAGTTTCTTTATGTTGACAGTTCCAAGCCGACACAGAATCAATGGACATTTTACATAGGCATTACATTCAGGCGCGAAAACAAATTTTTGGTTCCTTTTTATATCTCAGCGATTTATGATACATATAGGTACAATGATCAAGGAGTACCAAAACACCTTAGTTTTCTTCTGGAACTAATTTATACCCTAGATAGTTGTTTTCAATTTTAGATAGTTGTATGTGGTGACGGATCATCAGGCAAGACTAGCCTCTGCCAACGATTTGTTAAGGATTCATTTGAAAGATCATATCATCAGGTATGTGGAAACATGTTCAGATATCATCGCTAAACAAGGAAGTAAATGTAACCAAAAACTAGTAGGGAGAACCTAATGATGTTGTGCGCGAGGCGGATAATCTAAATTTTGCTCAAAGCAGAAATTCCGACTTCGAAATTGGCGGCAAGCATGGGGATTGGTCAGTCTGGGTCCTGATACGTTACTACGCAGCGAAACCTTTGTGTGGCATTAGTTTGAATGTGTTTTACATGTTTTGTCTTGTTCAGCGTGCGCCTGTAAATTTGTCAAGCATGATTGTGCTGATCTATTTTCAGAATCAATAATTTAAAAATTTCCTCAAAAATTACCATTTTCCTCGAACTTAGCGCGAATCGATAGCGCAAACATGACGCGAACCTCAACAAGCATGCAGCCTCGTTGCTGAAGAAAAAAATGCGCTCCACACGTCAACTCTGTCACAAAATCAACATCAACAATGCATTCGACGTGTTCTGTTTGTTTCTCTGCGTCTCGCCCTCTCTTTCGTTCATTTGTTTGCGTTTGTTAATGCTGACGGATTTTACAGCCGATAGTCCACGGAAGGTTGTTCTGCAAATGCACTGAAGTGTAGATGTTACCGTATATCTCGGCGTTAGGGGGTGGGTAATAGTGCTGTCTTTGCAATTGTAGCGATGCTTTCTATTGCATAGACTGTAACAATCATAGGAAATCGAAAAAAAATGTTTTGATTATTGAAACAGTTTTCGTACTTCACGAATACTCAAACTTACTAGGTTTGATGGTCGATATAGTGCCCCTGCGTGTCAGAAATAATGCTCACAACATTTGCGCGTATGAAATGGCCAAAGAACGTGCATTTTCAGGTTCCGCGCCTCATAGCCATTTTTTTACGCGCAAATTTGTCGACAGTGCAAGAACACAATATAAACCGTAATCTATTCGACTGAATAATCCACATATTAATTGTGAACTAACCCTAAAGCGGTAAAAATCAGAATCCAGTTATTTTATAGGCAGTTCATCGCACGCAGAGACAGGACGCAACGCGGACGCTGTTGGCGTCTTTCTAATCGAGCGCTCTTTCCTCCCTCCTAAAGTCTGCTGTCTCTATCAAACACAAACTCTCTTAGTCGCACGCACCGGAATCCAATCCCTGCGTGTGATTATTTGCTTAAACTTGGTTTTATTAGAATTTATATCGAAGCGTATATTCATACGCAATTGCGTTCAGCTATGTCCAGGAAATGTCTTACCGTCACCTGCGAACCAAAAGGTAATCTGCACTTTAGATGTATGCTTAATAATCTGTTCTTGTACGTTATTAAAAGTTTATACTTTTACTATGCGGGCAAGGCCTTCGAAAAGCTTGTTGCGAAAACCAAAAATTTTGTTAAAATATTCACACTTATGTCATTTTTCCAATTTCATTCACGAGGAAGGAAAGAATTTCCATTCATCAGCCTCTTTGCAATATATCGAATATAGTTCTGGATTCTCTAGCATAATTTCTAGCAGTTGATTTTCGTTCAAGGAACTTTCAATGAAAGAGAAGCCCCCCGTGATGCTTCAATGCTTAGTGTTTTGTTTGCTGATGTAGAAAGAAAGCGAGCGTAAATTTTGCAACTGTTTGAATTTTTGCTTCCAAGTTTTGAAATATATCAGAAATCTTTCGCGACCAAATTTTTGCAAGTTTCATTCTAGTGAGGCGAAGCTAAGTGTATTTGTGTTTGTTATGTGCATTCCGCCGGTAGCAGCCATCCAGTGCCGGAAGTTGCGAAGTGAAGATGTCTCGGCTGTATGTCTGCAGACTAGCATGCATGTGGTGGTTTTTGCTGTATAAACAAACTCTTCGACGAGGCCGTCATCGATTATTTTCCATCCATCCATCCGCGACGATGTCGAAAACGACAGAGCGAATAGAGGAGCGATGTTTACGCGGAAAAGGGCATTCCAAATAGAAAACTCGCGACAGCAGACGCGCGGGCCCGGCGCTGATAGCGCGCGCTGGAAGAGATTCGTGCACCAACACGCGGCGGCCTGCGTGCATACTGAGAGCAAAAGTATACGGTAGCTTAGCGATGTGTACTTCGGTGAGGAAAATAAAAACAAGGAAGCGTAGTACATAGTGAGATTGATTCGCTGAGGGTGCTGAGTGTGTGTTTGCGAAATGTTGACGCGGTATTGGGGGTGAGCAAAGTGTCAGAACTATTAGTGACTATAGTTGGAGTGCGATGAAATCAGCGCATAGAAAAATGACTCCGTCACAAATGAGCTTTTAACGGCTCAATTTCCATGACTTAGCCTGAAAAATATTGAACCGTTTGAAGGTAAATTCCCTTTCGATTTCTTCAATTGCCAGTTGCTCAATAATATTAGGTTGGCTAAAAAGTAAGTTCGTTTTGGCATACAAATTGTCATAAAAAATTTTCTTGTTGTTTTCAATCTATGATTCTTTGTGGGAAAGTAGTTCGAAGCTTCCTCTATCACATTTCATATAATCAGGATTTTCTATCGTCAGTAAAGACAGTTGTGCCTCAACATGGCGAAATTTCCAAAAGCTCAATTCTTTGACTTCCTGAGCTTCGTTTTCATACTGTAATGGATATAAAGAACATCAGTTTGGTGTTTGCATACAGAGGAGTCATCCCTATTTAGTGAACAAGAAAAAGAACTGTGATCTGCCATTTTGAAAATGTCTCACCAAGAAAACCAAATTTCCTCATATTTGCGCATTATGGGAAAATTGCGATTTTTCACTTCTTTGAGGATTTTTTCTTGGGAAGATAGGTTTTACTCAAACAGAATACATGTTACAATACCCAGTGAAGTGCTCTTTTCAGAGATACCAAACATTGGACAAAAATTTGTCTAGAGCATTTGTAAGAGCTGAAAAAGCGACCGAACTTATTTATTAGCCAACCTAATATATGTAGGATTTGCCAATCTAACGTAAGATTCATACGATGCTTCGAACCAGTGAGCGCGAGTGGCCGGATCTTCGAAATTTTGAGCTTATCATATGAATGAACGAGCTTGTATAGGCTACTTGATGAGTTTATGAAATCAATTTGAAATTTTTTCTACTTGTTATTGGGTTTGATTGGCCATAAAACCTGAAAGAAGGTCATCAAAGCCCTCATTTTGCTCTGCTCTTGTGGTGCATTTCTTCCTTAGTTGTAATTCTAGCATTTTGGAATTTGACAGCCCATTCGAGCCTTATAAGCCATCAAAATTTAAGGAGATTAAAAGAGAGATTTACTCTTGTAAGGTACTTTAGCAAGACTTTTGCGGAAATATATGTATATGTGTCTGAGATCATGAACATGCAACATTAAGGAGGAATTAAGTTATGGAACTGGTAAATAGCAAGGAAAATGGCCGTTCTGTACGCATGATTCCCTAAATTTTTTTTGCAGATTGTTTCAAAAAAGGATGGATACTTGTATGAGTCCTCTAAACAAGGCCTTTGCAGGTGTAAGAAGCGGGATTCTAGTACTTGGATGTGGATGATCACTTAGCTAACGCTTACAAGTGTTTGCATTCAATCTGATTAGCTCCAAAAATATCGCTCTTGTTTGTCACAGCTTCTCAGCCTCTTTTTCAGACTCTTGGACTAGACTTTTTCTCAAAGCGGATATCGTTGCCTGGAGATGTGGAAGTTCTCATGCAGGTGATGAATTGGATTTTATTGCCATTTGGAACGTGGTTATTGGAGTTGATCCCAAAGAAACTATGAAGTTTTTCATCCAATATATGTGTAGGTTTGGGACATTGGTGGTCAAAGCATTGCTGGCGAGATGATTGACAAATACATCTATGGTTCACATGCTGCCTTGGTCGTCTACGATGTCACCAATATGAACTCGTTCGACAACTGTCAGGATTGGCTGAATGTGATACGACGGGTGACGAAGAGTCAGGAGAAGGTCGGTTGCTTGGTTTTTCTTCAATTTTCGCTGTGTCATATATAATCCTCATAGAAAGAATAGTTGTCATCGGAAGTCAGTTCTTTAATTGGTCATTGCTCATTCAACAGTATTTGTTTACCAGCACACATCCGTTAGCTTTTTCACCGATGAGATGGAAATTTGCCACACCATAGTCAATTTTAATTGCATTTTTTGACCCAGTTTTTGCCAGACTGTCTGAGCTTTGTCTATCCCACCCCTTATTTACTCGACTTACAGCGCCCTGCCGCGCCATCCAAAAAAAATGCCACAAAGGCGTTGTTTGAGCAGTGTGTTTTTATTGCTTCACTGATCGATTTATGTTTCCTCGTTTTCTACCCATGGATCGCATGAATGTTTTTTATTCCATTGAAAAAACACTTTGAAAAAAGGGGCAAGTCAAATGCACTTTTCACGTCAATAGCGCGGCGTTATGTGCCCGTCAGGTATAAACAATGCATTTTTCAGCCGACCATGTTGTAGTTGTCCTTGAATTGACGCAAATCTAGGGCCCTGCCAAAGAAAAAGAGAGTTAATTATGGAGTTGGTAGCGTGAAGGATGCACCAATATGAAGTGAAGCATTCGTTGTAACGATACAGGTGGAGGATGACGAAAACGGATCGGAGAGCAGAAAAAAGACAGGGGAAATTGCTAGCCGCAAATCGATGGCACCGTTTTTTTCTGTTTTCCATGAATCTTTTTAGATCGTCAATAGTTGGCGAGAGTATGAAATATAGTGGTTATCAATATTTTGAATGATTTTGAATCATTTTACCGCAACTGCAGTTTTTGGCGCCTTTGAGTCGCGAAAGGATGCAAATTTTGCACCCGCATCGCAACTCCTCTCGTTCGCTGAGCAAGTGCGCAAGTTACTAGACTGATAAGAATACAGTGCACTGTAGGCTTTTTCATGAAGAGGGAAAATATCTGGATTCATGGAGGATGAGTTGTGGGGGACCTTTCGACTTGCTTTCATAGTGATATCGAAGAAGCAGTAGGATTTAATTATTTGTCCTTGTATTAAAACACCCGCTTTTCGGCCAAAAGCAGTAGGTCTCTAGAATTGAAATTCGTTTGATGTAGAAATCCTCAAGCGTAATCAGCACTTCATCTGGAGATGTAATTTTTTTAGTAGTAGTAGCAGCTCATTGTTATTTTTGTTTAGCTTCTAACCAGTTATCCTCTGCAGAATTGGTTATAATTGTAGCCATTAGCAGCGCTAAGCATTTAGCTCTAGGTGAAGCTACTCGGGTGGACTTGTTTGTTGTTGACGTGTTGTCTTCTTTCACAAAATAGGGGAGCACTCTCTGGTAAACAAATGAGTAAACGTGAATGAGGGGTATTTAGCACCAGAACGCTTTGGAAAGTAGGGTTAGCAGTTGTCAAAAAAAGTCTACTAAATTGAGTGTTTGATTGAAAGTTGATGGTAAATGTTTTTGCCGGAAAGTGGGCTGTTGGGTGATTCTAGTCACTGGCATCTCGAATTTATTGAGACATCAGGAGATTCGCTATTTGTAAAATGATACTCGTCCGCATGAAGCTGCTTCGTTTCATGTTACTATGAGAGTTGGAGGTGTGTCCGAAAGGTAATTATCAGTTAGAATCATCTGATTATTGTGCACTCAGTGAGAAGTAATCATTTTAGACATGTATGTTTCGAAAACCTGGGAAGCACGTCGAATTCTTTGAGTCTGCATTCTGGCTATTTACGTCTATGCTCGCAGCTTTGCTACATCGCTCCCAACAAGCCCCTATCCCTATTGCGCAAGTCATACGTAAACTTTATGCCACGCACTTATCCCATGCCCTCTTGCGTCGCTCATTCGTTTACCAAAGTGTCCTCTGGTGTGTGCTTGTCAACTTTGGCCTGTTTACATAGCATGCCTACGCAATTGCATTCGCGATGATGGTGGTCTTGGTAGTGCTGGTTAGATGGTGATGCTGGTCCTTGAACGAGCGTCCTTATTTGTGTACTTGCTAAGTTTGGCCGTTTGATGATGATGTTCATGCTGGCAGTTTGGATGGTGATGCTTAGCGGATAGTGGGATGGTATTGCTTTTGGAAGGGGATTTTTGTAGCGGATGTTTGGTAGGCGGTGTGGATGGTTTTGTTTGTGAATGATATCTGTAGTGGATGGTGTTGCTTGTAGTGGATGAGTGGGTGGCGTCCCAGTGGTTTTGCTGCAGATGATGTTGCCTGTGACCGATGTCTGTAGTGGACGGTAATGCTTGTAGTGGATGGTTGTGTGGATGGTGTTGCTTGTGAGTAGTGATGCCTCTAGTGGATGGTGTTGCTCGTAGTGGATGGTGCTGCATACAGTGGCTTTTGCTATAGATGCTTGAGAACGGTTAGCGGATGATGTTGCTTGTAAATGAGCCTTTAGTGGTGGTGTTGCTTGTAGTGGATGGTGTTGCTTGTAGAGGATGATGTTGCTTTTAGTGGATGATGTTGCTTTTAGCGAAAGTTGTTTCAGGCGACGTCGGGTGTTGCTGTTATAGATGATGCCTGTAGTAAATGGTGTTGCTTGTAGAAGATAGTGTTGCTTGTAGTGGATGGTGTTGCTTGTAGCGAATGTTGTTCAAGGCGACGTGGGGTGTTGCTGTAATGGGCGATGCCTGTAGAGGATGGTGTTGCTTGTAGTGGATGGTGTTGCTTGTAGCGAATGTTGTTCCTGGTCGATGTGGGGTATTGCTGTTATAGATGATGCCTGTAGTGGATGGTGTTGCTTGTAGTGGATGGTTTTGCTTGTTGATGATTGCCTGTGATGGTTTATCGTGCAAGTGGTGTGGATAGTATTTGGGTAAATGATGCCTGCAGTGGATGGTGTTGCTTGTGGATGGTGTTGCTTGTAGCGAATGTTGTTCCAGTCGACGTGGGGTGTTGCTGTAATAGATGATGCCTGCAGTGCATGATGTTGCTTGTAGAAGATAGTGTTGCTTGTAGTGGATGGTGTTGCTTGTAGCGAATGTTGTTCCAGGCGACGTGGGGTGTTGCTGTAATGGGCGATGCCTGTAGAGGATGGTGTTGCTTGTAGTGGATGGTGTTGCTTGTAGCGAATGTTGTTCCTGGTCGATGTGGGGTATTGCTGTTATAGATGATGCCTGTAGTGGATGGTGTTGCTTGTAGTGGATGGTTTTGCTTGTTGATGATTGCCTGTGATGGTTTATCGTGAGTGGTGTGGATAGTATTTGGGTAAATGATGCCTGCAGTGGATGGTGTTGCTTGTGGATGGTGTTGCTTGTAGCGAATGTTGTTCCAGTCGACGTGGGGTGTTGCTGTAATAGATGATGCCTGCAGTGCATGATGTTGCTTGTAGTAGATGGTGTTGCTAGTGGATGGTATCGCTTGTTGGTGATTGCCAGGAGTGGTTTTTCGTGCAGATGATTTGGATGGTGTTGCTTGTAAATGATGCATATGGTGGATGGTGTTGCTAGTAGTGGGAGGCGACGTGGGATGTTGATGTAGAGTAGATGATGCCTATAGTGGATGGTGATGCTTGTAACGCATGTTGATGTTGGTGCAAGTTTAGTGGATGGTGCTACTTGTGAACGGTGATGCCTCAGTGGATTGTGATGTTCGTGCATGATGATGATAGTGTGTGTGATGTTGCGTCTTGTGCGAGCTAGCGTCTCTATTCTGTGCACTTGTCAACTTCGGCCTGTTTACATAAATGCCCACGCAATCGCATTCGCGATGGTGATGGTGGGGCCGGTGGTGGATGGCGATGCTGGGCCTTGTGCGAGAGAGGCCGTCGCTGTGCTCCATCGCGCTCGCCGGCGGCCTCGGCGCGTTGTTTAGATATGCCCCAGCCGTTTATTTGTTTGTCAATGCCGTCGTCGTTGCCAGTTACGTTAGTACGAGGTAAGGGCGACTATCGACTCATCGTCGTGTTGTGTGTTGCACGCACTGCATCACAAACGAAATACACATACACACACGACGGATAGAGAACGGGGACTTTCTTAGTTTTTGTTTTCTTCAAAACAAACGTCAATTGAAGGAACCGACTGTGCCAAGTTATACTGGGATAGAAAGCAGGGAAATTAAGGCGGAAGGAATCAAAGAACATGTATTCGTGCAAGTTCTAGAGCGATGAAAATTTTCTCCTCTTAACTTTGCTTAATTAATTATATTGCACACTCATGAGCACTGTTGAATTGATAGAACGTAAAGAGGCTTTATTTAGCAGAGCGGATAAGACTAGAGGAGATTACGGTTTCGACTGAAGGAAAAAAGTTCAAGATTTCATCGCCCTGTAGCACTTCTCTTCGCTATAATAATCTGATACTCTCAGCCTATTGAGATTTCTAAGAAGTCCCATTCATACTAAACTTTTAACTTCTACAGAAGTTTCTAGTCACATATTTCTAGAAGAAGTCAAAGTGTGCGACACCTGTTTTCTCACGGAGTTCGAGCTTTTCTGTCTGAACTCGAAATCGTGGAAACGCAACACCTGTTGTTGGATAGTGCACGCACTATTGCGTGCTGTTTATGAAATGTTCATCAAAGCTTTACATCAATGCTTGTAAGCATTGTAATTATTGTTGCCTTTTTAGTCGAACCGGAAATGAGCAAGCAAATCTAAAGTTTTCAATTTGGTTTGATAATGAAGCTTCCATGCTCTTTACAAAACATTGAGTGCTTTACGACTATTTATCAATCAGCGCTGTATTTGATGTAAAAAGCCTAAGTAAAATGAAATGACTTTTGCTGCCTTTTTTTGCCCTACAGTATTCATTGTTATCGCTCAGATTTGATATTTTAGTAAGTATTATTATTGTAAGTATTGATATCAATATGTTATTAATATTATAGTAATAATATTCATCTCCATCTTATCAATAACTACAGAAAGAAGTATAGAATACTAAATTTTCCCGTGTTCGAGCAAGGTGGCAATAAACTGGGAAAAATAACATAAGGACGCAGAACGGAATAAAAGAGACTCTATCCCTTGCAGAAGGTGTGACTGTGACAATTCGCAAGGAAAGATCTATTTTGATTTGCCTAAGAAGGAATTAAAACAATTTATTAGGCTTTGATAAGAATCATCTTTTAACTCATAAAGTTCCCAATTTTTACACCAGAAGACCTTCTCCATTCACTAAAATTTGTGAGAACATGATGGCGCAAATTTTTAAGTTGGTATCCCCAAATTGAAATTGATCAAATATGCCCAAAGTTCATACTACAGAGTAAAATATAATATTTCGAAGAACACTGTATTTCAGCCTCCACATGTTTTCATTGTTGGCAACAAAGTCGACGAAGAACGACTCCGTAAGGTTCCAGTAGATGCACACTGCGCATTTGCCAAACGACATGATCTGAAGGCATTCTATGTGTCTGCAAAGACTGGCGATTCAGTCACGATGATGTTTCGGTGAGCACTTTTGTAATTCGAAGAAGTTTTTCTCATGCTAGAAATGGTACTTCTTGGCGGTAGGGAAAAGACCGTATTTTTTGCTCTGGAAAAGAATGGAAGATTGAAAAGGCGTACTCTAGAATGATAGGGAAAATGAATTAAAACACGGATAACCAAAAAGTATTGTTGAAACAGTCTAAAAACTATTGAGTTTTGATCATTTGGTGTGCTCTCGTGTAAAATCTGGTTCTTCTCTCGAGGTTAAGATCGCAAGAGTCACTTTAATTTTCTTCGAGCAAATAATAGGCCTCTTTTTTGAATAATTTCCTTTTCCGCAAGCGATGAGATCTGGAGAAATGGAGAGGAAGTGGAAATTCTCATAAATAAGTTGCTTCAATGCAGAAAATCTTTCGAGCTCATTACGAGTGACGTACGGATGTCATTAGTATATACTGACTATTTTTGAATGATTAATGAGTGCATCACGAATTTTGGAATCAGTCCCTACCTCTCCTCTTTTGCAATAATGAATTTTCTTTCATTTTCGTCTGAAATGTTTGTTAGGCAATGCGACCTTGGTCACTTAGCACGTCATAGTCAGTTAGTACGTAATAAACAAAAAGCTGCATTTTCTTTGCATGAGCAAGCCTTGTTTGAAAATAAGAACGATCGCACTCTCGTTTTTCTAGAATAACAAGGATGACTAAGGCCATCTTGTAAGCAATTTACCAAATTTTTGAGGATGAATCATGCCCGAGCAATTAGGCCTAATGTACCAATTTTCCCCTATTCCCTTCAAACTCCATTCTAGGCCCAGATGTCCTTTCTATATTTCGAAAAAAATGTTGATTACGCAATCGAAATGACCATGATTATTAGCAATTAATAATCACTATACTGGTGACGAAAATATTGTGCAGAAAGAAATTGAACAAATTTTGATCCAGTGCTATCATAAGGTTCAGCTGTACTTTATAACAGTCACTGACTATTCTAATTGCTTAAATATGCGAAATTTTCCGACTAAAGCTTTTTTTCCATCGTTAAATACGATTCTAGCGTTTCCCCCATGCCAAAAATTTCTGAGTTACAAGAGCTTCATAGGACGCGGATTTCATTGTAAGGGTTATTTTTTACCCTGCTTTATCACTACAAGAGTGTTCTCCATTACTTCGCCTACAATAAAATTCGCTCAATTGTTGGGATCAAAAGATACCGCAACAGTCGTACATACCTATAAGCAGTCACCTGATCACACTGCACAACGAACGTTGAACAGTCTCTATGTTTGTCCACCTTTTTATTTTTTATTAGTAGATTTGTTCATGGAAAAATCTAGGCTATCTTGATCAAAGTTGTTGTTTACACAATCACTGTTCAACTGTCTTCGATCGCCTCTGACAAGCGTCGTTGTGCTTAATCATTTCATAGCGGAAGAAATATAAAAAAAAGGGAAAAATTTTCTTTATTTTGGAAGATTAATCATTGTTTGAAGGGGTCAAAAGGATTCCAATCATATTATGTGAATGCTCTTACTTTTATTTCGGCTACCGTAGTTCGGCGGGCTGTCGAGTTGGAATGTAATATGCCGTGTGTATATATTTGTAAAAATTGCCTTGTACTTGAACTTCGGTAGAGTAAAAGAAGAATTTGGTTGTGATACTGACAACGATTATAGTAGCATACAGTATTGACGTATTTCTGACTACCATACATGGAGAGCAGACTACCGTAATCCGTTTTCTGACCTGTCACAAAGCTAATTTTGCAATTGCTGCTCGTTTTCCCACAAATCTTATTAGCAGTCATAAATTACAACGAGCTAGTGTGTTGAATTCTAAACTTTGGTGCATGTTCATTGCGTGCACTTAAACAGCGCTCATTGCTTACACTTGAATGGTGGCAGGCATTGAAATATTCTGAGAGATAGTGGGGTATCGGTGGAGACCCCTTGTCAGTTTCAGACAAACTCGTCTGTTGCATGCAAGTGCAGAGGGGCATTTGTTTGCAAGCCCCGTAAATTTCATGCATCATTCGTACGCACCTTGGTGCACGCACGATGAGGAAGTACAAAACTTCCAGTGAACAAAGGAACTGGGGGGTTGAAGTCGTTTTGAGTTCAGAACTCAAAAAAGTACGAGTTTATGCCGGTTTCTTGCGTTTGTATGTCTTGAAACTTAGTGCGCGCTCGCCGGTTGCACCGCGCAAAGCGACTCCTTCGAACCTCGCGCTGAAATCAGACGTTCCGCCTCCAGTGTTGACTGGTCAAATCAGTGAGAGGACCAATCAGCGAAGCGGGTGAAGCGGCTTATTAGCGGCTAAGCGCATAAGTCTGGAGTCTACCATGGCGGTAAGAACATGAGGTTGGGAGTTAGCCTATACAGGTGTAGATGTTTAATTGTAAATATTTGATAACTCATTGTAAATAATTGATTAATAATAAATGAAATTGTAAATTATTCAGTATTAAAAGCAAGGGCTCAAAAAACGAAATTATGATATTATGGATATTGTCATTGTCATCAGAAATATTATCAATCACTCTATGGACTTATAAAGTATCACACCTCCACAACGCGTGTCATCACTTTGAAGCAGCATTTGTTTTGTGAATATAATCAACTAGCTGGCTTACCCGGCTCCGCCGTATGTTCCGAATAGAAAATTCCATTTCTCAACCGATCCTGACCAAACTTGGCACACATACCCTTCGGGCCCCGGCGGGTGTCACAGTCCACTTTTCGTTATCGATCGATGTCGATTTTATCGATTTTTTGCAAAATTTGAGCTACGGGGCTGGGACTTGGCAGAGGGGTGTAATCGAGGATGCTGATCACGAATACAATATTAGTTTTCGAAACCGTGCATTACTTTTATCGATTTTATCGATTTTTTGCAAAATTTGAGCTAGGGGCTGGAATTTGGCAGAGGGGTGTAATCGAGCATGCTGATCACTCCCACGGGGGTGATCAGCATGCTCGATTACCCCCCTGTGCCAAATCCCAGCCCCGTAGCTCAAACTTTGCAAAAAAATCGATAAAATCGATAAAAGTAATGCACGATTTTGAAAACTAATATTGTATTCGGAATCCCCATGCTCACTTACCCCCCTGTGCCAACTCCCAGCCCCGTAGCTCAAATTTTGCAAAAATCGATAAAATCGATATCGATCGATGACGAAAAGTAGCCTATGACACCCGCCGGGGCCCGAAGTGTATGTGTGCCAAGTTTGGTCCCGATCGGTTCAGAAATGGAATTTTCTATTCGGAACATACGTACAGACAGACAGACAGACAGACAGACAAACAGACATTCAGCTTTATATATAAGATTTTGATTAAATTGAACTCATGTCAGCGCACGCAGTCAGAATCCAAATCATCTAGAATTATTTCGATCTGTCTTTTATTTTCGTTAAGGTATGAAACGGGCGTCTGCAATAAAATCTTGAACATTATTGAAAAGAAATAAATATTTTGACGTAGAGCGCATATGGCGCTCAGACAATTTTTGAAAAAAATCGAGATCTATCCGTTGCTTGTGGGTATTTGAGTTCCACAAACATTCGTCGATTTTCAGCATCAATAATATCTTTAGAAATATTTCATTTACATGAAAAATCGATCAAATACCAATATTGGCAAAGCTTCTGTTTGTTGTATATGCTTACATAGGTAACATTATTCTGTTGCCGATGACTGCACAAGCTGTAAGAGTGTTGCCATAAACATTGTTTGTGTTTGTACATATAAACTTCAACAAGTAACAGGGCCCCCCAGCAGAGGTGGTGCTTTCGAACGCTTGACATCGTATTTGAGGGGGAAGCAAAAGGGAAATCGTAACTTTTCAAGCAGAGGGGGAGGTGCTCGGACCTGACAAATTATTAGCAAGCACAGTCCTTACTTAGTAAGGCCGATTTTGAGGCTTCAACATCATCTTACCAGTAACAGGTAAATTAACACGTTGCAAACACGATACAGCATGAACTTGTGTGCGCAGGATTCGCAACGTGTCGAAACATGATGCTTATGCGCAAAAAGATAAACAGGTGTTTGTTTACAATAAGCAATAGAGAGCCATCAAATTTGGGGTGTAGCTTCGCGACGATGATAAAAAGAAAAGTATGAAAAATTATGAAAAAATTATGTGATTGAGAAGAGTCGTAAGTGTTTTTTCTAATTTAGGTTGGCAACCTGGGAGCATCCTGAGGTTGCGCGAGACCAAACAAAATCATAATTTACCCACTTCTTCACATAATTTTTCGGAAATTTTTACATAAATTCATTCTTGTTTGAGCTCTACCTATGAGTACTCACATTACCCCAAGTTTCGACCTCTCTGCTTTGCTACGGCACTTCAAGATATAAAAAGCCTTCTTCTTTTTCGCTTTCTGTTGTTCTACCTCTAATTTTCTGGATTTTTTTCACTTTTATCCACTCATCATTCGCTGCAGATTATAAGCCTACAAATCCAAAAGAGTTTACTCTTTCTGCAATGTCAAAGGGGACCTCGTTTCCAAGATTCTCAAATGCCACCTCATGCCGGGCCCTGACAATCAAAGAAAGCTGAACATGAATTAGGAGGATAGTCTAGAAATTTCATTATTCCAAAACCTACTGGAATCTAATTTAGTAATCAATGACTCGAATTTTTACAGGAAAAAATCAAACAAAATCAGTCCTTTGCTGCTTGTTTATCAACAGTCATGCATCAGCATGAGAGGATGAGCTTGTTGTCTCCTCCTCCTCCACCCTTCACCTTACCCTCCCCGCCTCTTTATCAAGTAAAAAATTATATCAGATTGCTATTTGTGAGTCCTGTAGTTCGTAAAATTACTTTACAGAACTTTGAACGAGAAGAATTCGTGATTTCGATAATTTGATAGTTTGGGTGAATAGCTTTGAAGGATCAAATTGTCGAAATCACAAATTATAACGAAAAACGTTTTCGTAAAAAGATCCTTGGATTATTATTCTAAGTTTGAAAGCTTCAAGAGACATTCTAAAAAAATTTGCAGACATGGCTGTGCCAATTCACTGCATTGGAACAGCTTCTTGTTGCCCCCCCCCCCCATTTCGAAAACAGGTTGGGGTTACTGCTTGTATTGGGCTCTTGGGTTGTTAACTAAGTTTTGCATCATTTTTATTACTTCTACCTATCTTCATAGACACACTCAAATTTGCCCATCATGTAGGTCGTGACGTAGGTACTAGGGTCTGCAAAATTCTGACGTCGTAGTGAGGGTTACGGTAGGTGTATGGTGTAAGGGGAAAAAATCATAGAATAACACAATCTTGGCTGAAATTTTGCATAGGTGGGTTATCTGACATGTTGATCACGAAGAATATTGGTTTTGCATGGTAGGGCTTTGTAAGGTTATAGTAGGTTTACGGTATGGGTCTTGCGCTAATCAAGTGGAGGAGTTAATTCGATGTGATATTCGTATTTGGCAGGGCAAATAATCCCACCATGCAAAGTATGGCGGGTTCTGAGATTTCGCCTCCTTAGTGATTGACGCTTGTCCCCAGTAGTTTTGCGAGTTACAGCGGCTCGTTCAACTTTGTGAGGCCTCCAAATCTTGAATTGTCCTTAAATTCTATTTCTTCCTTACTGCGCTAGATGAATCAGCCTTTAGCAACAATTTATGCACACTTTCGGATTGTTGTGCATAATCTAGTTTGAAACGGCTTCATTTTTACTCAAAACTCCGTGAGTACTCGAAATTTACCAGTTTTCGCAGAACTCTCGGATCTTTTCTATTTTGCCATCAGAAAGCGAGCGCTTTGTGCCAGTTTATAGCTCACACGGCAGTCTATGCAACCTCAGTCAATAGCCCAATAAATCAGTCCAGTGATGGGAAGAAGTTTAGATTCATTAATTTTCAAATCTTCGCAGCAATTCTAATAGCTTCAGAATTGAAATTACTTCCAAAGTCTGTACGAGAGTGTCCCATGCCCTTCTCCTGGGGTTTTATTTACGGTTTTGAACGGTTATATTTTCTTTAGTGTTTGTGAGCTAAATTTCAATACAATTTGTTTCATCTGACGAGTAGACAGCATACTTTCGCTAATATGAGCAACAATGGTTCATAAAAGCAACCTGATGATGAGATTGCATGTGATCACTGATACTGTAACTCGGTAAATATTCCTAGACAACAGACACACTGAAATCGTAAACAAAGTTTACAAACATCTGAGTTTACGCTAAAAATAGTGGTGCGATAATCAATGATCAGAAACCTCGTGGGTTACGATGTGAAGTGCAAGCCGACAAGCCGTGAGTAAAACCTGGTCACATTGTTTTCTGTTTTTTAATAAGCGGCAAAAAGCGAGCATTTTGACGAATCGAGGGGTGAGAAAACAAGGAGGGAGGGGTGGGGGGTCAGAGGTTTGAAAAGTGGGAGGAAGTTTCTTGAGTAGAATTTGCCGAACAACGCCAAAAGCGTCTGATTCGGGGAGATTTTGGACCCAATACTCGGAATTTTTTGGACTCTTTATGGAAATTTTTAGCACCCAGTTTCTCTAAAATTTCCACGAATTATTTTCAGGCAAGTAGCCGCCGATGTACTGCGAATTGTCCTCACCCGAGTCGAACAAGAAGCTGACATTGCCATCGTACAAGGCGAAGTTTCTCATGAGGTGAAGGAACCCCGTAGGAGGCATATCGACCAGTCAAAAAATACAGCTGTCTGTTCTATACAGTAAATTTTTTGTTGTAGTATAGTTTATTCTCATGCAGTAAATATTTGACATTATACATTGCGTTGATATATTTATAACAGTTGTGATTTGACTGTCTTGCTTATTTTTCATGAAGATTAGGTTTTACTGTCATCTAACGATAGTAACTATTTATGTCATGATGCTCCTTTTTCTATATTTATCAATGCTTTTTAGTGGTACCTCGAATTCCTTGCTCTAAGTGACTAGACATTCCGGATTGTTTTTTGCTTCTCCACCGTTTTTTTTTCCATTTTTTTTGGTCCCACCCCTTTCACTTTCTTGCTTAATCAAAAGAAACAGAAAATGTAGCAAATATAGTAAAAAACCAAATGCACTTAATTCTACACCTTGTCTAGTAAAACCGCGAAGATACTTATTCCCCACTCCTACTCAGAAATGAAGTTCTTGATGCATATAGCCAAGTGTTCCTTAATGAAAAGCAATCACTAGGGGACTTGGAAGGTAGCGATTGAATAATAATTGCGATTCTGTAGCGCTAGTCATTCAAGCGAAAAATTCAAGATTTTGTTTGCAGTTCGCAGAACTTCCGTGGAGAAGCATGAGCGGTTAGGGATATAATATGCGCACAATAAAAAAAACGTAAATTTTCCTACGACTTTGACACTTGGAAATATCACAATATTATCGTGCTAAGTCAACGAAAGTGCTGGATAACACTTCTTCAATGTCAGGCATGCAAGTGTGTGCGTCATCTTACCGTATCCAGGCGTACGGTAGACTGTCCATGCCTAACGCTATCCAATTGGTTCCTCATACCTAGTTGTGTACTGCAACATCAATGACTATCTTCTTCTGCCAACAAGTGTTACAAAAATTGCAGAGTTACTGAGTTTGGAATTCGTGAATTTCCTTTGCCGCAGGGGACCCCAATATGCAGTTTAAAGTTAAACGATTTTTCATCAATTTGTTAAATTGCACACTTCCTCTTAGCTTTGATGTATAGTCTGAGGAAATTAACTTAGAACATTTACCTCTTTGAAGCCCTATCCTGCAGGTAGAATGATGATTAATAGGTAATCTAAGGGATGCCCAAGGTGGCTTCTTTTTCAGCGGTTGCGTTTCTAGAGTGAATCTTCCTCTATGCCTAAATGACCGTGAAACTTCCAATGTAATATTTCTATTCTCTTAGTTCTACATCTACAACGGTTGTACCCAAGAGCACGCACATAAACAAAATACAAACCCTCCAAATTTGGGTTTTCACAAGATGTACTAATGTTATGCGCACTTATTTAAGTGAGAACTTCTGCGAAAATCATTCCAAAATTTTGGAAAGCTATTTTGGAAAAGACGAAGAAATAAGGGCTGAAAAAGTTTGGTCAATCCGCATGTTGTTAAATCTTCTCTGACTCTCAGAATGAATTTCGCTGAGCGAAATTTGAACTAAGAAAAGTAAATAGTAAGTAAATAGTAAATAGTAGAGTAAGAACGCTAGTATGAAATTTGGGATTATCCGAATCATGGATAGTTTTTGAGAAGCACTTTGCTGAAGAGCAGAGGAAGAGTTGCTTTGAATGCCGCTGAGTATCGTCTACCTTTAATCTAATCTATTATAATTGCGTACAAATCAAATTTCTTAACTCAGCCCTAGTATTCATAAGGAGCAACGGTGTCAGTTACTGCAGAAGGACTACACTTTTTCAACTAATCATGAAGTAGGGAAGAAGATGGGATGTTTATAGAAGAATCGAATCAAAATGCCAATGGAGATAAACTTTACTTACCAAAAAATCTATCGATAATTGCTGATCTGTGCTCAGTCGGTGTTTTTCCTCAAAAATGAGGACGGCATTGTTTTGAAATTCGATACGCTACTATCAGCAATTATTGTTCAAACTGACCAGCAGATCATAGGCTCTTACATAAGCTGTCTCATTGTCTGGGAAAATACAAAATGTCTCTTTCTATTCCACCAAGTGGTACTGCCTAGTTTCAAAATAAAATCTTACTCCCAAACAGGTTTCTGATCATTCCTTATGCAGCCTTGTTTATGATTAGATGCAGCAATTTGCAGCTTTGGTCCTTGCTTGTGAGTTGTTATTATCCTAATTTCTTCTTGTGGCTCAATATCGTGGGTTTGTAAGATGTGACTATACCTTGGCTCAGCTAATTTTTTTGGAATCTTCCTTCAAAGCTTATAGATATAACTCTTCCTAACAGACAAACTGTTAAAAACTTGGATCTCCATTTCAGAATTTTATTTGCCCTCCATAAAACTTTTATAACATAAGTTTTTCTGTGCATTAGTCAAAAGTTCTTAGGTATCTGAAATGATTTTCAAGAAGCCAACAATCCAAGAATCTATGTGGAAAGAGATGGAATTTGACTGGTAATTTTTATTTTATGGGAAGAGATGGGATTTGACTAGTAACTTTTATTTTTATTCAAAAGAACTAATAAGAAGCTTTCGATAATTTATAGACAGCTCAATTTTCTTGCAGTTTCATATAAATTCTTGAAAATAAAATTTTAAGCTTTCTGGAAAGTGAATTTTTCTGCGAGCTTCTGGATAATATTTGCACATGGCTGACTGTGCATTGAGAGAGCATGTTATCATTAGAATCGTAAAACTTCAAAGGATGATGCCTATGATTTTGTTCTCCTATTTCGGTATTTACCAAATGTTGGGATTGAATGAGAGATCTTTCGATTTCCTTCGGATAACTCGCAAGTCTCAGAATATTGTTTCTAATCCTTTTATCAACTACTCACTCTTCAAAAAAGAAATTATCCTCTCAAAACACAAAGGTATCCTTATTTTTGGATAGAATTATAATTTGTTTGAAGGTTCGTTGTTATCACTTTGCATACTATTGAAAAAATTATTGAATTTTTGAAGGAGGAGGAATAAGGCAAATCAAACGTTCTCCACAAATGTAACTTTGACAGCAATGAAGTGGAGCTGCTGAAGAATTTACAGAGAGCGCTTTACCAACCGTCAACAATAGTTCATAGTCATCAAAAAAGTTCATTGTTTTTTTTTCAAAAAATAATTGTTCTTTGCTAATTATCAATTTAACTCTAAAATGAAGTTTTGCATCATTGCATCATCACTTTTGCAAGATTTTGCAGGTCCTTTCTCTGACAAATGAAAAATGCAAATTTCTTCCTTCAATGGTAGGCTGATATATGCCGAACGAAGAGGTAAAAAAATTTAACCAAGGCCTTTTTTGACATAAAACCATGAGAAACTTTCGAATGGTTTCCCATAGTTTCTTTAGATTTTCCGGTCACACTCTGCCTAATTCGGAACCTCTCACAAAGAGTAGAATACTAACTACTAATAATGCTTCTTTCATCAATCACAAAAAATTGTTGGACGCTATTTTCCCAAAAATATAATGCTAATTTTTAGGCTTCTTTTTTTTGGTTTTTCATTTTTTCGCGTTAGAACATATTTGTGGGGAACGTACATAGACCAACTCGTCGCAAAGAAAATAAAATTTTTTGTGTTAGAGTGGCTTTCTAGAAGTCATTATTTTCTTATAAGTGCTAGCAATAAGTTGGTTGTTTGCTGCAGAAAAAACAACTTGATACGTCAAGAAATCTTTTTAGCGGCATTTTTTTCACTTTTATGACATTGGGACAAAGCTTTGTGAAAAACTGGTGTTACAAGTGATAAACACAAACATTTGCACATTTAAACATTGAACTGTTGTTTGTGACTTTAGTGGCGCAAGTTTGAGTACTGACGTCATCATTAGACTACAGAATCCATAATTTATTTGCAGTTCTCGAATTTCAGAGAAGGAGCATTTACTAAAGAAAGAATCATCTATCATGTCAGATGCCTCCAGAAAAGTAAACATCTCATATCTAAGCTTGTTGTTGATATTTCCTTATGAAGAGCTTTTTCTCCAAGATGTTCTTGTACCATAAATTTTTGAATTTATTTCTGGACTAACATATACCCACACTTGTATATCTGGCGCTCTGTCTTTCTTGTCTGATCTGATTTTTTCGCTATTTATCATTTTTGCACCATGTGCTGTTTATTAAAGGACGGAGTACGAAAACAGCAGCGTGTCCCGGCTTTGTAGCGAGGCTGGGCGTTTTGCCAAATCTCAGATTGCGGGCAATCTCCGCGACGGATGGATTTGAGTGCTTTTTGTTTGGAACCGTGTACTCTTAATGATATCTTTACCTTGGACTTTTGCATAAACTTGAGTGGATGGTATGTGCCTCTGTGTCCTCGAATTCTTTGTTTTTCGCAGTTTTCGCAAAGCTTTCTCTGTTTGCTTTCCCTTTGCTTTTGATTGTGAGCTGACTTATGTATATAAGCCGTTCATTGACCGGTATCTTTCAATGCAGTACATTTCCAAAGATATCAGTTGTCTACCGTGGTTCAGTAACTTTTTCTGTTCTTTTTCCTACTATGTACTCTCTCAATCTTTTACTTGAACTTGCTAAATCAAATTACTGCCAGTGGCGCACAATCAATTATTCACAGACTGAGATATTCCGAAAATTTTCTACCTTTTTCTATATCATTCTGTTGGGTTTCTCACTATTTCGCCACGCTCTATTCTTTTGTAAGGTTTCCAGACTCTACAGGTTTCACTTACGCAGTCTCAGTTATGTTTATTTTTCCACCATCATACTACAGTCAAGTGATTGTTGCGAATGGTTAATCCCTTTTTTTATAGAAACTTCACTTTAGACTTGATGCGTTGTTTTCATTTTCTATTTTTGCACCTTGTTGTATTAGAAACGGCGACCGCTCCCACAGGGGATGGAACCTTAGTAGAAGTGGCTTTTCCAGTTGGGATGCATAACATATTCAAGGGCATCGAACGCTGATTTTTTACGCACTGTATTGCGGAGCGCCTCTAGGTGAGGAGGTATGAGCTATTTACGAGTCAAAAAACTGACCTCCTGATTAGAATAAAATCAATGATAACACCATTGTCAACTCATAAGTGGAACAATGGCGAACACGGAGCAAAAAACAAACTTTTTTTGTTTTCATAGAGGGGTTTGACACTTAACAGAGTTTTCTATCTGAACTCCGTGAAATAGCTATGAATGATTTTCCTCAAGCCATGCGTTCAGATTTTCGCTACAAATGTTCTCGTTACTCTTGTCCACAGGCGCTCCCAGATAAGGAGGACAAATTTGTTAGCATTTGATGCTCTTTATGAAGGTACTAGCTGGCTTACCCGGCTCCGCCGTATGTTCCGAATAGAAAATTCCATTTCTTAACCTATCCGAATCAAACTTGGCACACATACACTTCGGGCTCCGGCGGGTGTCACAGTCCACTTTTCGTTATCGATTGATGTCGATTTCATCGATTTTTTGCAAAATTTGAGCTAGGGGACTGGGATTTGGCACAGGGGGTAATCGAGCATGCTGAGTACGAATACAATATTAGTTTTCGAAACCGTGCATTACTTTTGTCGATTTTATCGATTTTTTGCAAAATTTGAGCTGGGGGGGCTGGAATTTGGCAGAGGGGTGTAATCGAGCTGATCACCCCCACGGGGGTGATCAGCATGCTCGATTACCCCCTGTGCCAAATCCCAGCCCCGTAGCTCAAACTTTGCAAAAAAATCGATAAAATCGATAAAAGTAATGCACGATTTTAAAAACTAATATTGTATTCGGAATCCCCATGCTCACTTACCCCCCTGTGCCAACTCCCAGCCCCGTAGCTCAAACTTTGCAAAAAAATCGATAAAATCGATAAAAGTAATGCACGATTTTAAAAACTAATATTGTATTCGGAATCCCCATGCTCACTTACCCCCCTGTGCCAACTCCCAGCCCCGTAGCTCAAACTTTGCAAAAAAATCGATAAAAGTAATGCACGATTTCAAAAACTAATGTTGTATTCGTAATCAGCATGCTCGATTACCCCCCTGTGCCAACTCCCAGCCCCGTAGCTCAAATTTTGCAAAAAATCGATAAAATCGATATCGATCGATGACGAAAAGTAGCCTATGACACCCGCCGGGGCCCGTAGTGTATGTGTGCCAAGTTTGGTCCGGATCGGTTCAGAAATGGAATTTTCTATTCGGAACATACGTACAGACAGACAGACATACATACATACAAACAGACATTCAGCTTTATATATAAGATGTATCTCATTTGGAAAGGCCATTTCGGTTAAGGATCATTCCCTAATCAGAAATTTTTCTTGATTATGAGAAGTACATGCTTACCCCTCAAAACATGCCTATTTCTTCAGAGAAACCACCTTACTCAAAATTCATTTGGTATCTGCCGTACCTCATGAATGCTGTTTTTTCTTTCCTGTCTGAGTTTCGTACCAATTCTGTGAATGTATGTTCATTCAAATTGCCCGAAGGTTTACTTCATATAATTGAATTTGATTGCGGTCTTTGCGCTCACAGTACTGCAAACACTCATGCAAAAAGGGATCTCCTCAACTCTTAGCTCAGTCACTTCCAATGTCTAAATACTATCATATGTCAGCAGAAAAACCATTCTAGTCGGGAGGAAAACCAAGAAAATGCGACTGCCGGGAGTGCATGGGTGTTGCGCGCGGCGCGCCATCGTCACGATTTTTCGAATGGCCTATAAACGCTTTTATGATGAGTTGAGACTAAGACAAATGTTGTTTGTCCCAACCTCACTCGCTGGCTGTTCTCACCTGTTTGTTATCATTTTCTTTTTCATGCCTACAATAGACTTATCCCTTTGATTAAAATTTTTTTCCCATACTCTACCTTCTCAGCACTGCGACTTTGCGATAAGGAACTTATGTGTCACATGTGACACATGTGCTTCCAGCGACGTTGTTGCAAGGACAAAGTCCCCTAGCATCGTCCATGGCATGTGGGGAATGTCGCTTGCAGTGGCACAACTCTGTCTTTTTAACATTTATTGATTTAGCAATTCTTGAGCAAATATACTACTTGAGATTGGATTAGAGTGAGAGCGAGTGCGGAGAAACCTATATATATCATTGTGTTATCTTTGTACAAGATTTTTCTAGTCAATTTTCGAATCTTGAAATTGTTACCTTAGATATAGGTTTGTAATTTTTCATGTCGGATGCATATTAAGTTTTTTTTGATCACAATTTTTTTTCGAGATTTTCTTCGTACAGAAGTTCCTAAGGATCCAACGTCTCCGCAGTTTTTCAACTCACGTTCTATAGCTTTGGTCAGTGTGTCTGTAACCTAAAATTATACTCAAGAGCTCGTAAAAAAAATGTCAGAATTGCTTTTTTGAGTTTCTTTAAGCTGTACAGGTTTGGCCCTTGCGACAGTGGGCGAATACCTGTATGATAAAGATATTACGCAACTCCTTAATCTGATGGCGATTGGCTGAATTGCAACTCGCGCCATGCCCATTTTGCATTCTTCACGCCCCAAAAAAGCGAACTTTCACATTTTCAAAAGCATTGTGCGTGTGCCATGATTTGCACATTCAGGGATTTCGTCGGTAATTCTCCTAGAGACTTTACTTCTATTCGACATATCACCTACGCATCTCATTTTTTGGGATTAGTCTTAGGAACAGATTCACTGAATTTCTTCTGCATTTTTGAGCCGGATATATGCTGCCCTTGTGGCTTAAGCGAGATTTAGCAGGTATTTCCATGGATCCATCTCAATCCGATTTGAAGAGCTAGAACACTTAAATCTGCATTCGTTTGCGTTTCCTAACCAGCAGTCTTTCTGATTTTTGCATCTCGATAGTCGAATGCGTGTTCATTGAAATTTCGTTTATACACTGCTATCTAGCTTCTTGCCTTCCAAAACAAGTTTTCTTCTGTTGTTCATCATTTTCTGTCATACCCGTCATATATAACAACATGGGCAGTAATACCATCTTACATATGTCACGAGTGCCTATCACGTTATGGCTGGATGGAACTTTCTGTATGAATCAATATCCTAAATTTTTTCCGTCCTATCCTCCGCATACCTCTTCATACCGGTTTTCAACTTCCGTTATAAATTGTTTTTTTTTCGTGGCTATTTGAGCGCGCAGACATGAAATCGTTGCATATTCACGAGTTTGCAGTGAGATCGTATCGACCGGAACGGCGATGGTCACCAGCACCGTGTTGGCGTAGCGTGATGAATCTTGGATTCAATTTCGATGTTGATTATAATCAAGCCACTTCCAAACATCTACCTCCAGTTCATCAAAATGCCGAGGTGACACCGGATCCAGATGACTTCACTCGCGAGGAGTTGCTCAAGCTCCTCTCGTATTTGGAAGGGGAACTACAAGCTCGGGATGAGGTCGTTACACGATTACGAGTGGGTTTTTGATTATTTTTGTTTGTGATTCTATGTCTGGTTTTTCCTGTTTTTTTTTTATTCTTTGCTTCTATTATTTTCTTCTTTATGGTTTGACTGCAGTATTATTATTCTTTTTGTAAGGAAGCTAAGAGCGTGTCGAATAATCAAATAAGTAAATAGATTCTCGGTGGTTCTTTTTTTACTCAATTTTCTTTTTCGAAATTTTTGTTTTCGAGTTGTTTGTTAAAAGTTGGGTATAAAAGCGAGTTTACCTCTGTAATGTTTTATGAGCATTTTTTTCGACCTTTCACTTGTGTGCTGGCTCATTTACTGGTTGATGATGAAACGTTTACGATCTCCACGTTGATGTGGATCCTATCGTTTTTTTCTGAGCCAAGAAGAATGCGGAAGATTTGAAAATGCGCTTGTTTAGGCGCATTATACTTTCTAGTTCGATCACATGGCTTTACAGAGAATTTCTGCTAACATTTATTGAAGCTTCGTCAAGAAGTTAACTGAAGCTAACTTGCAATTATTCGTTGCATTTACGTATTTTATGGTACTTCTCGTGATTTTATTTCCAATCTTCATTTCTATATTTCTAGTTGCACCTCGCTTACCTTTATGATACCATAGTCTTCAGTTTTGCGGTGTAATCTTGGTCAACAACTTGTATGCAGCAGTGTTTATTTTGCTGTTTGCAACCTAAAATATGTGCGACTGCGCACGCGGTATTTGCATCAACTCCTCCTGCATAACTTTGCAGGAAGTTCGTCCTGCTCCGTCGAATTTTGCGCGCAATCTACCTGTATGCACCGCAGCTATTGGATTACAAAATCACTCAACAGCTTCTTTTAGAATGAACGTACCAAATTCCTTTTATACGATGCCAAGTACGGGAAGCTTGGGAATGATCCCATGTGCGCGCTACGCCGTGACTCGACGATAACAGAAGAGGAACTGGACGAGTATCAAATAGGACAACTTTATGAATCGCAACTGGTTCAGCTTGAGAAACTTATTGCCGTGCAACGTCGAAGTCATATGCGAGCAAAAAGTGTGAGTACTGTGAGAATCATTACTTGTCTAAATGCTTTGAGGAAGGGAGTAATTCTACCTTTCAAGAAGATACAACTAATGATACCTATCTTCCCAGATTTTGACTAAAATTTTTCTATTCAGTTACTTGCCGCCGCCGAGAAACGCCACTACAAGGCATTAAGGGAATTAGAGCTCGAAAAAGAACGTAAAAGCCGTTACGCAGCTCAAGGGGACGATGTGCTGGCTCTGCTTGAAAAAGAACGCGAGAAACTTACTCAACAGGTAACTCAAGCATCAAAGTTATGGTATTTCCGTTTGTAGATGTGTGTAAAAGATTTGATTACGCTTCTATTTGCGAAGTGGCCGTACATCTGTTTCTATCTCTTTTCATACAAACTGCGTGGCCAAACTTTACTGCATATCAAAATGCGCTGAAGTCATATGAGAAATTTTGCAAGGGGGATTATGTTTTCTTTAAAGTTTAGCTACCTTGATACGTTCTGTATCAATGGCGCTGTCCCTTTTTACTGCATCTGTGCTCCCGCGCGTGGCGGAGGTCTGTGTCACCTTCGCAGGCCCTATGGGTGGCCATCCCGATAGACTCTGCTTATTTAAGGCACGGGCCTTGATTTTATGAAACACTACATGTACGTGTATCACCGCCCCCCCCCCCCCCCCAGATTCGTGTGGGGATGGAGGCTCAATCAACTCCAAGCGTGGCGCTTCTTGGTAGCGAGAGAGTGCGACTGGCAATGCTGAAACGAGGAGGTTCAACAAGTTCTTATAATCGGGAAAAGTCCACAACCCACCTCCACAAGAACTGGGAGCCGATCACAGCTCTCGATACCTCTGCGTCATCGAACGCAGAAAAAACACTCAAGCAGTATGCCCGCGCGCAAACCTTTCACGACGCGGATGCATAGATGAGAACAAAGAGGGGACTTGTCATTGACTTTAGTTCCATACTCGCACTGCATAATGTATTGAGCTCAGTCAGTTCTGAATTTTTCTTCTGTATGTACTTTTGGAATTACGTTCTTTGCACCGTTACATAAAACTTTTATTACATACCAATTGCAGCTAGAGATCCAAATCAATGAAGTGGCAGAGAGCAAAGCAGAAACCGAGAGAGTTGAGCGAAAACTGGAAGCGGAGAAAGAACGCCATAAAACGATGGTCTTGTTCCTGATCAATGAACGAAAGCAAATGTTATTGAAGATGCATGAATTACGGGTCAAATCAGAGTCACATGGTGAGTATATATAGTTGTTTGCACAATTTTGTTTTTTTTTTTTTTCGACATTTTTGATACTTAACTATTATATACGCCCTGAACTCTCTGCGATCTTGATGACGTTGATAAACAGCTGTTCTTCGCATGCCATTACTGCCCTAGGTTAGAATGGGAAATTATGGACCTAACAGCTGCTCTCTAAACGGAGGCTATAACTTCCTGGTAACAGAGGGAGCGCTTGCAGGGGTTGATAAATAGCAGAGGGCTCAGTATCTGAGATTTTAGGTTTTTCGCTATGTTCCAAGAGTGAAGATGATAACTCACCAATAGCTATGTCTTTTCTTTTTTGAATGCAAAACCACCTTTTATAATTTTAAAAAACCCAATCTTCTTAGGTCAGTGTCTTTTCATGCTCAGTACATAAAAGTCTAGAGCACTCTTTTATATTTGAAAAACTTTATCCTCTTAGGTCAGTTTCTTTTCATGCTCAATACATAAAAGCTAGTCTCGTTTGAGTAGATGTGTTGAACAGGTGGAAATGTTGCGTGCTGCCTATTACTACATCTTTCTCTTTGTCTTGAACTTCTTATTCAGCTCCGAATATGTCTGCCGGCGATCAAGCCTTACTTGAAGAACTCAAGAAAGAAGTCGCTTTTTTACGACAAGAGCGTGATTCGCTCAAAAACTCAAATAAATCGCTAAAAGTGAGTGCCTTCATTGACATTTCGATATGGTAGACGGCGAGAAAAGATGTATTTCAGGCAGAAAATCTTAGCCTCAAAGAGGTAGTAAAAGGACAAGAAGCAGATTTATTAATGTTGCGAAAAAATCTGATCTCATCAACAAAGCTAACCTTTGATAAGCCTGGAACGGTATGTTTTATTGATTTGAAGTCATTCCGACAGCCATTTCATTTCTTTATAACTCAATCATTTGAGATTTTCATGAGTATTACCTGGATACGAATCGAAAGTGAGAGCAAAGTCAAAGTCATTCTTTTCCTCCAACCAGAGGTGCGATAGGGGGAGCCAAGTCTCCCCCTACCTTCACTTTTGAGCTGGTACGGGGTGACCACCTTCACTTTTGGAATAAAAAATTTTTCGCTGGACGACAAAGAAGGAAAATAAGCAAAACAAACGCAAAAAAGATTATTGAAAGCATATATTTATGTATACGGCGGCATATATATTTAAAATAAAGGTTTTTAGTAAATGGTGTATTTGGAAGTAAAGCTTAGCAAAACTGTACGGATTTTATTAAGCAAATTATGTTATAACGTATAGCGAAGGAAGTAGGTCGATCCAGGCAGTAACGGCCGAGAACCAGAATTTTGAATATTTGAATAGTGAAAAATCATGCGAAATTTCCACTGTTATAAATCTGTTGTTTGAAGATGCCAGCAGTTGCGACTTCATAGGTTTTGAAGAGTAGATGTTGCTCTATCAGCTAGTGAAGGAATCGGGTCGATTTAAGAGATAGTCGTTGAAAACCAGAGTTCTAAAACTTTTTGCCATTTTTGCGTGTTTTTTGACTTTTGAGAGTTAAACTCTTATAAATCTTGAATGTGGAAGTGTATGATGTTGCGACTTCATAGGTTTTATAGAGTAAGGTTTGTCTTATCAGAATATGTCTTGTACGTTCCCATCCATTGAAACATCTCCGAGATCCAGGCTCTTGAAAAAGCAGGTAAAAAACAGCTTTTTGAACTTCAACAGCTCGTAACTTCTTCAGAACTGCATGAATCATGTTGCGACTTCATAGGTTAGATTCTTCTCATCAAGAGCTTTCAGATGATATATAATATGTGGGGGTTTAGAGCCTCCTGCGAATTATGACCGGGGGGGGGGGGGGGAGACTTTTCAGGCCAAAGTCTCCCCCTCGCCCATTTTAATGTATTGGCTGGATGGGCGAGGGGGAGACTTTGGCCTAAAAAGTCTCCCCCCCCCCCGGGCATAATTCGTAGGAGGCTCTAAACCCTTACATATCATATATCATCTGAAAGCTCTTGATGAGAAGAATCTAACCTATGAAGTCGCAACATGATTCATGCAGTTCTGAAGAAGTTACGAGCTGTTGAAGTTCAAAAAGCTGTTTTTTACCTGCTTTTTCAAGAGCCTGGATCTCGGAGATGTTTCAATGGATCGGAACGGACAAGACATATTCTGATAAGGCAAACCTCACTCTATAAAACCTATGAAGTCGCAACATCATACACTTCCACATTCAAGATTTATAAGAGTTTAACTCTCAAAAGTCAAAAAACACGCAAAAATGGCAAAAAGTTTTAGAACTCTGGTTTTCAACGACTATCTCTTAAATCGACCCGATTCCTTCACTAGCTGATAGAGCAACATCTACTCTTCAAAACCTATGAAGTCGCAACTGCTGGCATCTTCAAACAACAGATTTATAACAGTGGAAATTTCGCATGATTTTTCACTATTCAAATATTCAAAATTCTGGTTCTCGGCCGTTACTGCCTGGATCGATCTACTTTCTTCGCTGTACGTTATAACAAAATTTGCTTAATAAAATCCGTACAGTCCAACAAACTTCTACTTCCAAATACACCATTTACTAAACACGTCTATTTTAAATTTTTATAAATAAAATTTATAGATATTTTTAATATTCATCGTATCTGTGGCCCTAAAGAGGGCCGTTGGGTCGACGTTAGACCTAGAAAGATAGCTCCGTTCGTCCGTTCTATCCTCCCCCCGCACCTCCCCCCCCCCCCCCCCCCCCGTCGACGTTTTTGGGAGGTGAGTGTCCGACACTACCACCTTCACTTTTGGCCGGCCAGTGGTAGCTGAAACCACCTTCACTTTTGGGGGACCCGGCTCCCCCTATCGCACCTCTGCCTCCAACCCTTTTTATTGATGTTCACATTCATTCCTTTTTATTCTTACATTTGTGACGTGGCACGTCAATTACACTTTGTATTTTGAGTATATGAACATACTTCCAGCACCTTCCCCAATTAGCTGACGAGCGTTCGCTGGTGGTAGCAAATAGAATGGCTACATCGGCTGCTTCGTCTAGTAATACCGGTACGGGCCCGACAATGTCCGCAGGCACGTTGTCGTCTCGAACAAGATTAGCGACTTCAAGCAGTTTTCCAGCGGAGAAAAGTCGCCTCCCACGAGCGCCTTCATCTCCTGCTAGAGGCGTACCATCTCCGAGGCAAGCATTTTCTACTTTCCTGTTCCTCGATTCTATCTAAAAATTTGTTCTCTGGTTCTTTTCCTTATAAAATTATTCAATTTCCGTCTCATTTCATTGTCTGATCTAAATATGTGGCTGACATACAGGACACCATCTTCTCCGACAAAGAAAACGCCTGCCATGGGTTTGGGGACAACTCGGCGAAATCAGCCTCCTCCTCGTTATACTGAGCCGGAAATACAAGAGTTGGAAGCTGCCATAGAATCCATGACTGCAACCAATGGTGAGTTTGTGCCTGTGCGCATGATCCTTATTTTTGGTGATCATACAATGGTAATGCACATTGTAAGCCGTACCTTGGTAAACAAATATTTGTAATCTGGTATAGTCCCAGATGATAAAGGCCCATGTAGGGTCAGCACATGCGAGCCTAGAGCTCGCGCGTCGAATTACTGCGAACATGCTTGTATGCTTGTGCGGAGCACATACCATATTTGGAACGTTTCGGGTACAGGGTGCTTAGCCTGACTACGTGCAGACTTTTCAGTCTTGGCTATGTGCATCCTTCTTGTCTGGGACTACACTTGGTTGGGTGTGTACATGCTTTGCACAACTGAATTGATTATGTCTTGTATCACGTGCGTGACAATTTTTGTAAATTGCGAATAATGAGCAAGAACTTCGTTTTGATCACCCTTTGAAAGCATTCTGTTCTTTAGAAGCACCGTCCAGGCAAATCTGGACAGATGGGGATTTTACGTGGAAAGTAATTGGGGCCCTAACTAAGGCACTGGCCAAGCGGCACGCAAGTGACTCACTAGCGGCTGAGATATACGCCTCCAGATGGACCCCAGGATCGTACTTCGCATTGACGCAGGACCCACGCGAAACTGATGTGGTGCGCCATGAATCCATGCGCGATTTTGGGGTCCAGTTTCGAGGGGAATATCTCAGCCGTTAGAGCTCTACCTGAGCTGCCGGTGGGGCATGGCTCTTTAGGGCCCCAGAATTACTATCCAGGTGAGAACCTCACAGATCCAGGTTTGCCTGGACGCGGCCTTTAAGTATGTTAACGCCCCCCCCCCCTTCCCCGCCTAACATTCAGGAGACAGTTGAGCACCAGTATCATTGTCACGTACAGTCGATTCATTCCATATGATCATGTGTGCACTCGCACACACCGTCCATCTTTGGCGTCCTCATCCTGGATTTGCAATCGCAAAATATACGACACTAAGCTATTGATATCGCTTACATCACTTTGAGGTGAATAGTACCTAAAAAGGAAAGACAAAGTTGAAAACGCTTTGAAAACACCTGCATGGAGGGTCGCGTTTTCCAAGAATCCAGGATGGGAACGCCAAAGGTGGACGGTGTCAATGTCACACATGATCATACGAAATGATTCGACTATATATCATACTTCAAGAAACGGAGAGGATTTGGATAACTGGCATCAATTCTCCTCATACTCAATAATAGCCACATCTGTTTCCTGTTAGGCTGCTCAGTGTTTTTTGCATCCTCGCTTGCACCATTCCTCGCGCTAATTCCAGTTTGTTAGTCGGGGTCTTCCCTGCTTCGAATTAATTTATGCTACATATATAGGTTTATGTTGGGTGTATGTTTCATTATTCCAGATTTCGCCTTTTAGTCAATAGCGTCCACTGTCAAGCAAGTTTCCATCGCTATAGCGCTGCAGCAGTAAATATCTGAAACAGTCGTCAATAATTCTCCTTCCCCTTCCCCTCCCTCTCCTCCACTGAGTGCTACAATTTTTGCAAACCCGCTTTATTAATGCTCCAGAAAGATGTTTCCTCGTCAGTAACCACGATTTATTTCAAGTGTATGTAAAATGTTTTTATTCTGAATGCATCCGGAAAATATCGAAGAATTTTAGGAAAGCCGTATTTTGTGTGGAGGTTGTGATTGTGGGTTTATCTATTATGACACAGTTTTTGTTAAATACTTCACGGTAGCTAGAAAGCTTAGTTAGTTCACCAAGAAAAGTTTGTTGTGTTTGAAGAACTTGTATCTGAGAAGCATACAGTATCACATGAGTTATGAAATTTATACTATGTTCGGCACCACTCTGTTGCTCCAAGGAAGTATAGTGCATGCTAGTCAGAAGTGTATGGCTTGAAACTTCACTCAGCTGAAGAAACAGCGCTTCACGTATTGTTGAAGGCAGTTTTCAGGCAAAGTAGGCTCATGAGGCTTGCAAGTGAAGGATAATTGGAGAACCCGAGGTAAGGCACTGTTCAGACGGCGGCGCAAATGATACATTCACGGCCGAGGAATTCATCTCCAAATCTGCAAGGCGTCCGCCAGACACGATACCGTGAACAGATTTGGAAAAGACTTTCTCGGCTGCGGATGGATCTTTTGCTCTGCCGCTAGGACTGCGTCTTGTTTGGGGGCCCCATCAGTTTTCTTGTGAAAGCCCCGTGTACCCAGATTTGCCTGGACACTGCCTTTGAGGTACTTATATTTGGTGGTAACCATGTGTGTTGTGATTGTGATGTTTCTAGTGGCACCAGCATCACCAACGAAACGTAGTAGTAGTTTACCCCGAGGAGGCGGTCTAGGAGAAGCGAGGAAGATCGAACCACCACCAATGTATCGAACCGAACCGCCTCGAGTGCCTCCTCAGCCACAAATGGGTGCGGCGAGCAGATTAGGTAAGATGCATGTTTTAGAAGATTTATGGTAACTCTACTGGCAGGAAAAATAGAAAAAGCTTCTAGAGCTAACTTATCATCGTATATGTCTGTACAAACCATCGTATAGATTCAGTTAGGTGTTTCGCCAAGAGTAAAACATTTATAACTTCCAAAAGCTGTGATATCTCAGCGACATGCTTCTACAGGGCTTATCAATTGCAGTGTGGGGTGCACCAGCATCTCCATTCCCGCTAGACTCTGCGTCTCTTCCGCGAACAAGCTCTCTAATCATTTCCAGTAGCAGTACGGTAGTCTTTAGATATTGCAGAAAAAGTGCGAACAGCAGTTGTATAAGCGAGCAGTCGAGACGCATGTGTCGTCAGTCATCGACCGCATGGACTGATGGTCGATTGCGGAACGCAGGCCGCGCGGCATTGTTAGGAGAGCACTAGTACAATAGCGATTTGTACTGGGACAAATGTTCGGCCCAGTGGCGCATGCTGCGCAGTCTACGTCTATTCTGCACTGTAAAGAGTTGACGATAAGGCAGGTAGCAGTTACCGGACTTACCCGATTCATACGGTTCCCATCGCAATTGGTTAAAGCAGTGATTTGACCAGTAGGGATAGGTGAACAAGACAACCCGCTTAGCCGCTTTGTGATTGGCCAAATCGATGATATGACCATTAGTGAAGAGGATAGAGCGGCCAAACGGGTAAGTCTGACGCCTGCCTAAGTGCGCAGCACACCGAGCACTGAAATGACTGATAAGTGGAGCAACTATCAACTAGCAAAAATGCTGGGATTTTGATATCGTTCCACTTATTAGCACTTAGGGTGCCCTTACCGGGAAACGGCCCTTTTGAACTGCTCGCTATCAAGGCACGCTTCTGATTGGTCAACATGTCCACTACCATTGACAAAGCTATGATCAGGACGGAGCATCATTTTTCTATATCTTTCGTGTCCAACATGATGATAAGTTTTGGCGCAGGTATATTACATGCTTCAAACTAAGAATTTTCCCCGTTTACTGTGAATGCGACTAGTTAGCCTTGCCAACGGCGCCGCACGCGGCGAAACGGGCAGCGCGTGCGGCGGGTTCAAAAGGGTCTACACCCCCCCCCCCCTAACCTTCTCCCAATGTTACCACGGTGATGAACGGGTTGGTCTTATTTTTCCGCTCGCGATTCCGACGATCACACTGGTCTTTTATTACCCTTTTGGTGTGAAATATACTAGTCACCAACCGAGGAGTTACCTAACAATAAAAAAAGAAACTGACGTTTACTTCCAATAAGGGTGCAATAGCGGTAATAATAAGACATAGACCAAATCCCAACTTTGGCCGCCATGTTTCCCTCATTGAACATGTATTACACACCCCCATAAAGTTGGACTTCCAAATGTACACCGACGGCTCTTATTCCAGAAGTCATTGTTGTCCACATTTATTTGCACAAGCCTTAACGAAGTGCAACAATTGATGTTTCAGTCCCACCTGCACGCGCAGACAATGCATATCGAAAGTCGACGACGACAACGAAGAGAAATGGCTTTTCAGCGTTGACAAAGGCATTCGGAAAGTAGTGCAGAATTGTTTTCTTTTTCTTCCTTTTTTTGTTTCTCACTTTTCCCATTTTCCACGTTCGTATCTTCCATTTCTCGATTGTGATGTTGTGATATATCAGAATTTTATGTCATTTGTATAGTTTGACCTGACTTGTCTTCATAAGAAGATAATTATCATAATAACAATGTCGTTCGGTACTTTAGATAATTCTTGTAAATGTTTTTATATGTTTTATTATAGGTTTTTGATTACAGAAATATTTTGTAGTCTTCCTGCGCTCTAGCACCATTTCTCGTGCAGCTGAAATGTCATGGCTCTTACGCACGTTTAAGAGAATCTTTGCTGAGATTAGTTCCATTCCCATAGTTGCATATGAGAATCTTCCCAGTGTATTCCATGGAAGCTGTGCCTTTCCGCTCATCTTCTTCCCAAAAAAGCAATGTGTTTTGGAACAAATGATATTTGATGGAGGAAAAATTCATAAATCTGATTGAGTTTTGCAGATGCACGGACATGCAAACAAATGTTTCTAACCATATATTATATTTGATTTACACGCTGCATAGGATATGTGCTAACATGCGCGAGGCCTTTACTGATCCCGTGATTTAAAGTGCAAGAACATTATCGTAACAAACTGCCTGATCTAGATATGTTTTTTTAGCTTTCTAACGACTTGAACGTTAAGAATCTGAAAAATGTACAATTCTCTTGTTCTTTTGTTCACTCCAAAATCAAGGAAAAGAAGCAGTCCGTTGTGCGTGGAGAGACATCAGACGGTCAGAGAAATGAGGGTGATTCAATCCGAAATACGCCGACAGCGTCCGCAGTGACGCCCTTCTTCGCGTGCACAATCGCTAATACCTTCCCGAACGATATTACGATTTGTTCATATCGAACTGTACAAACTTAAATCCAACAAAAAAAAGGTTTCAATCAAAACATTTACACACATAAATGCACACAAACTACATCATAAAAAACATTTGCAAGGAAAGAAGTGATATTTCGAACGACGAGGAAAGATAAATGGACCCGCAATATCAAGCACAATCTTGCAGTGAAACCTACAGTGTGGACATATCTCCCGAAACAACGGATAATGAATGATCCAAAGCACGTTTAGCAGATTCCACATCTCTTGTCGTTGCAGGTGTGATTCTCTGGAAACGTGCAATAAATCAATGTTTTGCGGACTAGCAGATCAGCTGTTTACAACAAACACACCTGCTTCTTGACGGGAGACACCCGGTTATATATGAGTTGCCACAATGCAACATTGTCATCCGGGTTCACATCCAGCACAGGGCACCAACGTTGGTGAGTTTTTACCGGATCAAAGGGGGTATATCTGGAGAATTCAATACATTTGAAATTAACCCTGTCATTACTTCGAGCTAGCAGCTTCTTAGGGCTTCCAACAAAGTAGCCTCGAAAAACTTGAAGCAGAAAGAAGGAGATAGAGGGAACGGTGATGTTGCAAGTTCCCGTTCAAGCATAATGTTAAAAAGAAGATATAGGAAACAAACGTACCCCAACACATAATCTCTTGCGCAGTAATCGCAAACGGCGACATACTGGGTTTTACTGCCCAGTTTTTCCGTTCCTAAAGACCATCCAAGCGATGCTCCAATGTAGGGTTCTAGTGATTGTGGACACTTGCTTTCCAATTTAGTCCATGCTAGCGCATCCGGAATAATCTAAATTCGATTTTTTAGCAACCCAGTTTGAGAAACTTCATGCGTTTTGCTTCGTTAATGTCAACATCTATGCGGGCTTTCGTTCGTGATTTGCAATCACATGCTAATTTGATGTTTTCAATTATCCGTACATACTCTTATTTGTATTTTTTGAAGCCATGAGATGCTATTGAATAATCAAGCTACGAAAGCACTATTTACTCTCAACGATGTGTTCACCCCCTTTCCTTTCATTTGAACTTTTTTAAAAAACTTTTTCTCGGTAATCTCTTGCGAATCTGAACACCAAGATGTCGTAGGGGATCAAGAAGGTTCGCATTCTGCAAAAATACCCATCCAAATACTGATGAGAATACTTTCAAGAGGCCAACACTATAAAGAAAGATCGTACCTTGGAGTGTTACTTCAGGCCTCGGGCAGAGTTAAAGAGTTCATCGTCGCGATTGATCGCGGCAAGACAACTGTAACAATGTCATTGCATGCCGATCTTCTTGCATTTCGATTGTGGTAGTTCTCCTACATGACTAATCGTGACTAACTACCACAACCAAAATATAAGAAGATCGGCATGCAATGAACGTAACACTTGTCTTGTATATAGCGATGGATCACGACGATAAAATCGCGTGAACTCAACTCTGTCTGAGGCCTCACGCTCTCAGAGTGGGTACGTATTACTCTAACATAAGTTGTTTTTAAGCTTTTCGAGACCAGAAAATACGTTTAACACTGATGAAAATTAGTGCAGATAAATGGGGAAAAAGAATGCTAACCATGTTCAGTTTCAATCCCTCTACATTGTACGATGATATCCTCGGCCGAACAACATCATTCAAAAAAGTTTCGTCCACGTCATGTTTAAATTCGAGAGGTTTTGACCGATAGATGCACGTAAGCACGTGAGAGTTGACAATGTTGTCGCGGATGCGCCTGAATCAATGCAAATGATAATGCGTAAGCACATGTTTGGTTTTAGTACACTTGGGAAATACATATTGTAGTACGTTAGACGACACTGAAAAATCTATGTCTGTTGGAGGATTCTGGTTTAAGGCACCGTCCACCCAGATTCTCGACTTCCATGTTTTTGTCGTTTCAGGGCCTTCTCATATTCCTGATTCCGAATATGAAGTCGAGAATGCGCAAAAACCCCGACAATCCCCGTTCCGGAGAACCCACAGGTCGGCTTTCCGGAACGGTGATTGGATGGGCGCGCACAAATGGGCGGGCATGGGTGGGGGTTCTCGTGCATCTTCGCTATTCCGAAGCAATTTTCTCGCTTCCGAAGCGGCAATTTGCGCCGCGACTTGGATGGATTGATAGGGGGCCCTACTATTATATGCTGTCAAAAGCTCAACACCCTCAACTTAGGGTGGACGGTGCCTTTAAAAGACCTTTGTATGGTAAGTCAAAGTTTGAAAAACCCACCTGAGACATTTGTTATAGACGCTCATATTGACATCGGTTATCTTTGGCAATGAGGTGCACAGAAATTGCCTACAGGCGATGCATTGCACCTTATCTCGAGCCCTGCACTCCCAACCATGAACAGCCAGTTCTCGTGGTGTCACTTCATTTCCAGCCCAAAGCTCAAACTAGAAAGGGTTTTTGTTCTGGTGAGAAAGCATAAAAGTAGAGAAGTACGGTTGTGAATCAAATTTAAGACGAAACCAGTAGATATTGAACATTTTTAGGAAAGTCGGAACTTGGACTCGACGCTAGAAATCACTTATCTGGGGGGGGGGGGGGGGGGAATGAATTTAGAGAAAAGCACTTGCCTTGTACGATTTGACCAAGCTTTTGTAGGTGTGAAAAGACTCAACGCTGGCCTTCGACCTGAATTAGCAAAGCGTAATTATGAATAGCACTGGCGCAGACAGCCTTCGCATATTCAAAATATGCGACGGTAGCTCCCAACTAAGCCGCTCCCCATATGCTGAAGCGAAACATGGAACTAAACACTCCTCTACAACGAGCCCACTCGCCGACTATACTTCCCTTCTCAAACAATTCAAACATTGTACCGCCGCACGACGCGAACTGTTGCGTGGCGGACGCGCAGCTTCGATTTTTGGCCTCCCAACTAGAACAAACTATGGACGCCTATGCCTATGGCACGTGCCATGCTTGATCCACTTGATCCACTTCGCTATTGGTCACAACAGTCCAAAAGGTCTAAAAGTGGATCAAGCGGATCAACGGCATGTGCCTACGAAAGCATGGAGATGTTACAATACGCTCGAGATTTTTGCCAGTTCCTTCTACAAGCCCTAGGTTTCAGAGAACCGATTTTGCAGAGCCAGTGCCTTTAGAGCCCAAAAATGAATTTCGCAATAGGAAAAACGCGACTTCGCACAAATTTTCGAATATTGAGAAGAAAGACTTTCGAAAACGACCTCCCGAATAATTTTGCACCTATGCTTCCTGGCCAATCAGAATGAATAGACTGCAGGCACTGGCTTCATTATAATAGAACAGAATCTGATAAATAGTAAAGCTGCCGGGTCAAAGCGATGTGTATGTAGCAAAGTTGACAGATCCAGTCTTCGCGGATAGTTGCAGAATGAGGGGTGGAGGACCATATGTCGCCGAAAAAGGGCGGTCCCCGCGGTCATTTGCGACAAATACGCACCCTTGTACATGCGCGGACATGCGTTCCTGCAGGGAATCCGCGCGGGACTCCTCCAAATTCGGCGACATATAGTCCTCCACCCCAGAATGAGCATTGTGGGAACATATTGGTTTGCACATATCTATCTCTCTTCGAGAACTTTGGCCTCCGTTGAAAAAGTTCATTTATCTTTATCCTAAGTTGACCCATTAAGGCCCGTATGCACGTACGTCCCCGCTGGGGAGGGGAGGGGAGCTGGATCCCCAGGGGAACGATCCCCTCCGCCGAAGCCCGCCATGACAGAGGGGAGGGGAGCGATCCCCTCCCCTGCACCTAAGCGGGGATGGTGTGAATGGTTTCAGAGGTATTGATCGAGCGAACCCCAGTGCATACGGGGTTCGAATGGGGGAGGGGATCCCTTTCCTTCCCCCACTCGAACCCCGTATGCGCGAATTCAACTCAGTAACGCGGGGGAGGGGATCGACATCCCCTGCAACGAAGTAGGGGTTCGATGGTGTAGATCATGCCAGAGACGCGGATATTCTGGTTCTGCTCAGTCATTACCAAGCATTTCGTTCATTTTGATGGAGGATTTTCTTTGAAAGCCGGGTTCTTCTCTCAGCGACCTGTGGCTTGCAATTTGTCTTTCTTTTCTATATTCGCCTCTTGAGAAGAAATCCGAGCAACAATAGCTGCCGATTTCGATTATTTGTAGGAGTTCTTGATCATTCAGGAAATTTGCGCATTTTTCATATAACATAAGTTTTAACTATATAGGCTGAGTAAACACATTGTAACTTTCATATTTCATGACATATTGCCATTATCTTGTTATTTTAACATAAGCTGCCTTGAAAAAATCTAGAAAGTAGCATATTTGCCTATTTCTGAGTAGAAATCCCCTGGGGAGTGATCCCCTCCCCAGCGTTCCCCTTGTGCATAGCAGGGATGGCTGCTGGGGATCATTCCCCTGGGATAAAGGACGATATGCAGCTGATAGCTACAGCGTTTATGGAGAGCTGGCACAATTTGCAGCTTCTGTTATGTGTTAGAATACTGCTTTGAGCGTCCGCGCGGCACCCCCCCCCCTTTTCGGCAGCCTAAGGTCTTCTACCCATTCCCTTGCAGAGACACATCAACTTCTACAGTTCAACATTTTTACGCTGAAATGGAGCAGCATGAGCGAAAGTGGACAGCATCCAAGAAAGCATGAACATAATGGGAGTAGAAAAATTATTTTTAGTGCCCCGAGCGCAGTCACTGCATACGCGCATTCCGCAACCCTAAATTAATGAAAGTGAGGAGATGAAGATGAGTTGCAGTCAAAATATGAAACAAGAAAGAGTTTTTCATAGAAAATTTGAAAGCAAGGTGATTTCCCCGCTTGATCCCCTCTTGTGCATAAGAGGGTTCACTTCCCCTCCCCACAAGGGATCCCTTGTCCGATATTGTCTTTGTGCATACGGGGGTTCGCGCGGGGAGGGGAAGGGATCCCCAGCGGGGATCATTTCAATGGTTAAGCGCACATCTCCTCCCCGCGGGGATGTACGTGCATACGGGCCTAAGTTGAATTTTAAAAAGAGCCAGCAAAATATTGATTGTGGGCTTTTGGACTGAAGTTTTTAGGAAAAGTAGCCGGATTTTGACTATCAAAGTTAAGAATACTAACCTTTTCGGGGAGGTTGTAGAAGAAATAGCTTGGATTAGTGCGGACAACTTCTCACAAGCCTTTCTTTTCATATCTCGAATCTTCTCTATAGGTATTTCCTCGCTTGTGGAAGTGACAGTTGTATCCGCACTCATTTTCTGCAAATTAGTAACAAACTGATCATAATGTAAACTTTGCTAGGCTTTGATATTAGAGAGCAATTTATAAATTTGGAAGAGAATTAACTTTCCTTAAAGGGCAGCGCTTAAAATGTTTCATGTAGTCCCAGAACGAAACGAGACGCAAAGTTCCAGCTGCGATTACGGTAGACGAAGCACCGCCCCGCCCGGGAACCAGCCGGTCAGTCGATAATGTTAATCAATAACGGGTGGTGTGTCTCGTGGGTTCAGTGCGAGTGCGAAAGCACCCTCGCGGCTCTGTTCTTTCCGTTCCGGACTTCATGTTAGTTCAGTAGTACTGCTGTGTGTTGTGAAATACGCATGTTCCAGAAGGTTTCCGGAAGTTTTCGTCGATGGCCAAAGTTCTCGCACACAAATCTCGAATATCGATCGGTTCTGATTGGAGCCGGCTGCCTCGCCACCGGCACTAATTCATGGCGACTTTGGCGAGCTAAAAGCTCAAACTTTTAGAAGTTGTTCCCTGCTGAGCTGACCTCATTTGCAATCTCTCCCTCTTTATTGTTGTTTTGGGACAGTTCGGATTAATTCTTATCACTGTCCCTTTCTCCCATCTCACTTTACGTGTTCGTTCGCTGTAAATCGGTTAGTCTCGTTGAAAATCCCCTTTTTTCCTTTTTAGTGTTATCAACTGTGTTTTGTTGATAGAACTCCCGCTGTGCTGAAGAGAAGATGTCGTGCAGTAGCGATGAACAATCCGATAAGGAGGTAGGCTAACTTTGCTTGCCAAGGAGATTTTGAAACATTTTCTAAGCTTCTAAGTTGTTTTCACGATGTAAACTTGATTATTTTAGTGTCCGCTTTGTATGGAACAACTCGAAATCGATGACCTAGATTTCTACCCCTGTAAATGCGAGTATCAAGTAAGTCATATGTCTATTAAGCAGACTGATGCTGCACTAGGATTGGTTATCCGCATCCAACAAAAATCAGGAGTTAAAAATACTCAGCAGCGCCAGATACGTTTATGAGATCTGGTCTTACGTGTAAGAGATTTTTCCTTATGATCATTTTACGGAAACTCCAAGGCAATTAGAATTTCGTCCCCGCAGATTAACGAATTTTTCGAAACGAAGGCGATCTTTTCTTTAATAGTATATCGAGTAACTCACCACTTTTCTTTTTAGTCCCTTTTCCCTTTCTTGTTTTCGGTAAATAAAAATCTGCTTTTACGTTACAGGGTCGACGCGAATATTGCTAGGAGGGAGGGGGCATTTTGACAGAGAATGTTCTTTTAGAAAAGTGTCACAAAATAAGGGGATGAGCTGCTTTTTAACTGCTTCTTATCTTCGAATGAAAAGCTGGAAAGACTGGCAATAGTGAAACTGCTATATTTATTCTTTTTCAATCTTTGAAATTTTTCATTAATTTGTTCGGAGTGTCTCGTAAAGACTCGTTACAGAGATGACAATGCAGTTATAGGTTTGACTATTGTTGACCTCAATGTTGGAATCCGTTTTCTACGTTCCCTACCTCAGTTCATACTCTCGAGTGTCATTCTCTGCCTTTTTTGACACATATCGCATAGGCAGAGCATGTAATCTTTTGCCTTCATATGATTTCACTGACATTCTGAGCGACGCATAACGTGGGCGTTAAGTTTTATGCTTTCCTGCAAAAATCGATAAAAACCTCGCGCTACATCCTGTGCTTTCAACATTGCCACCCACCATCCTCATGCATGGTCGTCGGTGTGTCTGCTGCGTTTCTTTTGTGAAGCTGACAGCGACGTCACTTGATGTACAATGTATTGGGAGGGGTGAACTGCTGTACATCATCAGCTGACATTGGGGAACGTGTATTGATAAGCGTTCAAGCATAGCGAAGAGTAGAAATTACAACTAGAAGAGAATGGAAAGTCTTCAATGTGCAGTACCGTATTCTAACCGTTTCTCAGGGAATTCTTTCTGCCTCTTTTAACAGATCACTTGCCATTTCAGGTTTTTTGAAAAAAGTGTCAAGTTTTGCCGCGCTCTAGAAAAATTGATTTTCTTATTTGGTTCGAGGTCCTAGCCATCTGTCTGTGAGGGTTTACACATATGGTGTCCTCAAGTTGGCCTTACTTTTCAAAATTGCTTTAAGTACTATTGCTATATATAATAATTGCTATAAATAATGTTATACTTATGGCAAATTTTGAATATAGCATATTTATAGAATCTATAGGCATATATCTGAAAATGAAAATGCTCATGAAATACAAGTGGTGCAGGTCTGCGTTGAAAAAAAAACTAAAGGCAATGTCTTGGCAAATTTTAACATTGTTCTCTATGCATTTTTTGGTGGGCACATCACTTCGGGACTATGTTTCCGAGTTTGTGAAAAGAAATTGTTATGTCCAAATAAAGAGCTTCATGATTAAGTGTGTCAGAAGACCGTTTGATTGGCTGGGACTATCAAATGAGCGTGTTGCTGCCAATGAAACTTTATTCAACATCTTTAGTCATCTACTTTTTCACAGAAAAGATAATTATAACATGCAAAGCATTGCCGGAGAGATCCAGGAACGTTAGTTGTAGAGAACTCAATTTTGAATCTCTATTGTGTCACTACTCCTGATGTTGTGCTATAATTACAAAGTGCAAGAAGTATTGATGGCGTTTTAATAGAACACTGGGAAAGTCCAATCATGAACCACTTTTGTTTGTGCAAAACGGAAGCTGGTGGCATAACATTTCCGTATACCATCAAATTTCCACATACGTTTATGGTTTCAGTACGTTGCAAGAATGACTTCTCTATTCAATAGTGATTGATATCCGTTTGAATCAGGAAAAGTGTGCAAAATTTTCTCGCTAGAGCCTGACTTTCATTGTAATGTTTGTGATTTTGTCCGGGCAGCATGTGGTAGTGTCTGAGCTAACTTCGCATAAAAATTGCAGTTTCTGCGATTTTGTCGCCCAGCGCTGTTTGGTGGATACGCCTTTTCTAGGCTTGTGCAACATCCTCTTAGAAATGGTATCAAACGGATAATGAGCCTCTAAATTATTTCAGAAGACCCACCTATTTTTAGCTTGGCTTGTAAGATTTATCAGCTGCAATCAAAGTGTGGAACAATCTCGTTCAAAGTTTTTTTTCACTTTGTTTGGGTGCAGGTGAGAAGAAGCTTTTTTAAGTCAATCATTTCAAGATTGGGTTTTATGGTAATTCTAATAAAAGCATTCTAGTTCAAAACTTGCACCAACAAAGAATTTCGGTCTGTGGTATCCTTACATGGAGGTGTTTTTGAGCGAAATGTTCAGCTCAACTAGGGTTAAACTGATGGCGTAATGGTCACTTTCACTGAAAAGCTATGATTGCTTCAGAACACTAGCGACTTCAACTATTTTTTTTCATGAGCATCCTTTTAACCAACAAAACCACTAGGGCATGCGCTTTGATCTCGGCGTAAACTTTTCGCTCACTTTCCGCTCGGTGGACGACATAGCGGGAGTAAACCTAAGAGGCCAGTAATTTCTGTTACTGCAGGTCGAAGGATTAGTTGTAGTCGACCTCTGAATGTCTTTGGCGCTGCTTTGATTGTTTGCAGGGAATAGATTCTTTTTTGTCAAATAAAAGTGCTTGTTGGTAATCCTTAATTTGAACCATTTCAGATTTGTAGATTTTGCTGGCATCGACTGCTTACGGATGAGAACGGCTTGTGTCCGGCGTGTCGGCAGCCATATCCGGAGGATCCAGTCACGTTCAAGGTATCTTTAATCTTATAGCATCTTGATTCTTAGGGAGCGTATTGGCCAAATAGTAACGCAAGTGAGGTGATGATATGTTAGGTTCCTGTCTTTCAATAGGAGACATTTGATGTCCTTTGTCTAGTGGTGTGCGTAGTTTAGCCTTTTGGGCTGTTGTCTTGTCGCCCATCTGGGCTTTACTAGGATCTGTTGTTCGATGTTCCGTTTATGCAACACATCTGTGTGGATCACATCCTTCTTTGTGATTCATCAGCTGTGACTCAGTACGGTCGATAGATGATTACTAATGGATTTGCGGTCAGTTTAAATTCACAGACGACTCAGCTGGAAGGTTGGATGTTAGGATGTCGTATCATGCGCTTTTGTTAGGCTTTATCAAGCTAATTTAACTCGTTTACCATTTCGTAACCTTTTTTCTGAGGAAAATCTAACAGTGCTGGAGAATGTCTGCGACAGGTTGTCTTTGAGCTAGTTTGGCCTCTCTTGTCGTCAGGAACCTGTCTTGGAATACTAGCTTGCGTAACTCCCATTAGCATACTGAGCTATTTTGCAAGAACTGGTTTTAGTGGTGAACACTAATGAGTTCATTTACGTCGCTGAAGATTTAGGAATTTCAGTCATTATCCTAAGGTAAAGGTGATCTTGTCGTGTGCATGTCCGGTTTAGAGCACTTGAGCTGAACTAAGTTAAAAAATCAGTGTGGGTCCTCGAAAAATTTACTCGTTATATGTTAGAGGGAAGCGTACTGATAAATTCATTTCGCGAAACCAGTGGAAGCTCGGGATTGAACTTCGATCTGCTATTGAAAGATACTTCTTATTCATTGTTCAAACGCGATCTCAGAACAGATTCACTTTTGATCCTGTTGGCATATCCTAGCATACTGGGAGGAAAGGATAGCTTAGCTTGATCTCCAAGTTCTAGAGGTAGCTATAATGTTGATCCAGCTTTTTTGTTTGCTTTACGTTAGCTCTTCTTGGCAAGTAAGCTTCCTCCAAGTCACTTTCTCAGCTGCTTTTGAGTGACATCAAATATATTGATGGTTTGGAATACCTAACATCATTCTTCGTTGCCATGACCACAAACTGACGAAGTTCAGTCAGGCTTAATCACATTTTGAAATGTGCTTAACATCGCGTAAAACGTCATTTCGTACTATTTTAGCCATTATCGTGTGCTGATGTGCAACGAATCAAAGACGAGAAGCGAATGAAACAACAAGCGGAGAAGTTGCGAATCTCTGAGTCGCGAAATCATCTAGCAAATTATAGGGTTTTGCAAAAGGTGCGATACTCAGCACTGATTTGTCTATATTGCTGAATCGAGTTTTTAGAACCTCGTCTACGTTGTGGGTCTGTCACCTCGAGTAGCTGACCCGGATACGTTACGAAAACCGGAGTACTTTGGCAGGTTTGGGAAGATTCTGAAGGTGAGTGCAGGAAATTTTTCTATTGAAGAGTGATTCGGTAAAAAAAAAGTTTATAACTATCAATGGAAAATTGTCAATGTGTACTTGCTCAGGTGGTTGTTGGTACGGCTCCTACTGCGAATCACCCGCATGCTCAACCTAGTCATACGGCTTATGTGACGTATAGTAAAGTGGAGGAGGCTTTGAGAGCTATACAAGTGCGTTCTATCCTTGTTTTCTCATTATCTACTTTTGGTTTCTTGATGCGCTCATTTAGGCTGTTTGTAATGCTCAACTAGACGGTCGAATTGTGAAGGCCTCGTTGGGTACGACAAAGTATTGTTCGTCTTTCTTGCGAAGTCAAAAGTGTTTCAAACCGGTTAGTTGATCTTAATGATCTGATTTGTGTTACCAATCTATCTTCTTGTTTTAGGAGTGTATGTATTTGCATGAAATAGCTGATAGTGATATCAGTTTTACTAAAGAGGATATGCATATGGGAAAGCATGCTGAATACGAGAAGAAGTGAGTTTTCTTTTTTAAATCATTTCTATAAGTGATATATGTGCTAGGCGAGGTAATATTGTGGGTTGATTGCTGACTATATGTTTTCGTGGAATTGGAAAGTGAAGAGAAAGCTCTTGGGCGGTGTAGAGTATGTAGGAGAACTGGTTATGACATTGCTAGAACGTTGCAGCGAATACACAAAAACGAGCTCTGCAAATATTTGTGTAATAAGCGAAAATGGGACTCTCTTGTTCGGTACTGCAAAATATCTGAATAGTACAGAATATGGTTGTAAGAGCAGAAACGTTAGTGCATACTGGCTTAGTATATGAGAATCCATTTGTTGTTGAGCAAAATGTTTGCTTCTGCGGCGTTTTATAACATTATCGCCATCCAAGGGGTAGAAGACGGCTTCTGTTTTCGTTCTGAGAACAATCGAACCCCGTGCTACTAACTGGGAAAGCCTTTTTAGACGAACTGGCCTTTTCTCACATGTTTGTCACAGGACCCGTCTTTGAATGTTTATTCCAACTCTGCTTTCCTTTTCTGCTCGTTTTCCGGAAAAAAATTATGATCGTTGAAAGTCTAAATTTATCATGCTACAATTACGAAATTAGCGAAAGCGGTACAAAAATAGCTGAGAGATAATGAAATCCAATCAAGCATATTGACTACGAGAAAGTAACACAGCCTGTGAAAATTCATATAGGAGTTTCTGTGTAGTTTTTCGCTTCAAACCAGTTAAGCTTTGACAAAACTTAGAATTTCAACACTCATAACTTTTTCGGAGAGTTGTGTCGCAAAAAAGGAAACAAACATATCAGAGATAACGTTCTGTGTTTCACGATAATTGTCATGTGGAAAGGGTACTTTCATCGAAAAGACTTTCCTTGTAAGGGTTTTCTTGAGCTTCTTTAAGAATTTTTGGCTTCAAGGCTGCTTTGAATTGGCGATACTCATTTCTTTTTCTTTATGCAAGTAGCTTAGGTTAGGTTTAAGGTGTAATCGTATTCAAGGTTTTTTAAATTGGATTATTTTCAGGTTGATTGAAACCGTATTGAATAAAACAGCTCCGCAATCACAAGACAGGCGGACCCAGTCAGTTATCTTTCCTATATTATGCCGTTCAGTGATTATAATGATGACTTTAACAATTATTTTCAGTTTCAGAGCTTGGGCTAATAATAATAAGAATAATATATGTTGGGAACAGAATGGAAGTGAAACGAGCGAAGAAGCGGATGGACGGGATGGAGGATATAATGGTGGTGATGAGGTATGTTATTGTTTAACGTTTGAGCTTATGCACTTGATAAGAACTTGACATGACCGAAGTGCTAGTGATAATGCCGCATTCCGTTTTGGTTTGCAGCTATGGTTGCTAGTGTTTCAATGGTTTGTCGAGTGTCATACTGGTGCGAAAAAAGTTTTTGGAACTCAATATAAATGATGCTGAGCATTGGCTAGTTGATGCGTCAAAGGCATTGTTTGGAGTAGAAATAATACACTTGATATTAATGCCTAACTTAAGTCAAATTCTTCTCTATTTATTGGTGCCCTATGTTTATTTGAGTTCAAGGTTAATTCTGTCATGCCACAGAGAATTCTTTGTCAGTTGGCTAATCGACTGTATCAACCAAATATTCCTTAGGAAGCCTTTCGTGCAGAATTTTGACATTACTCAGTCCAGAAAATTTTACTCGTCTCCAAGTTGACTTTTTGCTTCGAGCTGTCTAGAAAATTTGAATGAAAATCCAAAGCTGAAGAATGTTTAGATACTTTCAAAAGTCACTGTGTGAATGCATTGCAGCGTAATTGTTTGGGAAGATGACTGATAGCAGATGTCTAGCTTAGACGAAACTATAACTTAGTCGTAAACAATGCATTGTAAACACTACGCGCTGCATGTGTGATTCCTTTGCGTGCTTGCTCTTGCATGGGGATTTGCAAGACTAGTGAATGGTGTTAAGATTGAAAGGAAATGTGTAACTTCACTATCTTCTATCTCATGGCGACAGATAACATTTTTACGGTACATAGCTTTGTTGTTCTGTGATTCAAAATCTCATTTTTTAGTCACCTTCTGGTGATCCCACACCGTCAGAAGCATTTCGAACACGGGAACGACAGTCTTCGCAAGACAAAGAAAATATACCGAAACGTGGCAAGGTTAAACAGACAAGTCCACCACCAGCTTCAAGTACGCCGGTGGTGGCAACACCTCCACCGTCTTCACCGCCTCGGAATTCTACACAATCATCATTAGTGCGTTTTCTCATTTTTCAAAAAAAAAGAAGCTTTAACATTGTCACTAGCTATTTCAATTTCAATATGCCTTTTTAGGACTGTAAAGCTACGGAAGTCTCATCAGGATCCGGAAATAAACCACCTTCGAAACCAGCAGAGCAGTTAAAGCCTTTTAATTCTATCTATAATCAAGATACAGAGTCAAAGTTGTTACGGTAATGTTTTAATATCATTTCCTTTCACTAATAAAGTGAAATTGACTTTCATAGGTTATTATGCGGAAATGAAGACAGCGGGGCAGGATTAATCCCAGCACCTGCACCAGTGAGTGAGGCGCCGGCGCCTCTTGTCAATTGGCAAACTCTTTTGGGTTTGTCACCGCAAACCACACCAAATAACACAGCGACTTCGTATACTTCTCCGACATTACAACCATCAATGACTCCACAAAAATCACTAGTCACTTCACCACCACCTGGTAAGTTTCTTACACTTCTTTGCGAAGTTAAGATAATTTGGTGGATTTTTAAGGTCTTGGAGGATTTGCATCAGATGATGACCTTGGTTTTGACCCATTCAGTGAGTCATCTAAAGGTCTTGCGCGACTGCTGGAGGAGGAGGAGAAGATTAAGCAGCCAACGTAAGCTTTTTTCTTTTTTTTTCCATCTAGATTTTTTTTCTTGCAAACGCTCTTCTGGGTATTTTTAATTTTTTAACGTAAGACTTTGAATGATTATTTCTGACAGTGACGTTCTGATGTTATCAAGAGTAATCAAAAGCAAACACTTTGATGAAAAAGTTTGAAGAGTGAACACGAATTTTCTTGTTCTTTTTTTTCGTTTTTAGAGGTCGGCGTTTTTTCTATGGGGGGGGGGGGGGGGGGTCGCGTAAATCCGGACGCTTCTTTTTTCTCCAAACAGTGGCCTTACTTTCCTTTAGAAATGTAAAAGCCAAGTTGCTGTAGAGCAGAGTCATCATATTTGACGGCGTGATCAATCGCCGCATTTATTTTCTCAAGTTCAGTGAGAGAGAAGAGCAGGGTCTCTGTACATGATTTTCGGTTGTTCGTCGCTGCTAGCGCAATGGTCTCTGGAAAGAAGGCCATCAATTTCATAAGCAACGGCGAAAAGCAAATCCCATTCAAACCTTTATACATTGACCTCTAAGCAAGTCACTCCAGTTTTTTATTTAATTTTATCATAGTTGGTGCATGAGCTGTATACTTTATAACCACCTCTACACGCATGTGAGGTTGGTAGCAAGTGCACAAAAGCACTCTAAAGAATAACTTTTAGTGCCTTTAAGCATTGTTATGATCTAGATAAAACTTTTGTTTCAGTGATTGTGCTTTTTCAGGATCGCATCCTATATGAACCATCAACTATTGATGCAACAACAACAACAGCAGCAGCAACAACAACAACAGCAACAACAGGCTTTCTCGCTCCGGGATCTTTGGAGTCGTCCTGCGTCGCTGTTTCCGACTATGAACGCCCCTCAGCCGCAAACTCCTCTGGATATGTTCGCTGGTTTGATGAGCAGTCACCAACAGTCGCAGCAGCAGCAGCTCCATCATCAGCTTCATCAGCCTCCGAACCACAACCACCTACAGCAGCATCATCAGGCGCATCAGCAGCAGAGGCAACAGTTTGATCCATATTGTGCACCGCCTCCGGGCTTGACACCGCCGCCACGCCCAGCGATGACCACACAGTCCATCTCAGAGTGGCAGGAAGGCCTGAAAGCTCTGCTTCCGAATGTTAATGTACGTTTCGTAAGCGATCTGGATACTACTCACAACGGCAGCAATCTTCACCACCTTCATCAACAGCAGCACACACAGCACTCGTCACTGGGAAGCAGATGGCCGCCATCAGCTTACGGACTTGACGCTACTGGACGCACAAATCCACATCACATCGTACCACACGCCGTTCCTCCTCCACCCGGTTTCTCGGTGCCGAATCGATGAGTGTTTGCAGCAGTGAGAAGTATCGATTCTTCCCTGACCCCACTCAGATCCCCGTCCCTTCTGGTCCCCCCCCCCCCCTTAATTTCTTCTTGACACTTCGTCAGTTTTAGGTCGTGTAGCGAACAGGCTACATTGCCGCTGTACGAAGTGTCATCCCTCTCCCTTCACCCAGTTGTCTGTCCCCAACCCCCTCGTCATCTGTATCACTATCTGATGTTTGCCTTTACCATCACTGCAACATCATTCTTGGTCGAGTACGAGTCCGTGTGATGGCGTTTCACGTTAAGGGTTGCGCCTTCACCGAACTCGATGGGGCTGTTTGAATAAATATTTCTGCAAAAATTTGTGTTTTGAGGATGTGGTGCATACGATATCTCAACGAATTCGAGTAAAAATTCAAAATGTATTTGAACACCTAGTTTGACTCGAGGCTGTCTGAAATAAAGGATATCGAACACCCCAAAAATTAGGAATTACAACTTCATTCTCGCATGTTTTTAGGTACGTCAGCATTATCTTTCTATTTTTAATCTTACTATGGATACTGTCGATGTAATCTTACTATGAATACTGTCTGTAAGGAGGGGAGGCGCTGCTTCTGCTTGTTTTTTTCACATAGTTCGTATTGTGGAAGCGCGACCAGATAGTTGATCCATAGAGTTTCACGGCGAGACGGAGCCTAGACTAGCGAATGTTTATTCGTAATCGTCAATCTGGTGCGATGCGACCAAAAAATTGGTTAATGACTGTAATTGCGAGTGTTAAACTGTCTTTGGCATGTTCTTCTGAGTCAGGAACGATCATTAGATGCAAATCCCATTGTGGGTATCGAACTTCAATGAGTTTTTTGTACATTTTTCGCACGCAAAGCGTAGAGCTGTTGCAGACCAAGCGTTGAGCTGTATGATCTGGGGCATCAAACCAAAACACACGATGCATCAACAACATGTCTATTGAGTTAGAACGCCCGTAAAAGGGCTCGGACCTGGGAGGAGTTGCAGGTGCGCTCCATAGCCATTTCGATTAGAGCACCGTTTTTTCAACTGGAGCGCACTATCTCCAAACACTTCCACGCCGGTCTGGGTAGTTTTTGAGTATACGTATAGTCTTTGACATCTTTGTGGGAATTTGACGGTAAAATGTGGACAAATCATGTCAGAGGATCAAAACTGCCAATTCTTTGTTACGATAAGACCCGCTTGCGTGCATTTCATGCGTAGAAAAAATTGTGTGAAACATCAAACCATTTTGCTGCTTAACTTTGAAGCACAATCCACAAGCCCGCCAGAAATTTGAAATTCCTTGAGAATGTTTTGCTCGAAATACATAAATTCCAAGCATGCTGGATTTTTTGTGCATATTCGACCGACCCTACATGCGTTTGGACTCTTGTCACATGTATTTCCACGAATATATACAATATCTATGTTCTCAATGGATCTCAATGATAAGTAAGATCTGCTCCAAGTTTCAAGGTTTCCAGATTTCCGGATTAGTATGAATTCAGCCTACGGCATGTGCCTAAGAACCCGTCCTACGAAAAACTACGAACTTGTCCCGAAGTGATGCTCAGTGAGAACATGGCAGCAGGCCAAGTTCTATGTTCAGCACATTGGTCAGCTCTCGCTCAAAAAAATTCTCATTAATTTCAATTCCAGTAAGTAAAGTTTCATAGTTAACTTAATATAGCACCAAGTTTCAAAATTTGTTTGTTTCTAGAGAATTTCTGAGGTTGACAGTTGGGCAAATTAATTTTGTACATTCAAAACTATTCACTAACTGCAAAAATCCCGGCTTTTCCATTTAGCAAAACGTTACAGTCTATAAAGGTCACCAGCATGAAGTTGCCATTTTCCACCCATTTTTTCTTCAATTTTCAATCTATGCATCATCGACAAGCTTATCGAACAACATTAGCAATGATGATTTACGACTATGCAGCGCTTTTGAAGCTCATGAGAAAAGGCGACGATTGCTATCAAGTGCAAAATTGAAATATGACACATTCGATTTCTTTTTTTTAGCTCTCATTGCTTCAAAGACGTCGATCTAACAAGTTTTCCAGCAGATCTCAGGAAAGAATTTTATGTTTTCGAGATAAGTTATGTAATTACAAGACAGTTATAGGTCGTCTCAAGAAAAAAAAAGACAAAGCAATACCGTAAAGGATGTTTTTGAAGGAGTAGGAAGGACTGAAACACAGCTGTTGCCAGAATTTGATTGGCCACATGAAAGCCGTAAAAAGAGTTGGCACACGAACACCAGTGCTAAATCCATCCCAATTTAGCGCTAGCAGCCCTACGATACTTCTAAAAGCTGCACAAAGTGGATCCTCAAGTGGTGTGAACTCAAAGAGAAGTTAGAGCAGCCGAGACTAACCCAAAAACGGAAGTTCAAGACAGTTACTGACGATGAGTTTCAAGCGTAAATTCAGGCAAAGGTTATAGAGGGTAAATGCTAACTATGGCTGGGCTAGATAGTTGCATGGGTTGCTTAATCTTGCTACCTTAGATTCAATTCAAAACAGCAATTGAGAAGGTCAAAAACTCATGAAAATGCAGTTAAGAACAAATTCGTAAGTATTTTGGTTAGTTTTCCAGCAAAAGCCACCAGACTTAGCAAGTGGTAACCTCAGAGAGATAGTAATCAAATGCACTTTATCTGGTTTTTTTGAAGACTCGTATAGCACTACACTGGAGTTTTAAGTTGGTGACAGCCGGAGAAATCGCGCCTCTTGATCGTCTCCCCTTTTTTCGTTGTTGCATAACTCTAGTGAGTAGAGTAAAACAAGAACCAAAACAAAGGTCATATATAGAAGAACACAAAGCAAAAGTATTGTTGAGTGATGCATGAACGCCCAATCATGAGAACCATAGGGTATGATGATATGTCCTGACAGCTTGAGAAGAGGAAAAGTACATGCAAGCAGAATGAACCAAAACATTCTATTATTTTGCACATAGTCCCTCTCCCAGTCTTCCATCTCTTTGGAAAGTTTGTGAAACGCTAAGTGTTAGGAGATAGTGCGCCCCACTTGAAAAAACGGTGCTCTAATCGAATTGGCGATGGAGCGCACCTGCAACTCCTCCCAGGTCCGAGCCCTTTTACGGGCGTTCATTGAGTTACACTCAACCATGAAAGCAACCGCAAGGGGTCGCACAAAAAGAGGATTTTTTGCATAAGCGGACCTGCGAATATTGCTTTACAAATTACAGACCGAACAACAGTCGCATTGTAGTGCGCAGTGCAAACTCGGCCTGCAATATTAGGACTATCATAGAAACAGTATTTTGGTGTTTATTCTCTGAAATGTCGTGGTTTATTGTCTAGTTCAAAGCTGAATGTAAGAATTTTCGAATTTATAACATGGCTGCAAAATAAAATGAATAAATGTATCCTGGAAACCATATAGTTGCAGGTAGTCCTTCCACTGCAGTGAGTTTGAGATCAACAGCTGTAATGGATCCGTTCTCGCCAGATTTTGACCCATGTAGTGTTTTGCAACGCTCACCAGAAGGAGGTGATCGAAGCACCTATGGCAGCTTGGAAGATTTCGAAACGACATTTGCTTCTGAACAACCAGAGATTGCTAGGCTAATCTGTGAAAATGATAGGTCGGCTAACACGAAGAGCAAAAAGTACGTTATTCAAAAAATGATTTCACATTTGTTGAAGAATCGTTTATTGAAGACAAGAAAAACGTGAACGAGTGGCACGATTGGAAGGTATGACATTGAAAGGACGTCAGTTATTTGAGAAAAATGTGCGGGCTCAAGATGGGTAAGTTTTTTTTATCTCCAGAGCTTTATCATTGCGTCCTTGTTCAGCTTGTCGTTTAGAAATAATGGTGCCCTTGTCTGTGTGATTTTTGTTTTTTTAAACCATGAATTTGGGGTTGATTTCAAAGTTTTTTACCGTCACACTTTGCTTGAGAAAATCTCCTTCACGATAATGTCGAGACTCGAATATATCAATATCTCATGCTCTTGCGGTAATCTGTGCTGTTTCCGAAAACGTCAGATCTAGCTTTTCTGGGCATGAATAGTGCTCTTGGAGCAGGAAAACTTTTGCGATTTCAAGAGTCAATCATGTGACTGATGTGATTGGGTGCAGAGGTCAGAATGTGCCTCCCCCTTTCCTTGGTGCGGTGCCCCAGTACACCTCCGTCTTCGGGTTGTTTCAGACTGCCGCACTGACTGCAGTAGACTGCAGCAGACTGCAGCTGACTGCAGCTGACTGCACTGACTGCAGCAGACTGCAGCAGACTGCAGCTGACTGCAGCTGACCGCACTGACCACACTGACCGCACCGGTCGCAGCCTCTTTATTTAAAAGAAAAAACAACCGCGATTATCAAAGCAGCGTGATTTGCGCATAAGAAGATCATAAGTTCCATCAGAATTCCTCTCAATCAAATTTTGGCAATAGTTTTCTTTGGTATGTTCGTATTTGTTCTAATTCTTCCTATCATTGCATATACCTGTTTTGTAACATTCTAAACCTTGTTGTCTTTTGCTTTTACGTATATATTGTTGTTGTTTGTTTGAACCACAACTATTTATCCTCACCGCCTGCAGGCTTCAGCCGCTGCGGTCAGTGCGGTCAGCTGCAGTCTGCTGCAGTCTGCTGCAGTCATTGCAGTCAGCTGCAGTCTGCTGCGGTCAGTGCAGACTGCTGCGGTCAGTGCAGACTGCTGCAGTCAGTGCGGCAGTATGAAACAACCCTTCTGTGGCAATGAGCATCAGCTAAGAACGGCTGTGAGAGGGTTTCTGCAACGCAATTTTCACTGCAAAGGCCTTATCGTGAAGTCGCGCTTGAAGAGGCCTGAATGGGGGCTGCTACTGGCTAATTGAAAGCCAGAAATGGCAAAGCACCAAAGTGCAGAAATGGCAGAGTACAGGCAAAGGATAAAACCCTTAAGTCAAGAGAAAGTCTACCTGGTCAATGCTTGAGGAACTCATGTTTCCTGTATCATACTTGACTGTAAAGTAGAAAAATGTAGTTTCTAGAACATCTACGTCATGAGCACAAAGTCGCAGCTTAAGCGATAAAAATTTGTCATGTTTCTTTGTCATTATTTATTTTGAAAATGTTTTTATACCTACAGCATGGTTGACTTGGTTTAACTAACCTTTTACTGTCACATTCTGTAAGTTCTGCAGCTTAAGGTTAATTGACTTAGAAGCACTACACGGTCAGTGGTCAGCTGGCCCTATGTCTCTGCTTTTTCGTGCTTTGAAACGAAATCTACGAGTGGAGGTGCGTAAAATCAACTGAAGTTCTCAACATAGTTCTTATGTATATGTGTTTAGGTATACATCCGAGCTTTGAATCGTGTCGATCATATTGCTTGCGGATATCTGATAGCGTTTGATCGCCATGTAAATCTCGTTCTTCGTGATGTGGATGAAGTTGCTTTACCTGGACGGTAAGTTTCACAGTTCTGGATTATATATCTAGTTAGAGATTTAGTAAAGAAGAACGGACATTTGGTCGTCGTAAATTTCAAGAACACTACATCCTGCTTGGTATGCGATGGCGCACTGGTGGCACATGGCCGCATCCATCAGGTGTATGTCGAACTGTTTTGCAACGGCACATCCCGTGTTCAATGATCAAGGGTGATACTGTTGTGCTTGTACGGTTACTTACATGATATCAAACTTTGTCTAATTTTCTTCTACTCTTTAATGTTTTGTTTTATTTATGCAAGAATTGTTATCGAATGAATGATGAATGTGACTTCTACTTTGCTGAATTGTTTCAGTACCGAATACGGTCTATATGCCCTCAGCAAGGTCAGATAAGCCCATCATGCCACTACAGTACACTGTTTATCATCGTGATCAGCTCAAGCGCAACGCTAGAACCGCGTGCCGCGTTCGCGAGCGTACCGCTTGAGCGTTTTACCGCCGCCGACCGCTGCGCAGGGTCTACGTGCTACGGATGCGTAGATACTATGGAAAAGGGAGCACATGGTTGACATTTGTTGTAGATCGTTACGGTCTGACTCTCATGACTTATGAACGAAGCTTTACAGTGAAGTGCATATCTGACTCTCAAAATTACCGAATTGGCTCGATGGCCCGTACTAGCTCAATACCTTTCTGGAAGCTTCTACAGTAATCCTACGGTAAACAACGAACAGCGATCAAGCTTTGCTCCATGCTATAAATCCAAGTGAAGCGAGCTCTGGAACAGGTACTTAAAGTTCTGTGGAAGTCTGATGGATATAGAAACAATAGCGATTAAAGGCAGTGGCTCGGCAAATCTCAACCTAGTCAAATTTGTGCTTACCTGGGGTTTTTCAATACGCTGATCCCGAAAATCCACTTTTGAAAGCTTGAAAACGGCGAAAATAAGCGATTTTTAATGCCCTTCCCTTTGATATTGGACGAGTGGAGCAAGGCCGATGACGCTAAATCGTGGCAGGGTCCGATAGTTATAGCGTTGCGGCGTAACCATTGGGTCCTGCCACGATTTAGGGCAGCCTCCAATGGTAAGAAGGAAATTGCCAACTCGTCCAGATGCGTGTAAGATTGGTCTGCGGTGTAAGTTCGAGAGCGATTTTCTCGGCAGGGAAAGCATGTGCAACCGGGATTGCACTGTTTTCATAGTTGGGCGATAAGGAACCTGTATCGGTGGTTGTAGGCTTTACTGTAGCCTGAGGCGAAATAGCGCCTGTTGGAGCGTGTTATATAGAACACATTAGCTAGTAAGCTTTATGAACAGGCGATCTGCACTCGTAGGTGCTGTGGTAGAATGCTGACGACTAAAGGCGTGGCAAAGTAACATAACAAACATCTGGACAATAATACCCTCATATCACAGCAGGTGCTTTATGGTGCTTAGGAGAAGTATGATATAAGTTGTAAGGAAGGTGCCGACAAAGTCGGCACACTCCGGCCAGCGAGGGGAAATGGAGAGAGCGAAAATGTGCATATCACAATAATACATAACACTGTGGATATACAGAAATACTCATATTTGTCAGGATATCGCAGTGGTCGTTGGTGAGCGACGCGTATCACTTTGACTGTATCGACACCTGCGAAGTATGAGCAGACGTGGCGATGACAGGAGACAGATGGTTGGAATAAGCAGGCGATGAAATTGTTGTGATTAGTACACTCAATATGGCGGCGTGATTAAAACTTGAGTTCAAAAAAAAATTTCCGTCCTTGTTTGGAAACGGAGTTGGAAAGTGTTCGTCATTGGAGACAGCTGTCTCACCTTCACTAGTTGCCGGAAGCGTCGTGACCTGCAAAGACCTGACTGCCTCCTTATGAGCAGAGAAGATCTTGTCGTTATATTGATCATCAGTACTACTCGACGTTTTGCTTCTTTTTATCGTTCCCTCTGACTTTATCTGCGATAAATTTTTTGCTTCTACTTTTGCCGTGTGGTCAAGGCTGTCATTGAAGTTTGAAATGGCTGACTCCACGGACATCTTCTGTGGTTTCTCTTGAGCATATGGTAGCTGCTTGAAGCGCTGAACTTACTCCTGGATTCATTGTTAGTGTCTCCTTTACTTTCTTCTTCGTTCTCAAGCGTTTCTTCGTTCATCGTTGGCATATCGCTTGAGATAGGATCGCCTGGTTTTGACGAATCGTTCGACTGATTTCCGAGCAGTAGTTGCTCACTGTTATTTCTGCATGTTACGGCAAAATTCTTCCTGCTTTCTATGCTTTCCAATTCTGTCTCAAATTCTGTCATGCGAAGATGCACATAGTAGACAAGCATGTGAGTATCATCAATGGCTTTATAAAATCTTATCTCTTTACCGAGCTCCTCCATTTCCATCACCATCACTTTCCTTATGGCGGCAGATTCTTCGTTTTAGTGAAGTTTCTCTAACACATCAGTCCTCATGTGTAGTGAATGTGCGGCGGTCTCCACTTCTCTGATTATTCGCGCACATTGGCGCAGATTGTAGACGCATATCCTCCGGCGCAGTTCGTCGTTATCTGGAAGGATGGTCTTCTCACCACTGTATGCGCACCCTTGCAGTACATCCGCGAGATTCTTGGTTTGCCTTCTAATTGTTTGTAGAGGCAGGGCTTCATTGTGAGTTGAATCCCTTTGTGCTGCTGTTCTAGCGAAGCACTGTCGGCCTTCGTATTTGGCCGATGCACCAAAAATGTATCGGTGGTTGTAGGCTTTACTGTAGCCTGAGGCGAAATAGCGCCTGTTGGAGCGTGTTATATAGAACACATTAGCTAGTAAGCTTTATGAACAGGCGACCTGCACTCGTAGGTGCTGTGGTAGAATGCTGACGACTAAAGGCGTGGCAAAGTAACATAACAAACATCTGGACAATAATACCCTCATATCACAGCAGGTCATGCTTATGGCATGACCTTTATGGTGCTTAGGAGAAGTATGATATAAGCTGCAAGGAAGGTGTCGGCAAAGTCGGCACAGAACCTACCGCGTTAAATCCCGAGTTGTTGGATTTTGCCGATCCACTGCCTTTAAACAGTGTATAGATACTCTTCGGACACCCTGTATGATGGACTCTCAGGCCTTGGGTATAGGCCGTCCGCGCACGGCGCGGAGAGTGCGCAAGGTGTGTTTTGCGCGCTACTCCTCTCCTCGTGCACTCTCGCCGCCTGTTTTTCTGTGCGCTTCTTCCAGTCATGAATTGCCTTCAATGTACGCAACAGCGCTGCTCTCCGTGCGCAGTGCGGACGGCCTATACACCTGCGCAATTCCACTGAATCACTATGGTCGACAACCTGCCAAATGTCTTCTAAGCATAGCTTCCGTAAACTGAGGCGTGCGTTCCCAGTCTTGCTTATCAAGAGTGCGCTTACGAAAAATTATGAGGAATCGTAGCGGTGCGAAATCGCGAGGTGACCGATGCCTCAATAACAGCGAGTTGAACGATTGATTATATAGTCATAATGTTGTTGAGAAGTCTTCTTGTAGTTGTTGCTGTGAAGTTGCTAAGGTGCAAGGTTCTTTGATGTACAGTAGTTTGTTGTGAAGTTGACGTGAAGATGAACATACATTTATCTGTATAACATTTGTTAATCGCTTAACAAAACACGAAGAGATACTGTAGGGTAGAGGAGAGCTGAAGAAGTGCTGATTAGTGCTTTGTTGGCAAATCTTACACTCTGTGCTCATCGCGGAACTCCCAACCTTAACAGGAAAGTACCTACGTTCAATAGCAAAATCTGCTGCTAGAATTCCACGATACCAAGTAGATTGCTAAGCCGGCCAATATACGGCACCGACCTCCAGAACAAATGCCCGGATACGCCGAACATAAATACATGACGAGCTTCAAATTCATGTAATACCGCGTGTTACACCCCTACTTAGTAATAGAGAGCTGCCGTTATGCGGCAACTTAATCGACAGAGAAGCAACGCCCCCTCTTCGGCTCTGAAGCCCACACGGCTACCGAAGAGCGAGTCCTAAAAGGGTTCTTTGCAGCCTTCAAGAGAAAAGGAAGAAGATCTGCGCGTTCCACCGTTTGAAGGCTGTAAGTTTGCTTCTGTTAACAACTCACCAGTGGCAGTCGTTCGGACAAAGCAATTGTTGGAGGAAGTTAAAAGCGGCTGGAACAGTGAAAGAGGTGCCCGCATGCTTGGTGTCCACTCTAAATGCAAAAGCAGCTTCATTTGCAGTAAGCTGAGTTTTACTTTTTATCACACTGCCATACATTAGCGGCACACATTCTCTATCCGTAGAAACAGTGCCTTAGAAGTGGTTTCGTTTGAGTCATTGCCCCAGCCGAAGAAGGTTGTTTTTAGCGAAAAAAAGGGATGTAAGCTGAAGCGGCAAACACTAGAAAAAATACTTGAAAACTGAGGGTGAAAATAGCGATTCAGCAGGATAGGCACCTCAAATGCGTGGTGTAGAGTTGCATCCGGCAGCTTCCGGTGAAGTAGGAATAATAATATATGAGATTACCGTGAGCAAATGTCTTGTAGCCTTCAAGAAGACAGGGGAAATCATCTGCACTTTTCATTGTCTGAGTGCGGTAAGCTTGCCTATGTCATTGCAAGCTCAGCACTTGCTGGATGATATCATGCGTGCTGGTAGGACGGTTTCGAAGTCCGAGAACCACAACTGCTTAATGAATGGGGTGTGGTGCGGAAGGCGACAATGCCCAAACTTTGTGCCTTTCAAATTCCTCGGTGCCAAAGTGGCACGACGCCAAGGTAGGGAGTGGGGGGGGGGAGGGGGGTGGGGCAGATACATTACTTGATGCCACAAGTTTCTGTAAAAGTTAGTAAGGGTGATTTTACACTGCTTGCACTTTGCGCGCATTTTCGCTTCGGGTTTCTTCTTACTACGCCGCAGAGCGCGGCGTGCTGTGGCGTGCACCGCTGCAGTCGCAGTGAAAATATAGGCTCACGGCAGCACAGCTTCGCCGGTTATGGATGTATACCCATGTTTGCTGCACGTTCGTGTTCTCCGAGAGCGCTCCTTCACTGCGAGCCTTATGTAGTCTTTTTCAACCCAGAATAGGCGAAACACTCCAAGTAGTACAGCGCGTCCGCACCGCCCCTAGCTCGGCGAGATAGATTAATATGAAGAGACGCAGACTGCAAAACGGTGCGAATCGCTGCGAAGCGGTCTCCCAGTCCAATTTCTGCCTAAACTGAGTTGAAACTTACCATACTTTCACTGCGACTGGTGCGGCGCACGCCGCAGAACGCGGTGTGCTGCTTCGTATGGTAGGTGCCAGACTAAGCGAATATTTTGTTCAGCTGCAAAAGGCGCACAGAATTAACGTTAATTCTGCGAAGCTGAAGCAGGCCTTAGCAGCAGCAGACATTATGCAGCAGACATTAATTCTGCGCGGCTTTTGCAGCTGAACAAAACAGTCGCTTAGTCTGGCGCCTACCTATGAAACACTTCCGCGTGCCCCCCGAAAGGAAGGTGAAGAAAGACACAACTCGCGCGCTATTTCACGACTAATCGCCACCACCTGCTCGCATTAGTTCCTGCAGCCATTACATCTAGTTTGGATCTTTTTCCTCGCATTGGACAGGGCTTTTGTGGATGTATTTGTGCTGTAGTAATAGAAATATCTGGTTCGCTGTACTATTCGGCTGAGATATTGTAAGATGTGATATTGTAGCGAAATTTATGACAAGCAAAGATCCAATCTATCTGCGCGCTAAAAATGCTCTTGAGGTTCTTTGTCTCTCTTTCATGTTTATGTTTTGCAAAATAAAAGGTCTAGTTCTGTATCTTATAGGATTTGTTATAAACAAAACGTTTTTCTCGCATATGGTTGTGTTTTTCTATCTGGTAAGAAAAATTTACTCGAATAACTCATTCTCACATGAAAATTTAGTTTCTTTGGGGCTGAACGTCTGGGCCGTTCTGAATTGTGAGACACTGTTTAGTTTCAACTTAATCATTTACAGCATTGATGCGCATAAATTCGATCAATCTGCTCGATTTGCTGTCGCTCAATGTTGTTGATTTTCCATGTTTCTTTGTCCGTGTCATATTCGATACAATATTTTCAAAATAAAAGATTGTTAAAATTTCTTAAATTTTGAGTCTGTATTGCAGTACTATATCTGTCCACATTGGACTTTTCAAGTTATACGAATCTTCTCAGCGTCATTGTTGGTTAACTTGCGAATCTGATACTAAACGACGGCAAACGAAAAGGAGTAAAATGTCAGATGGTAGCAGAAATTGCGATAGCTTGAATACTGGTGATAATGGGAGAAATTCACAGACGGTAGGAATTGCGTTGGTCACCAGATCTTTTTCAATAAGTGATGTTTTTGACTATAAAAATCGTTCAGGAACAGGGAAGAGTGACGGACAGCCCTCTCGGTCAGCTGGATCCGAGCCGTATAACTCATATGGTAGTGGACCAAGTCGGTCTTGGTAGTACGACATCTCAACAAAATGAGCGTTTCGTTGTACCTGGTCCTCCACATCAGGTGTCTCAGGTATCTTTATTTCATTCGTTTTTATTTACCCTGCTGACCAAAGTTTGATGTGAATATTCATAATCGAGATAATGTTTCGAACGTTTGATCGTTAATATCTCTCTTCCCAAGAAGTCTTTTGCCTTGCTTTAGGGACCGTTTTGTAGAGCTGGCTTCAACTTAGATTTGCATTATAGAACGAATCACCTATCTCTCTTCATTACTGTAGGATTACGGTAGAAACTTGGAAGAGGGTTTTAAGTAATGAAAGCCTCAGAAAAGAAACAAAACAACTGAAAACTTTTACACACTAGCCTAATTAGAGTTGCTGATTCTAATGTAAAGTTCCCAACTTATTATGATGCTTCATTGAAGAGTTATGCCAGATAAGAGGAGCGGTCATTTTTCCAATGTTTCTAAAAAGTGCGTTTAGAAACACCGTTTAGAAAGCTTCGCAATCTTGTGAATAATTGAGTATTGAACCCACCGTCCATAAAAACCCTATTACACAAGTTTTCACATTTTTTGAAAAATTTCGAAACGGCAGCTTTTTCCACATTGACACCATCTGTTTCAAGTTTCTACCGTAATCCTACAGTAATGAAGAGAGATGGGTGATTCGTTCTATAATGCAAATCTAAGTTGAAGCCAGCTCTACAAAACGCTCCCTAAAGCAAGGCAAAAGACTTCTTGGGAAGAGAGATATCAACGATCAAACGTTCGAAACATTTTTTTGGGACACCCTGTATATTGCCTTCACATAGTCTAACGTCTGTGATTTTTACGTGTGGTTTTTGACCACTGTTGATTTAGCAATGGATTCATTCTTCGCCTGGAGCAAGTCCATCGCTTATGCATGCTTCTAGAGGTTGGTTCTCTACTCTTGTGGGATTCACTTGACAAAAAACCATTTTTCAATTTGTGTGGTCATGTTGTAAGTGGATGTTTGCTTTGCTGCACTATGTCACTTAGAATATGAATTTGCTCCTCATTTCTTCATCCTATTCCGAATTTCATACCTTGATTCTATACACTAGCACGCAGACGTTCGCTTCAAATCATCAAGCATATTACCTAAGATCTGTGATGACACAAAGATGATTGCGTGATTTTTACTACGTTATTTGCTTTCATTGCATACTTATTGAGAACCAGTTGTGTTCATCAAACCTTAGGATTAAAGTCAAGCTTGATAGGATATCACAGCGTGCCACATAGATGGTTGCAATCAACCTCAAACTTTGTTACCTTATACAATTCTTAAAGAGGAATATAAACCACCTCAGACAAATGTTGACCCAAGTCTGGCCGCTGGTCTGCAAATTTCCCACTTGAAGTCCTTTATCCTATTCTATTAAAACTTCTCTTCTGTTTCATCACTCAAGAAACTTTTTGCTCACTTTCTTCGCTCAATTCATCAAATTCGCTTTCTTCATCATAGCAGTCAGTCCATGTTGACTCAAACCTTGCAGTTTTTTTCATAAGAACCTCAGGGACATCGGCTGAAGAGGAATAGAGGGATGCGCGATAGAGCGCAGTGAGCTGAATCGAAAAAATGTTGCCTTTTGTTTTTCTACTCTTGGGCTTTTGTGCACGCTGGAAGCGTAACGTATATCTGCTTGATTCGACACCTTGCTTACCAGGAAGTGTGGGTAGGAACTGGAACTTCCAATCAGCATTGATTGGCTGCTTAACAGAAATTTTTTGTGGTCATCCAACACTACAAACCAGATTAAGCATTTTGTAACTTTTCCTTCGAGCATCGCTAAGATCAAATGATCAGGTGGGCTCTATTCGATATTGCCTTTCTTTGGTTTTTTGTGGTAAAGTAGTTTGTAAATGTGGGACCAGTAGTTTATTAACTCATTATTTGAAACGTCCTGAGATTTCCGTTAGTTTGCCCTTCATGTTCAAACTTTATTTTGTAAGTCTTTTTCAAGGAGCATGTCAGCTCGCTTCTAACCCAATACCTGCCAAAACTTAGAAAGTAGTGGGAAGTGTGCAAAGCTTTTGATATTTTGCACCGAATACTATAATCACTGGTCACATCATTGTTGAGACTTTCATATGGTTCCATATCAAGTGAGAGAAAACAGTCTCAGCTGCGAAAACTACTAAATCAATGGGACCGGCCATACTATTCCTGTGACTCCTGCAACCTGCGAATTCTGTGATTGCTGCGGGTCCCGTAACAATGCATATTGCGAAAAACCAATGTATACTGAAATCCGCAAACTGCTCCGTAATGCGGCACATCGGAAGTCGAGGAATCACAAGAACTGCACGAGTTACACGAGTCGCAAGGATCATCTTCTGGAAGAGTATGGCCGGTCCCAATGACTTTCTTCTGCTGTCGTCTGGAGCGAACAGAGGTCTTGTGAGTAGCTAAGTAAGCGTTTTGGCCTTCTGCGTTGCCTTGGTGTCGCATCCTGTCGAGCATTAGGCTGTTTTGTCCATGGTTGAGCAAAACAAGCATTCCATAACCTTTGTCGTCACTACCTTGAGACGGGCTTCAATTTGGCATTTGTAGATAATGCCTTCTTTCGAGATTCATGTGGGCTTAATGCATAATTTTGTTATTGCGTTCTAGCCATGGGCGATTGCGGACAACAGCCGAGGATGAGTACTCCTACCAATGCTATGCAGATGCAGCAGGGTAAGTAACTGAGAATTCTAGCCACATCCAAGCTCAGCAAATGTTTTCGTAGCAACTATCGGTAGTCCGTCCATGAACAATGCACCTATGACTCCTCAGCAATTGGTACAGCAGCAACAACAAGGAATGATGCAAAGTCAACGCACATCAATGGGGCAGTATGAACAGCCGCAAGGTTTTGCTCAAAGACAACAGCAGTTATCCCAGGGATATGGACATGATATTCTGGATAGTCCAGGTAATTTCTTGTCGATACTCTTACGTTTTACTTTAGCCGCTCTTCTCGCTTTATCTTGGGCAGCTTTTACTTCACTTGATTGTTATCATATCATGGAGCATCTTAAAACCTTAGATGGCATTCTTAGGTGTCATGCAAATGCAGAATCAGCAAATGGTTCCTTCAAACATTGATGGTACATCTGCTGTGTACGCTAGACAACAGCAGATGATGGAACAACAGCAACAACAACAGCTTATTACTCAACAACAACAGCAACAACAAAGGATCAATCAACAAGTTAGTTTGTCCCATCTTTTAGCTTCCAGCTTTCTTTGTCATTTTCTTCTCTGTTCAATAATCTTCAGTTTCTTGTTATGATTTGAGTTTATTGCTTATTATCGTCAGTCAGTCGATAAGGTCAATGATCTTATTATCTGCAGATTTGGCTGAAAGTAAAACTATGACTCGATTTTCTGCCATTATTATTTAATGTATTTATTACCACCGTTTAGAAAAAGTTTGTAGGGTTATCTTACGTGCATTCATCTTTTTTCTTCACTGTTTTCGCTCTCATTCGTTTCCTTGTAGCAGATGACACAGCAACAGATTGGAATGGGTAATTCACAGCAGTATTATACGCAGCAGAATCCACAAGCGCAGTGGACTCAGCAGCAGCAGGTGCATGTGATCTTTTGCAGTTTTGATTTTTCTCACCGATCAAAGACTATTGATCAAACTTTTATCTGAACGTTGTAGCACCAATACGCTATTTAGATGCAATATATGCGACAGCAGCAGGCACTTGGCGCTGTCTCTGGTCAACGTGTGATGATGCAGCGTGTTCCATATCCGCCTAGTACAGGTAACTTTTTTTTCATTTCATATGAAAAACAAGTGATTATCACGGCCTATTTTTGTAGAAACTGAATTAGATAGTTCTTTTCGTTTCCTAGCCTTTTTTGCTTCAAAATTCTTTACCTTCTTTGCTTGTGGAAAGAACCACTGGAATAAGATTTTTTCGGCGTTTCCTCTTTGTTTGATCCCATTGAATTCGTCCGCAACCATTACTTCTTCTTTTTTGAAGTTTTTTATCTGTGCACCGAATTTTTGCTCTTTCCATTGCTCCGGCCAACAGGGTCGGCTTGCATGCTTCCGCACACCTTCAACTGCAATTTTCAGTTTGAGCACCTTATATTTTTGGTTCAGACTTTGTCACTGTATAAGCGATGTTACTTGCTGGATCATATGGCTTTTCAGCATAGTATTTGTGCGCGGTAAAGGAAATGTTGTACTTGGAAGGTGTAGAAACTACGTTGATGTACGGTCAATAGTTCCGATCCAAACATTCTTTTCACTGATCGATATTTTTGAGGGTTTTTATCGAATTGCAAACGGACAGCAAATTTGAAAGCAAACACTTTTTGGAAGATGTTCGAGCAAGATTTGTTTTGCTTTTCGCTGATGTCTCCAATTTCCAGGCGCAACGCACTTTTTTCGTCGCGCTGTAACAGTCGCTCAACATCGCCGGATGTTTCTGCAGAGTTTTGCTCAGTAGTATGTCTGTGTTCTCCTTGTTCTTGCTGAATTTTTTTCGAAGCTTTTCGTGTTATTCAGCTAAACAGTGACAGCTTCTTGTTGCGTTGATTGTGCAATACTAGAGCTACAGTCGATGTCAATTACGTACTCCCTTTCGCATGGGATGTACGCATGCGCAACGCAAAGACCCTCCGCGCGGACCTCCAATCGATGAGGCCCGTTTGAATGTCTGAGCCATACGCGCGCGAACGTGACGCGAAGCTCACTGCGCTTACGGAAAAGGGAGCTCGTGATTAACACGGACTTTACTTCACTGTGCGGCCAATTGAGTGGGCCACTCTCCGGGACTACTTGTTGATGATGATGTCAGAATCTCAGCTCTTTATCAGTCTTTACCTTAAATGCATTGCTTACTCAATTCGCTTCTGAGTGTGATGAAGGCATTGCTAGATTATTTGTGGCCCTGAAGTATAGAACCCAGGAAGTAGGTGATTTTTGGGGAGCTTTATTGTGATGTGGAGCAAGTCTTACAAGGGAAGGACCCTCGGTCGAAGTGGGTTTCCCACACGCGATGCATATCATTTGTTGGTTTGAGCCACTCATACCAAATCCCTGTTCCTTAGATGCTCAATGATCTTCTGGAAAAAGTTACGAGCGATGTTTCCCCAGGATGAACAGAGTTAGCGGCGCCGAGAAATGTAGTTGTGGAGGGATGGCCGAATACATAGCTACGGAGACTATGAAGGATGTGATAAAGAATTCGGAATACTTGTGTTCCAAACATTCTTACATTTCGCAGACTGTTTTATATGTGTCCTTAATGGGTCCCTAAGGCAGAGAAATCCCCGGCACCCTTTGAATAAATTGCAAAAATGCAAGAATAAGTAAACAATAACATAAGTAACATATTGGAACATAAGTATTCAGAACTTTTATATACCCTCTATAATTTCCGCAGCTATCCACTCGGCCATCCCTCCACAGCTGACATTTCTCGGCGCCACTAACTTCTGCGATCCGTGGTCATCCTGGGGAAACCATCGCTTATAACTTTTCCCAGAAGATCATTGAGCTAAGGAACACGGATTTGGTGTCGGTGCCTTAAGGCCGACAAATGATATGCGTCAAATGTGAAATTCCACTTCGACAGAGGGTTCCTCCCTTGTTAGTATTAGCCTAGTGCCAAGAGCATTTGGGCCGAAACGCAACTTCAGAATAGGCTGCGACTCATCACAATTTTTGGACGCGGTTCCCTTCTGATCGACTGTAAAATCCTTTTACAGAATTATCTGTATGTGGCAGTAGAACTACTGATTCACATTCTTGCCGAACATACCATGCTTGCCTATTTATGTACAATGACTCAACCTTGGTTTTAATGTTGCCGTTCTCCAGGGACACGCGAATAGTTTGGAATCATTTTGTTGTCGCCGCCTTACACTAAAATGTACAACTCACTCATTGCTGCTGCTATTTTGAGAAATTCTGCGCAAAGTTTTACTCGGTGTGTTGATGGAATACATGACACTCGCATGGTTTTTGAGGAGTTGTTTGAGTTTTGTAGGTGCAAGTGAATGATTGGCTATGATTTCAGCTGAGACTGAAATTGAGTTTGAAGCGGATCGGGAGAATTCAATGTTGACAGAGACTAAAATTTTTCTGAAGCGGTTATAGTTCTAGCTAGATTTTGCTTCTATCTGTAAATACTATACGTATTGATCATCTTTATTCAAGAATAGCAGATATGCGTTGTCTTTCAATAGCACGAACCGCTACTCCGTGTCTAGAAAGCAATGACATCGTTGCGTTGTTTTTTTCTCGCGTGCCCATTGCTCAATGTTCGTTTTTGTCCGCTCGCCGAGTTAGAAGGGCGTTGAACGTTTCCAAACCGCCACCAACCAATTCTCCCTGCATCATCAGCGTGTCTCCAAAAAGGACTTTTTGTGATACTTTCTGTGGGATTGCCTCACAATCATTCATTTATCACATTTTTTAGCGAAAGTTATCCAACCACTGAAACGGGCCCCGTCCATTTCCATGAAGTTTTGCCTCAAATGAGAATTATAGCTTTCATTTCATGTGTCTGATTTTTTGTGCATCTTTCGATGCAGACGTCGTCTCTTTGTTTTGCTTGATTTGCCTCTAAGCCCTTGTAAGCTGGTCAGTCATCCTCTTTGCTGCCTACATTTTTACTTGGGTATACAGTAGTTTTTTTTTTTAAATTGCTTGGAGTTTCACTGCTATGTTCATCTATATTCTGTGCTTTCAGAAAAGTAATCATCTGCGGTTCTACAACCTAGAGTTACTTGTCTGCTAGCATTCAAGGATTACGATAAATGGGTGTAGCAAGAGTCGTTCTTTCCATTCGCATTTCAAAATAACAGATTATTTGCAGAGGCGCTAAACTCCATATGCTTATGCATTTTGCCTCAAAGAATGTAGGAAAAGAGAATAACCTGCAAAAGTCTGTACAATTAGGAATGGAGCAGAAGACATTCCAATATTCGTTATACCCGCGTACTATAAATACTACCGTTAAGTTTTTTTTTGTGCTGAAATTATTATAATTTTGTTCGAAGCAGCAAAATGGCTTCTGTGTTTGAGCATCAAAATGACCTTTAGATAATTTATATACTTGCTGAGTCGACTCACCGCGGTCTCTTTCGTTCTTATCTTTGCAGTTCTAATCGGCTTTTTGATGGGTTCTTTGACTGTTTGATCATATTCGAGGTATAAAAGGTAAAATCGAAGTGCAAAATTCATCGTTTGAATGATTTCTTCACTGGCCGACAAAACTCTACTTCCAAAATCGTAATGGCAGATCATTTCAGGCTATCCTCCCGGCATGCAAAGCGTACAACAACAGCAGCAGCAGCAAGTACAGGGTGTTGCGGCGCAAGCGGGTAATCGCCCGCCGAGTGTCGTCCAACAGCAACCGCAGCGACCCGTTTACCCACCGGGAACCGCTCAGCAGCAGCCACAATATGCCTATCCTGGAGCTCAGGCAAATGGATTCCAACAGCAACAAGCTGCTCAGGCGGCCGCATATCAGCAGCAGATGTATCAAAGACAGCAACAGGTTAGTGGGGGAAGATCTCGTTTTTTTCCATGAGGCCTAAAGCGTGCCAAAGCATTTTGATGCTTTAGGAGTTTTCCGGCACTTTTTGTTGTATTTTTATGCTGTTTTTTGCTTCTGCTTTTTCCAATGACATCAACTCGAAAACGCCGAATTCGTTCTGCATTTGCTATCTTTGCTAAGATGACATTTGCATACTCGTTTTGTCACTAAGCGGTCACTTACGGCTGTAACTGGTTAGGTTTAGTGCGAGTAGTTGCTTTTTCAGATTTTGTGGTCTGCGAGTGAATGCGCTAGAAGTTTGTCTTGAGGAAAAACGGGTATCAATAGCATTGTCTCCGCCAATTACTGATCCTCGAAAGCACTGTCCACTTACAAGGGAATGGTCAGAAGTCGAAGTGGCCAATCCATACAAGCTGCATACCGATCGATGCAGCATAGAATGCTGATTTCAATGTGTCTTCCGTATCTGCAGAGCGCCTTTGTGGGCGAAGTTATGAGCATCTTTACTGCGGAAAAGTCGTCCACAAAAACTGTGAAATTAAGCAGATCACTGCTCTTTTAGCTCACCTTTAGGTACGAGCCATATGAACTGACCTAGTTACACGTTTTGGTCCAACACTGAGCCGAGAATGGCTTTGTACGGCCAAGTTTGACCTTTACACGCACAATTTCTTAGCAAAATGATGACATTTAACGGCTTATAACTTTGTTTACAAAAGCGCTCTGCAGATAAGGAAGACAGATCTGAAATCAGCACTCTATGCTGCATCGAATGGTATGCAGCTTGCTTGAATTGGCCGCTTCGATTTTTGACCATTCCCTTGTTAGGCTGAGGATAATGAGATTTTGATGCTAGTAATAGAGAGGTCCCTAACTAAACGACCACTCAAGTCTTGCTGCAAGAATTTTAAAGCAAAAAATCCGCTCCAACCGTTTGTGGTCCGGAGATAAGAAGTTCAAACTTGGGCTTTGTGTATCCAGACTTGTTATAGAGCCGATATTATGGTCATCAATATTGCGACGCCTCTGTTTACCCTGAAGGCCAATTTCGAACTTGTATCTTCAAACAACCCGCGTTGATGGGCGAAGCCAGCGTGGCCGCTTCTACCTACTGAAGCGGTTTTATCGCTTTGGGATCCGAGATCTGAAGCGAGATTTGGGCGATTGTTTAGTTAGGGGCCCTATATCATGCAGCATCAGAATCTCATCACTCTCACTCTGGGTGGACAGTACCTTTGCTGCTTGCAACATCATGTGCATGGCCAGCAGTAGTCTGCAGAGGCAGCGCTCAAATGGTATCCATTCCTCGCCTAAAAATATTACATCAGCTTCTATCTACCTTATCGTATTTATCAGTTTTTGTGCACCCGAAAGTGCCATCAAAACCCGCTACTTAGCAGGGCAGCGCGTTACTGAACAACGTAGAGATCCAGTATTGCTATCGTCAGGTTCACTAATACATGGAGCTCAAGATAGCAAATGCATGTAAGGACTAAATAGTAGGATTTCTTTTGCAGAGATCGTCATACATGGCTATAGTTAGACTACTAGACACTCTAAGTGATTACTAACTTCCTTTAGGAAACTTTAGACTAATGAGTAGACTCAAACTGGCTGACTTGCATTCGTTGCTGCACTTTTTGAGCACTCTATGCCCGTCCATAACGGCTGCTTGGTTGCATGATGCATTTTGTACTCTATAAACAGCGTAAAGCTATTCAAGGAATGTCAGTACATTTTGCATGTTTTCTTATCTTGCTTTGTTCCGTTTTATTAGAAAAGCCTGTTCAATTGTGGCTAGTTGGAACGCTGACAGCAGCGAAACGTCTTCCGGGACTGATAAGCACTAATACCACTTCCTACAATTTATAAGGATTTAGAAATCCATTTCTTAAAAATAAATCATCCCATTAATGGTTCAAATGTGCCTGCTAATCTGTGATGCGCAAGATTGTTAAAGATTGAGTGTTTTCACAACTCTCTTGTGAAAGTGGAGATTCTTCACGTTTATGTGTTTGTTCGAAAACTGCAGTCACGCTGCAATGATGGCCATCCTTAGCATTGCATCTTGTTTGCCAAGTGTCGGTTACGCGCTCTGGAAGTGTGTTAAAGGCAGTGTCCGGGCAGAAACTCGACTTCTAAAAAATCAACTTATCTGGGGTTATCCGCAACGCTGAATCCGAAAATCCACATCAGAAGGCGCGAAAACGGCGAGAACATGCATTTTCCAAGTCCTCACATTTCGAAATTTGGGGATCCCCGCCAGGCTAAGACGCAGAGGTTGCAAAGAGCGCACGGTTTTTAACTGTGGCGGCATACGTACTCTGCCGTCTGGCAGGAATTCAAACAACTCGGAGGACCCCGCCCCAAGGCGTAAGTTTCCCCAATTTGCAATCGTTTTTCTTGCTTTAGGTCGAACGTTTTATGCTCGCAGTTGCGCGATGTTGTGTTTCAGGGGGGCTACTTTCACATGGCAGAGAAATCTCAGAACCCCCATTTTGCCCGGACACTGCCTTTAAGTAGAAAATCAAATAATCCACTGCGCATCAACGCGACTTTCATCTTCCTCTCATGTTCACCAATCTTGGAAATCCAATCTTGGAAATCTTGGCAACATCACGAGACAACTCATTCAAAGTCCTGCGGAAGTTCTGGCAGCCAAAGTGCTGCGGAACCTCTGGCATTTTTCGGAATTTCCGCAGGATTTTGAAGAAGGTTCTGTGGAAGTTCCGGTTTTCAACTAGTTTGGCATGAAAATCCCGCGGAATTTCCGATTTTCAACGTTTTCATTTTCGCAATAGTGAACAAAATCCTGCGGAACTTCTGTCAATTTGGCTTGTCCTGCGGAAGTTCCGGTGATTTGTCTGAGTATCTCAACGTCACTTTTTTTTCGTTCTTAGCCACGAGTAAAATTTTTTGTTTCCAAACTTTTTTCTTACAGATTCCACAGCACATGCGACCTTATATGTCTCCACAAGGAACGATGACGCCTACTCAGCCAGGAGGTCAGTTGACTTGTCCTTTCATCCTTGCAATAATCGAATTAAATAAAGTCTGGGAGAATTGTTTGGGAATTTCAAATGTGTAAATTGAACTCGTTTCTGCGAACGAATTGAAAAAGTAGCAAGAGCGCAATCAAGGAACAAAGGAAAACCAGCTGTAGCGTCAGCTGTGTAAATTATATTCCACTAGAAACATAGATGCTGATGTAAAGGTGTTATTAACAGTAGTTCCTCTGGTGCTTACACTTGCCATATTTGAAGAGTATGTTCATATTTTTTACTTTTTTTTTCAACGTCCTTAGCCTTTTCTTTCTCATTTACAAGAAGGCAAAATGGCGTCTAGCTTTTTTTTCTCAATTAGGATGAAATTGGCGTCAGTATCTTGTCTATGAGAGCATAGACTTTGAAATGCAATATTAAATGATTGTCTAATTTCTATTTATACCGAGCTAACATCATCCAAGCTTGCTTTCCAATGTTTTGTACATTGCAGTCTCATTTTGACATGATGCTTGTCCTTTAATCTCTGCATCTCTTCACAAAGCTGTATAATCCAAATCGTATGTAGATATCGCTATAGGTGCGGTTACTAGGGCGATCTATCGTCGTTATTCGAGCTGAGAAGTTCTCGTGTGATTCTAATAGCACTAAACTCCTTCTTTCATCTCGTCTCAAAAGCGCTGAAGAGTCTTTTTTGCTGATTGCTGCGCTAGAATTAACATTCTTTATGGATTGTGAGTAGACGGGTGAGTTATTTTTGTTGTTTTTCTTGCTGGATATAGTGAAAAAATTGTTTGCAACTTATGAATTCCGCAGTCTCTTTTTTTTTGCTTGTGCTTTGCCCTAATGTTTCTTTCCGCCCGATGTAACAAAATATTTTTTGGGATCGCATGCATTAACATTCCCACCGGGATTGCAGTTCAGGAGAGAGCCTCATATCCCGAAGATCCAGATATCTGGATCTCACACTGTGTATCCGTATTCCTATTGCCCTTCTCTGTAAACATAGGTGAACAGGAACGAGTAGTTGTACAAACCGTATTTTCCAGCTTATATGATCCCCTGATGATCCTGACGAGTTAATGAAAACGTGCCAAATTTTACTGATTACTATCTCAATAACTCATTTGTTCTTATTAGCAACATGCTTAGCACTGTTTCAGATAATCATTACAACTTTGGAATGTTTTCATTATAGAAGAAAAGAATTGACTTTGAAGAAAAGTCGGTTCGTCGAGAGTCACCAGTGGATCAAAAAGCTGGAAAATGCAATTTGTACGGCTTCTCACTCCTGCTCAATATGTTCGTAGTGAGGGATAGTAGGAATACTTTTGTATGGATCAACAGCGTGAAAAACAGACACCTGGAACTTTATTGTGCGAATTTTTTTGAACTCCCCTTCCCCTGGGCTATGTTAATGCATGCGGCCCTTGTTTCGGATCTTTTTGTCACTTCCCGCAAAAGCAAAGGGATTAGGATTTTAGGCAGTTGCCCTTAAATGGCAGCTAACAGTAAGCTGTTGTGAATGTCAGGTTGTAGCTATACATTTTCGACTCCTTTTTTTTAATCTTAATGAAGGAGCTGGGTTTAAAGTTCACTATGGGATCATTCATTTGACTTTGGTATCTCAAACCTCATCACATCTTCTACCAATGCCAGATGTTCATCTTATAATGCTTTTTTGGTCCCCCATTGATCAATCAGTCACGGCCATAGAAATTTGTGACCATCGATAAAGAAGATTTTCAAAGAACCGTTTTGGTATGATTCCGAACTTCCACTTACAACATTCATCAATCTCTATTCTGAGATGTCTCGATCAACAGTATGAAGACATTGTATCGCATGTCAATTCAGAGGGACATTCACTGCTCGGTAGTTGTGACCTGGAAGGGCTAGTTCTATCCTTTTTAAGCTACTTTTATTTGGATACAGTTTTTGCGCTCCTTTCCGCTTCATTTTTTTTATCTAAAAGGCTCATATGTTCAGTTTGATTGGACATTGCGTTTAAACGATATATCGTTCCCTAGTTCCCTTCATTAAGAGCAATATGCTTCACTAACGACCATTCAGCTGATTGGAAGCAGCATTGAAGTGCTGATTGCTGCTTATGAGCAGATAATCTCCTCTAAAAGCTCATATATACCCAGCTGGCAGCTATGTATTCATATGTAGCTACAATACATAACGAGTTGGAGCGATTTGAACTATATATTCTCATTCGATGTTTGTGCAGAGCTAATTGCTTCTTTGGCTTGAATATGTCAATATTCTTGGATTTTCATGCAAGATCTACAGTCGCTTCATTTCATATGATCAGGTGTGCCATTGCACACACAGTCCACTTTTTTTCCTCATCCTGGATTTGCAATCGCAAAAAGGCAAGAGACTTACCGATTGTTATCGATTACATCAATTTGAGGTGACTAGTAACTAAAAAGAAAATGCTAAGAACACCTTGGAAACACTTACCTGAAGGCTTGTTTCCCCCACGAATCCAGGATGGGGACGCCAAAGGTGAACTGTGTGTGCAATGACACACATGATCATATGAAATGAAGCGACTGTATATAGTGTGTTTTATTTTAAACCCGACTTTATTTTGCTTCCTTAAAGCACCCGGATGGGTTTTAAGGCCTTCATGTTCGAGTCGCATTTCTGAGATGTTGCTAAAGGTTCAGAAGTTTGGAGTTGTCACAATGAATAAGTGCAGTGCGCATCCATATTGTTGTCTCTTGTGAAAGGTCGGTTGTTCCAGACTGCAAAAGCGCACTGACTCGAGCCAGCTGGATCCTTCTGTGTGCTGTCAGGGCAGAATTTTGAGTTTCATCTAAAAAATATCAACAGACTGCTCATATAATCGATATCATCGGTAAAAAAAGTTGCAGCTTCTGTTGTTTTGCAAATCCATCACACAAGAAGTTGTTCATTGACACCTATTTTTTGGTTGTCATAGCGTTCTAGAAAGTCTCAACATGTCGGAGTGTAGCAAACTGGGACGTGAACGTTTGACCGCTTTCACCACTTCTCCGAGTGCATTTTCGCTTCTCACAATCAGATCTCTAAAGTAAACTTCCCTGCTTGCAGCGTTCGTGAATCTTTCTGCAACTTTAATCTCTCCTTCCCTCGTTTCATCGAAGAAGCGTGCTCCAATAAATGCTTCAATGCTAAGGGTTTCCGCCTATTGGGTACATTAGTCTGAGAATAAGCATTTTGATAGTGTTTCATTGCTGTCCTAGATATTACTTGCAAACTCGGTTCATAAGCTATATTTCGTTGTAAATTTTCTCACGTACTTGCTGTTGCTCTTCTATATGAACCTGGCCTTCAATCAACCCTTGAAATCTACGAAAACCAGTTTCTTTCATTTTTTAAAGTGCATCTCTCAAGTGTACCGCACCTGTCCAGACATATATTCACCCCTTTTCGAAGTTTCTTACAGTACAGTCCTCGAAAGTATCGATTTTCTTGTAGTAATTTTCTTCCAGATATATCCTCAAGCTAAGTCTGCACTCTTTTGCGCAAATCTTGTGTCTTTATTATCGATGCTGTTACTAGAAGATTAGATTTACCTGCGTTGCTAACTGACCAAATAAATTGAGAAACGATCAAAATATAATGTTAAGTGCTTGATTTTGACAGTATACGTCATGCTACAAATTTTTTGTCTGCTGTGACGGATGTTTTTTAACGCCTGACATTGTGAGGCCTGAAGTAGCACTCTGTAAGCAGCTAGTATTATCAATATCTTGACGGAACAAATGTATCTGGTCCGGATATTTTTCTACGCTTAGACTAGCGCCAGATGCATTATCTGCTTGCCTACAAATATTTCTTAGTTATGCAATATCTGGAAAAGGAATATAGGATCGGGAAGTTTGGATATGGGCTCCGGAACGAAAACGGCAACCATCTCGTTGGGCTTCTCTCCGCCGCACGACTTTTCCATGGAAATTCCATCTTCATGAATAAAGAACATCGCCGATGGACATGGGAATCGCTCAACGGAACGACTCGCGCGGAGATCGACCACATTCTCACCAACCGAAGGTGGAGCTTGCTCGACGTCTCAGTAGCGTCTCAGTCCCATCCTTCTGCAGTGGCTCCGATCACCGCCTCCTTCGAGCGAAGGTACGATTCAGTCGAAGGCTGGAAAAGAAGGTCTGCCACAGTGCCGCAAGAAGGAAGAATGTCGTTTATGACGGTAACAGGCTGGAGGAGCTCATATCAAGTTGTGACTGGCCCATCGAGGAGGACCCAACTTACGACTACGACCGGCTTCTGAAAGGATTGCGAGCCTGCGGAGAGTGCGCCTCAGTGACTTCCGAGAAGAACGTGGAACGCATTTCGAAGACTATCAAGGAAATGCTCGAAAGAAGAAGATTTCTGAGGCAGGATCCGAATGCAACCCATCTCGAGCGACTGATAACCAACGCCAGTTGCAGAACAGCTTTGCAGGAGGATCTCAGGAAGTACAGGCAAGCCAAGATACTGGAAGCAGCCGAAGGAAGACGAAGTCTCAAGAAGTGCCGAAGGGACCTCTGTGAATATCACGTACCGCTGACTGCACTATTAAACGAAGACGGGACTCCGACTTCTTCCCGATACAAGATGGAATCTATCGCGAAGAAATTCTATACCATCCTCTTCCGCTCATCAACACCCGTGCCGATGCCCGTTGTTCCCACTGGAGAAGTACCACCACGAATTCTACCTGCTTAAGTGCGCACAGCGATTCAGACCATGAAGACGTCCACGGCTCCAGGACCAGACCATCTTTTAGTCGAATTTCTGCGAGCTGGAGGACAACGTTTACACGAGATTCTCGAGTCGCACCTGACATCTTACCTTCAGAAGGAAAGGATTCCCGACCAGTGGAGAACATCAAGAACCGTCCTTCTTTTCAAGAAGGGTGAACGGGAAGATCTTCGGAACTACCTTCCAATATGCCTGCCGAGTGTGCTCTACAAGCTTTTCACGAAGATTATCCTCGCTCGCATATC